CGTCACGTTCTCAGCCCAGCGAGCAATCAACGTGCAGGATGACGACATGCGTGTCGACGTACTCCGTATTTCTGAACAGAGCGTGACGCTTCCTCCCCGAGCCAGTGTTCTAGTCGACGTAACATGCTGTCGTTTGAGCGATGGCGATGTGGTGGCCGAGACAAATTTAGAACACCTCCTGCAGCAAGGCATATGTGTAGCGAGAAGTGTAATACACGTTCGTGACGGCCGATCTGAATTGCTCGTTACCAACTTTAGCAACGAGCATCGACACCTTTTCCGTGGCACTTCGATAGCGTTTGCCCACGAAGTAGCAAACGTAACCAACTGTCTCACGTCAGAAATAGTGGATAACGCAGACACATCAATGAGCAACATTGACATCAATCCTGATCTGTCCACCGATACCCAGACTGCGCTGCGAGCGCTCTTGTTCGAGTACAGGTCTTGCTTCGCAAGTTGCTCAAAGATCCGCCAGACGTCCATCACGCAACACAGGATCATCACGTACGAGGACGCACGCCCAATACACCAGCACCCCTACCGCGTGTCGGCTAAAGAACGTGAAGCGATACGTACGCAAGTTCGCGAGATGCTTGACGATGGCGTTATCGAACCATCCAACAGCCCGTGGTCATCTCCAGTCGTGCTTGTCAAAAAGAAGGACGGGTCGCTACGCTTCTGCGTCGATTACCGAAAGCTTAACAACGTGACCAAAAAGGATGTGTACCCGCTACCACGTATCGACGATTCGCTAGATAGACTTCGTCGTGCCCATTATTTCACTTCTCTCGATCTCAAAAGCGGGTACTGGCAATCGAGGTAGATCAGCGAGACCGCGAAAAGACAGCCTTCGTGACTCCAGACGGCCTATACCAATTTCGAGTACTCCCTTTCGGCTTGTGTTCAGCGCCGGCAACTTTCCAGCGAATGATGGACACTGTCCTCACAGGGCTGAAGTGGCAGACTTGTCTTGTCTACCTTGATGATGTGGTGGTCTTCTCTACCACGTTCGAGCAGCACCTTCACCGCCTGCGCAGCGTGCTGGAAGCTATCCGATCGGCGGACCTCACACTAAAACCACAGAAGTGCCACTTCGGCTATAAAGAACTAAAATTTCTTGGACATGTAGTTAGCGCCGAAGGAATCCGTCCCGATCCGGACAAGCTTGCCGCTGTTGCCGAATTACCAGCTCCTGTCGATAAGAAAGCCGTCCGGCGCTTCCTTGGTTTGTGCGCCTACTATCGCCGATTCATTCATGGCTTTTCACAGATAGCAGAACCTCTGACTCGTCTCACAAAGGACGACACGCCGTTTGTCTGGGAAAACGAGCAACAAGCAGCTTTTGATGAGCTGCGACAGCGCATGCAATCAGCGCCCGTTCTCGCTCATTTCGACGATGATGCTGACACGGAGGTCCATACCGACGCTAGTAACATCGGGCTCGGTGCAGTGCTCGTTCAGCGTCAAGAGGACATCGAAAGAGTGATAGCCTACGCCAGCCGCTCTCTATCCCGTGCCGAGGCGAATTATTCCACTACGGAGAAAGAGTGCCTCGCAGTCGTGTGGGCAATCACCAAGTTCCGCCCGTACCTTTATGGTCGTCCCTTCAAGATAGTGACGGACCACCACGCCCACTGCTGGTTAGCAAGCCTGCGCGACCCTTCAGGACGGCTAGCACGGTGGAGCTTGCGGCTGCAGGAATTTGACGTCACCATCGTCCATAAGTCCGGCCGTAAGCATGAAGACGTTGACACACTGTCACGCCTTCTTGTCGTCAGTCAGGAAGCAGAGGAAGACGAAGGCTTCCTGGGCGCCATTAGCTCATCAGACTTGAGTAAACGGCAGCGGGATGACGCAGAGATTCGTCCGATCATCGATCATTTAGAGGGCCAGGACACAATCATACCACGTCATTTATTCCGCTCGTTGCCATCGTTCTGCCTTCGAGATGGTGTGCTGTACAAGAAGAACGCTCGTTCGAACAACCGTGCCTACCTCCTGGTGGTTCCTCGAGACATGCGAGACGACGTCCTCTTCGCTTGCCATGATGAACCCACATCCGGTCATCTGGGCTACTCACGGACACTTGCCAGAGTGAGTGAGAGATACTATTGGCCAGGACTTTCGGCAAGCGTCAAGAAGTACGTCAAGAGCTGTCGGGAATGTCAGCGCCGAAAGCAACCATCTGTTAAACCAGCTGGTTTGCTTCAGCCCATTGAAGCACCTTGCACGCCATTCGACCAAGTCGGCATGGACATTCTCGGGCCATTTCCCCTGTCTGTGGACAGCAACAAATGGGTGATCGTCGCGACCGACTATTTGACACGCTACGCTGAAACCCAAGCGATCCCACGAGCCACGGCTTCTGAGGTAGCACAATTTTTCATGCGCCACATCGTGTTACGACACGGTGCTCCTTCCAGTGTAATAACGGACAGAGGGACGGCATTCACGGCGCAGCTTACGGACGAAGTTTTCAAACTGAGCAACACCAGACACCGAAGGACAACTGCGTACCACCCGCAAACCAACGGACTTACCGAGCGACTGAATAAGACCCTCGCAGACATGATCTCAATGTACATCGACGTACAGCACAAAACATGGGACCGGATCTTACCTTACGTGACCTTCGCGTATAATACCCGCGTGCAACAGACCACGCGATTCACGCCATTTCGGCTTCTCTACGGCCGCGAAGTGCAGACCATGCTAGACTCCATGCTACCGTGTCAAGACGAAGACGAGTTGGCAACTGACGCCGAAGAATTCGCAGAGCGTGCTGAGGAAGCCCGGCAGCTCGCGCGACTGCACATCGGCCAGCAACAGCAGGCAGACGCACGACGCTATAATACCCGCCACAGAGAAGTGTTTTACAGCCCCGGAGATCAAGTTTGGGTGTGGACGCCCGTCCGCCGCCGTGGCCTTAGTGAAAAGTTGCTGAGCCGGTACTTTGGCCCATATAAAGTGTTACGCCGCGTCAGTGACGTAAACTACGAAGTGGTTCCGGACTCAACACCCCATGCACGGAGTAGGACACTGCTGAGGCCGGACGTCGTTCATGTGTTGCGCATGAAACCATTTATTGCGCGTTGCTCGTAACTTTTCCTTTACCGTACAGCATCCTTTGTGTTTTTTTTTGTTTATTTGTGTGAACTTGCTTTCTCGTTCATTGACGTTTCTTATTTTGGCATGCTCTTCAATCTTTACTTTCACTTTATCCGAATTCCCAATTTCTTTTTCACGTGCCTATGTTGTAGCATCGCGGTGATGCTATGTGCTTTTCTTTCCTCCTTTTGGGACTTGTTTTTTTTTTTCGGAAGGGGGGATAATGCCACCAGCACGTAGTGGGTCGACAGCAAGAGTGGCTCTCAATCTCGGGGAAAAAGAAGATCGCGTGTCTTCTTCTCTGCTCGAGAGCCAGCCACGACTGACGCATCGTCTTAGAGCTAGCTACCCGGTCGTTCAATAAATCCCCCCAGTACTTGTGACTCATCGTGACAATATGATTGGTTAGCAGGATGTCGTGATGCGCCACTATATGTGCACTTATACCAGATTGTTGAAAGCAAGATCATGTGACCTGCAGGCTCAGCCAATAGAATTTCAGTGGACACCTACTACTACTACTACTACTACTACTACTACTACTACTACTACTACTACTACTACTACTACTACTACTGTATAGGCTTGTGCGAATAATCGAATGCTTTGAATTTTCGAACGAATAGTTTAGTGTTCGAATTCGCTTCAATTCAAATTTAAATTATCAAATATTTTTGAAGTAGTCGCAATGAACGAATAAGTGTATATTAATCTGCATGTAACCACCTGCAAGGTGGTTTTACTGCAATGTAGGAGTGCTAAGCCAATGTAGGAGTGCTAAACTGCAATGTAGGAGTGCACCTATCTAGGGCAAGTTCACTTTGCCGCAAAGCCCCCCTTCATGAAAATTTAAAGGGGCCCTGCAACACTAAGTGAGCATGGTCAAAAAACGCTGCTGATCGGTATTCGAGGCTACCGAGAACACGCGAGGCAAATATTTTAGTGCAGCACGCGGCCCGTAAATCACCATAAATTTTCAAAGATAAAATTTGCTTTCTTCTCTCGGCAAATTGCTTTTTTCCCTCTACAAGCTCAAAAATCACTTGTCACAGCCAACAAGGAATATACGGCTCTGGTCACAGTCATTGGCTCACTTGAGCATGGTGCGCTCATCGTTACCGGGGCCGCCACGGGAGGTCGCCACTTGTCCTAGAGTATGTGCGCGCTCGCACTAAAAAGCCACATATTCGAAGAAAAAAAAAGGAGGTGCTCAAGGTCACTAGGTGCGTGTAGAGTATTTTCTTTCGCAGTGCCATTCCTTCCTGCATAGCTTCCAGCTATTTCGTCAAGACGAGAGGAGAGAATGTAGTTGCAGCGTGCAACAAATTTCTGGAACTCCGCTAAGTACTGGACTGATTCTAGAAACTTTCCTGCAGTGAATCTGTGAGGCAACAAGCATGTTTACTGGTTCCATGGCTACTTGAAAAAGTGTTGCAGGGCCCCTTTAAAGGAACATGTTACCCTCAAATCAATTCTTCATTTTATTGAGCTTATTATGACAGCTTATGTGATCCAAGTATATTAAAACATTAAGTATCTTACAGGTTATCACTCCCATCCTACCAAAGCTACTACTTAAGGTTGTTTCGACTTCCTGTGAGCAACAAAAAAAAATTGCATTTGCATAGTGCCTCTATTTCAATTCAGAAGAAATATTGTGCAGGTTAGTTAGGTCATGATAAATATTTCCCTTTTTTTAATATGCCAGGCATACCATTCAAATTCGATTCGAAACTATTCGATCAAATTCACTGTTGGCTTCGAATTCACTTCGAGCCTAAAATTCATTATTCGCACAAGCCTATATAGACATTTCAGTAAAATGTTCAGGTCGGGGGGAATGCAAAAGAATAAAGACTCAGCGGCAGGGTGGCGGAAGGCAGGCTTACAGGTCTCCGACGAGTGACTTCTCCGACTGGGTCTCCCAGCTTTCGTCACCCGAGCAGGACTCATCGTCGCCCTCCTCGTCCCCGTCGTCCCAGAGGTCGTCCGAGTCGTATTCACCGATGCGGTACAGCTCCTGTGGGTAGCACAGCGACGTCTTGCCGCTCACCCACTGCACCTCCACCTTGCCCGCCGGGTGGACATCCACCACCTGGCCCGCTGTCGATTCGGACTCCTTGTCCTGCGCAGGGCATCGCCCTTCCGACTGCATCAACGCGCCACCAGAGATTGATGTGGTGCTAATGAGGTTTCTTTTTTTTTTTCCTGTGAAAAACACAGGAGGCAGCTCTGGTGGTAAACTTATTTACAATGGTAAACTTTGCCACTTTGTAAACTAACCATTCGGGACAATTAAACATGTGTAAGTAAAGCATGCAAGCCATGAAGAATGACACGAGTTCAAATTGAGCCCCGGCTGCGGCGGCTGTATTTCGGTGGAGGCAAAAACGCTAGAGACCCATGTGCGTAGATTTAGGTACACGTCGAACCCTAGGTGGTCAAAATTTAGGGACTCATGGTCCCTAAGTTTTCCTAATAGTAGTCCCTAAATAGTGATAATTTAGGACTGAAACACTACAGCATCCCTCATAATCATATCATGGTTTTAGGGTTTAACCTTTACGATTATTCGTTGTGAGAAGACGAGAGATCAGCACACGCAATAACCCATGTGAAGCAACGGCAACAGCGAAACTCACCTCAAAGTTCGCCACCCTGATGACGCAGGACGCGGGCCTGTACTTGAAATCTGGATGGTCCTTGATGTCATAGACGCTCACCTCTTCAATGCCGAGTTCTTCGGGGCTGAGAGCGCAAACGAGAAAATGGAGTCCCGGTGAACGATTTCCATGCAGCGAGTATGCAGTGCGCTTAGCGATAACCTTTCTTTCTGTTGTCGAGTTGTTATTAACAACAACTGCAGGTGACATTTCTGGGGACCATTTTTTCAAATGTTCCAACGAACACGCCGGAAAGTCAGCTTTATTGCAAGGAAGGCATTAGGAAGCAAACTGTACGCAAATAAACATAAGCAACAAACCACACAGCCAACCATGCGCTAGCGACCGCCCGCAGCCCACCAGAGGCCACCAACGTTACGCAGCAAACCATAAGAAATCAAGTTATGCATGGCCAACCGTACGCAGCTAACCACATGCGAGATTGGAAAGAAGTCACCATAACAAGACAATGCATTTTCGTGATTAATGCACATACACACATGCCCCCACTACCACCTATTGCAGCACAAACACTCAGTAAATGTACAGTTCATTCATTTCAGTAGTGGCTGTGGTGATTTGAACACCAGATGGCAGTAAGTAGCATGAATTCAGTTGGCATGAATTAGTAAGTGGGCATGAATTCACAATACAGACTACCGAGAACAACACAGAACCAGTGGTTGTTCTGAATTGTTATGGCAAGAAATTCATATTTGCTTTTTTCAAGACTTCTCAATTTCAGCGTTGATATCGTGTTTTCGTCTTTCTTACGTCTCTGTTTGTTAGGGCTCAATACGTGTTCGAGTTTTCAATTTTATTCACGATCTCTTTCATGGTGTCAATGTAGAGTTCAAAGATCAAACCTCGTCTTTAATCACTAACGGCAACACAAGAGATTGGCAAGATTAGCTCACTGGGGGTCTGCGCCGGCCATGTAGGTCTTGAATTTTGTCACAACCGCCGTTCTTCCAGAGTGGTCCACCTTCTTGACCACTGCGTACTCATGGGCGGGAGGGGTGTCTGAAAACAAAATGACCGACAACGGTTTAAAAGTCACAACTATAGCGACTGTAGAACACTGCAAGTGATTTTCAGCAGAAATAAAAAAAATGAACTTATCAAACAGAAGCTTTCCAGTGCAACTTTCAAGGTCCCAACAGTTAACAGTGATTAGGAATACAGTAAGCATGAGCGACAGATGATTGATTAGAAGATAATCAGCATGTGGTTGCAATTTGCATTCTATTTCGTGCCTTTGGCAGCGGTTACTGAGTGTTACACATTACATTCAAGTTCATCTCGTAAACCAAGACAGAGCAGCATATAAAGAGCTTCGAAATGCCAGTTTTGTATCTCCACTGACAAGAGTTTCAACATAATAAGTGAGCATTTTGCAGAAATGCTCACTTATTGAAGAAATGCTCCCTCTAATCACTGGCCTCGCACCAGAGAAGTTTCTGCAAGGGAGCCTTCAGATGCCAACAAAAACCCATACAATAATTTCTACAGAAAGAATAGGTCAAATAAGCTAAAGTACCCCCCCCCCCCCCCCATGACATTGTTCAATATACCTGTGTTTTCCACAACAAAGTCCCCAGGAAAGAATTCGTGGCCATCCAAGTGATGGATGGGGTAGAGGTCTGCAGAGGGAATTCCATTTTCTACACTGCCGTCCTGCAATAATGAATAAACAAACAATTCTTTCCAAAAAGTAGGAGTGTGCGAATATCAAAATTTTCACATAGCAACTGAATACGAATACACAGCTTCAAATACGAATTAAAGACAAAATAACCAAGAGAACTAACTTTTCCATCAGTTGTATTTTATTTTGCTGCAAATGTATATTGAAAACAGTACTTTCGTCTGTTACAAGCACAAAATCTGCTTTTGTGCAAAGAATGTCTGTACTTACTAAGAAGCACATAAGTGTGGTATATTTCGGTGAGCTTGTGACTTAATGGCTTAGCTTCAATTTGCTTTAGTAACAAACTTAGCTTCAATTTGCTTTAGTAACAAACTTTTTATTTCCCTTATTTGTCATTGTAAAACCAAAAATAAGCTTTAAGTTTCTGGGCACAGTACCTCTACCAATTTTATTGGCATCTATTGAGTGCTAGCGTAACAGTTGACTAGAAGCTTGATCAATAACTTCATTCATAGACCCTGACAGTGAACGGCGTCCACGAGCTGCGCGCGATACAGAAGGACCCACTAGATATCACTAGAGCAGGTGGACTCTATAGTGTTTGTTCCTTTTCGCAACATTGTTTTCCTTGTTTTCATTTCATTTGTTTATTTACTGCCATACACTAAAGGCCCTACCAGGCATTACAAGATGGGGGAAGGACTTCAAGGGACTCCTGACACCAAAATATAAAACTATTAGGTCGATGCTGATTGTTGAAATAGCAGTCCAGAAACCTCACAGCATTACTTTTGTGCCAAGGAAGGACCTATTTTGAAATAAAATCACATTTTAGTGGTCCGCATCAGGTTAGCGCACTTCAAATTGCCCGCCTCGAGAAGCGGACCGACCGGACCGACTCGCGTCTCTGTTGCCGTACACAACGTTGCCTGGCTTTACTGCGCTAGTAGCCGCAGACCGAAAGCAGCGGGAGCCACAGCAGCAACAACGGCCATTGATCAATTTTCCTTCATTAACTCCGAGATTGCAGACGTTTTTGGGTCAACTGCACCTCGCTAGATGGCACCACCTGTCCAGTGTAACTACGCGAAAATTGAATTTTTGAACCCCTCGCGCCATTCCCCATAGTAACCTCCGGCAGCTCTTTTTTCCATGAATCAAACAGAAATGAACAAACACATCTCTTGATGCACGCAAGGTTCTATACTTAGTGCAGCTAGATCAACTACTAGTGATTGATTGTAGGCGGTCCGTCTGATGCCATCGGGATCAAATCGAGAATGTCCTACTGTGTCCCATGTGGTTTTGTGCATTTACCTTAACTTCTCGGTAAGTGGGGCACTGTTGTCGATAATAATGTCGTTTTAGATGTTGTCATACATTGAGCTTTCACTCTGACGTAAGTTGTTATTTGACTTTAGTGACCCTTTAAACTGTTTGACGGCCTTGCATACTGTACGGATGGGATCTAGAAAACATGAAGTTATTGGAATGACGTATCGCTTTCAGCGGCAGCATGTACAATCGCACACATCAGATTTAGAGGCACGTCACGCAACGTATGCTTGTTCAAGTGGCTTGATACACGTGGACATTCATGCAGGCTTCCCGAGTGAACAAATACCAGTCATTTAGCTTCTTCATTCTGCGTAATGCTACAGAGGATCACATGGATGGCGACAATACTATGTTCAATGACCAGTTGACGTGCCATCTTCCAGGACTCATGTCAAGAGTGTTTTTTTTTTTGCTTGAAATGAATGCAACAACAACAAAAAAAAAAAAACAAGCTGTGCTTGCACTTAAGTCTAATATTTCATATTTTTAATGTAACACCCAAGCTAACTGATTAATAATTAGATAATTACATGTTAATTAATGTTAATAACAAACTCGTGCAAAACAAAACAGTCCTTATTTTTCTTTCTTGGAATGTAATACTGAGTGCCTTGGAATCATGCCATGCAAATTAGACACGTTTGCACAAAGTGGGCCATAATTCGACTCTGAAGGGGCATACACAAGAATAAAGTAGGCATCTGGCATGGAAATGAGCAAATGAATGAAGCTGTAGACAGTAGTGCTAGGTGGCACCCCCTCACCTGCCAGACAACCTGGGCAGTGGTGTAAGTGGCCAGGGTCTCGGTGACCAGCACGTCCCCGGGCTTCATGGAGGGCTGCTTGATGGGCTGACGCTTGCGCGCCCGACGAAGCTTGGGCTTCTTGAGCAGCTTGGTCGCTAGCGATGGGCCGTGCTTGCCTCGCCGGAACGCTGGAAGACGCAGCGGGGGGCACTAGTTACGACACAGACTTTTTTCCATTTAGCAACGGCAACTTTAATTTTGTTCTCAAAACATTGCAGGTGCAGTAGCGAGGCAGGCCTGTTAAAAGCAGTTCTTCTGCAGATACCTTGAAACAGAAATCATTTGTTCTTTACTTCTGTTGATAGCTACGTGCTAACAGACTGGTTGTTAATGGTCATTACGTCAAAGTAAGGTTTTGTGAATTTCAGAACAGAACTGCAGTGACATTATTAGGAGTCAATATCCCACAACTCGTAGTATGACATGAATAAGTGTACCATTTTGACCCGATTCTCAACCGTAAATGACTTTTTGAACGAGCTCAAGAAAGTGGACAATAGCAATTTCGAAAGATCGTTAGCCACCAAGCTCTTATACCGTTAAAAAAGAAAAGCGCAAATGCAATACGATGGTTTGTTTGTTTGCTGGGGGTCGAACGCCCAGAAACACTGGCTATCAGACACACCATAGTGCCTACTGCAGACGTTCTCGATCCCCTAGGGACCTCTTTGACATGCACAGACCTCGGGATGAGCACGGGTCTCCAGCATTCGGCCTCAACTGTGACCACAATGGCCAGAATCGAACCCGCACATTCCGGGTCAATGGTCAAGCACTATAACGACTGGGCCACTGCAGTGGTCACATCATATATGAAATATAAAATTTAGTTAGGACATTCTTCCATGAAGACTACAGCGAGATACCCTACCGCTAATTACTGATATATACTTTCGACAACACATAAAGCAGAGTACATGGCCTCTACAGAGCCTCAGTTGTAAGCATCTATCCCAGATGTAGTACTATATAAAAATTATCTCAACAGATGTTATGTCATTGTTTTCATAAAATGTAAACCAGCAATTAATTATAAATATGTAATTTATCCTTTCTTATCTGTCAACCTACTTCTGTGTTTTGTAATGTAAGATGTAAGGAGACGCCTTAACAGTAGTACAGTAAAAGCTCGTTAATTTGAATTCCACGGGAACGCTGAGCAATTTCGAATTAAACAAAATTTGAAATAATGAAAGTTGTGGTGTACACGTATCCCGAGGAGTACGGCCACCAGCGTGGGTCGGTCTTAGCGAGCCGCAGGGCACGCGTTTAACCGTCGCCGTGGCGGGAAACACGATACTGCTCAAGTCGCAACACTTATTGTGGCAACACCAAACGCAGTACAGCCCGTTGCAAATAGGCGCGGCGGGAAACAAGTAGGCTTATCCACGCCACGGGCACAAAGTACTACACAGGGGTGCCACGAGCACGTCCCGCGGTAAAGCTGATCCACGGAGACACCGGAGCAAAGGCCCGGTTTGCTCGAGCGAGGGCAAAGGCGCCTCGCGTTGGCTTCGAAGGGAGACGGGTCGGCGTAGCGAGGCCACGCACTAGGACACCGTACCGCCCTTCGGCCGTGCGTACGCAGCGGAGCAAACAGCGGGTGAGCGTTCGCCTTGGGCGCGAGGCGCCGTCAGCGAAGTCCGACGAGCCCCCGACTGACGGGAGTCGACAGACGAAAAGATAGCGTGGCTCACCGTTTGCTGTCCCGGGAGAGATCTCACCGCTCCCGACGCAGCGCGCGAAAACCTCTCTTGGGAGTCCCCGCGCGCGGCGCCACCGTCAACATCCGCTACCGGGTGAGGGAGTTAAACGTCACTCCGCTCTCCCACCACGGCAGACAGCAAAGGAGGGCAGACATGTCGGGACATGAGAATGGGCAGAAAGGCGGGAAAGCCCGCGCAAAGGCAGCGGGCCAGCCTCAATGCCCACATCCCCCCTCTCCTAAACTTGTCCTTACCGGTCTGCAAAAGGCAGCCGGACGTCACCCATGCAGTTAAAATGACACTGCTATGAGCGATAGCTAACCTCAGTCCAGCCCTGCTACTGCTGCTTAAAAGAAATATGATTACAGAAGGAGAAACAAAAACATAAATACAAAATAAACACACAACACTATACAAATACTGGCAGAAGGGAGGCACAGAAACGTGGGCACTAGTGTTCGTGGATGCTGAAGGGGGATAGCGTCCACTGCGCGGAGGGGGCGGAAAGGCGTGACAGTGTCCGCTGGGTGCGATGCCCGAGTGCGGAGGTCAGAGGTAACGGAAGGGGGGGCTCACTGATGGCTTGTTCCTGCTCTTGATAAAGCTGCGAGTCGACGAAAGCCGCTTCGGTTGTTCGGAGGCCCCCGCATTTCTGGCTCGATGAGGGAGCTGGACGTTGCGGGAAGCCGGGCCTCTCCGTGGTCAGGGAGGCCGAACCAAATTGGCTGCGAGGCGCCCTGGCGTTGGCCGGCAGCATATAGCTGCTTCAGCATGGCCTCGTGCAGGAGCCATGGTGGGAAAGGCAGCACGGCTTCTTCGGCGGACAGCCGAGAGCAGAGCACAGCCAGATGGTCTGACGTCAGTGGGTCAATGACCCCCAGTACCTCCAGCGTCCGCATCGATGGGGGACGCCATGACGCACTCTTCGCGGGCTCGCAGCGAAGCGTCACGCACTTACACAAGCACAGAAGCACGCACGCACACACACCGCCGACAGCTGCGCCGAGCGTAGGCGCAAAGCGTCCTTCGTCTCTCTCTCCCGGCAAGCACCGCCACTCAAGGTCACACACAGCTCCCTTCGCGATAGACGAACGAACACGAAAAAAAAAAGTAAAACAGAGCAAAACGACACTCAACATCTGACAAAAAACAGAAAATACAAATATCACTTAATATTAGACAAAAGAAACAAAATACACATGAACACTTCAAAAAAAAAAAAAAAAAAAAACACTGGCAGCAGACAGAGCGGGGTCAACTTCTTTACGAGAAAAGGCCGTAAAGAAGCTAACGTATACTGAGGCTAGACAGTAAACTGAGGGCCTTCGGTTGCGGAGAAGTCCGCCGTCCGGCGCGAAATCACAAAGGTGACCGCTTCCTCAGATTATACCGGTGCGGGGTCCGAATGCGGTCCGCCGCTCCGGGTGTGCCCGTTGCTTGCGCGAAGTGCCGCAGGGCACTGGCGCAAGCTCGTCAGACCATGACAAAGGGCTTCAGGTCTGCGATGTTGGCACGGCTGAGTTTTCCCAAAGGGGATCTTTCAGCTAGTACGCGCCACGGACGCTCACTGACAATCGGTTCATAAGACCGGGCGGCTTTCCAACCCTTGGCTCAACCGTTTGTCAGACGTGGCAGGCACGGAATAGCGATAAAAAGCCACGCTTCGTGCCGGGCCAGGTCACAAACATTGCTCAGTTTGCAAAAACTTTCGAGCCACTCAGGTGACCGGCCATGGGTTCGTCGTGAGAGGATCGCAACAGTGCGGCTCTCAGACTTTTGGGCTTAACCACCTTAACGGGTCTATGGACCTCGTCGTCATGGCTATATATTTCAGCAGGAGCCCGTCATGGTCCAGCAAAATGAATCCGCCGGGGACTCAGCGAACACACGCTGTTTCAGCCCCCTAATCGCGCCCCGCCGCAGAACAAGCAGCGTACCGGCGCTCCGCGCCTCGTCAAGACGGTTTAACGGCGCCCGCCGCAAAGCAAGCAGGTATACGGCGCCTCCATCCCTCTGAGACTCGAAACGGATCACCTCGCCGAGCCTTCAGTAGCTCTTCGCTGCCGAAAGGCAATTCCCATTCTCCCAAATGGGGGAGTCGGTATCGCGCCCACTCAGGACCGCAGCAACCGCACGCGTGAGTCGGCGTTACGGGTTCGCTCTCGGCCTCGTGGCCTTCGGAAAGCTCCCCCGCTCGGCCGCTTCGCGGTGCGCCGCTTACCTGGTTAGCAGCCAAGGTTTGTCCGCATGGGGACTCACCCTTCTCGCCGAATGGCGGCGAAGCTGCTGTTTCGCCCCCGACGCTTGCATGTGCTAAGGCACCGCGAGCGGCCGTCGCACCGAAATCCAGGTTCTCGGCAGACAACAAGGGGCACGAGATAGCGCGTCAGCTACCACGTAGGAGTGTATTCACCACAAAAAGGGGTGACGACACAGGCGAGCGCCGAAGGGCGCCCGTCGATAGAGGCGGTGGCCTCTTGGTGCAACGCGGCATGCCACGAAGCAGACATAACGTTCGGGTAGGGCAAGAGGCCCATTCCGAAGCGATGCGCCATCTCCAAAGGGAGCGGCTAGGCGCCTCCTGTCGTCACCGCAATAGGGGGTGCCGACACGGACGGGCGTCGGAGGCGCTTGTGCGTAACGTTCGGGTAGGGCAAGAGGCCCATTCCGAAGCGACGCGCCATCTCCAAGGGAGCGGCTAGGCGCCTCGTGGGTCGTCACCGCAATAGGGGGGTACCGACACAGACGGGTGCAGAAGGTTCCCGTCAATAGAGGCAATGGCCTCCGTGTGCAACGCCGGCATCCGCTAAAAGGACAGCGGACCAAAAGTCCCGCGAGGCAGCCATGTTGCGACGAGCCCGAATCGCGCAGGCGAACTGACTCTCTAAGAGCAATCAAAAGCTAGAGCTCTTTGATACCGCGTTGGGGCGCCAGTGTGGGTGTACACGTATCCCGAAGGAGTACGGCCACCAGCGTGGGTCCGGTCTTAGCGAGCCGCAGGGCACGCGTTAACCGTCGCCGTGGCGGGAAACACGATACTGCTCAAGTCGCAACACTTATTGCGGCAACACCTAACGCAGTACGGCCCGTTGCAAAAGGCGCGGCGGGAAAGCAAATAGGCTTATCCACGCACGGCACAAAGTACTACACAGGGGTGCCACGAGCACGTCTCCGCGGTAAAGGTGATCCAGGAAGACACCGGAGCAAAGGCCCGGTTGCTCGAGCGAGGGCAAAGGCGCTCGCGTTGGCTTCGAAGGGAGACGGGTCGGCGTAGCTAGGCCACGCACTAGGACACCGTACTGCCCTTCGGCCGTGAGTACGCAGCGGGGCAACAAAAGGTGAGCGTTCGCATCGGGCGCGAGGCGCCGTCAGCGAAGTCCGACGAGCCCCGAGCGACGGGACTCGACGGACGGAAAAGAATGCGTGGCTCACCGTTTGAAGTCCCGGACTGTACTCGCCGCTCCCGACGCAGCGCGCGAAAAACCTCTCGGGAGGCTCCCCGCGCGGCGCCACAGTCAACATCCGCTACCGGGTGAGGGAATTAAACGTCACTCCGCCCTTCCCAGCGCGGCAGACAGCAAAGGAGGGCAGACATGTCGGACATGAGAATGGCAGAAAGGCGGGAAAGCCCGCGCAAAGGCAGGCGGGCTAGCCTCAATTCCCACAAAGTGAGCAAAATAAGTGGATTTCGGGGGTGGGGGCACCAAAAATATTTATTGGCCAAAAGAGTCGGTGATGAGCATCTGCTTTCTTTCCTCTGCATGCCACAGTTCCGGCTCCCTGTTCCAGCGCGCGGACGCGGCGCAGGGGAATCCTCTTCACTCTCTTCAAAGCTGAAGAAGAGACACGCCACATTAAGTGCCTCCATCACCGCAGAAGCTGACGGGCGCACAGGCGCTCTGTCATTTTCGTCTTCCTCACCTTCTGGTCTTCAGCATCAGGCTGCGCACCAGCTACTTGAGCGATAATGTCCTCATCAGTCAGGGCACCACACACCGATGCACCGGTGTCAACTTCAACATAATCGGCAAAACCGTACAGCCCCGAAGAGTGTCGCGCAATGCCACTGGCATGAGCTACTCAGCACCATTCACGCTGACCTCACAACTATCCTGCGCACTTCCAGCTGCAAATCCACTGTGGCGGAAACGGTTTGCGATTGTGGTCGCGGTCACCTGTTCCATGCGCGCCCCAACCATGTGCATGGCAGTGAGCAGCGTAATGCCGAAGTCCTTCCTGTCGCCCGCGCACAAATCATTCGTGAACGAACAACGTGCTCGAGGAACAAGTGACGCTGCCGGGAGCGGCCTAGGACTGCTAGGACTACTCCGCCGACTCCTCAGCATCCCCAAGGTCCCGCGTACAAGTGGCTCCAGGCACTGAGATAGCGGGAGGGCTAGGAAAAAAAAAAAAAATTGCTCCCTGGATTTTGGAGGCCATACTTTGCTCGCTCCTTTGCTCGGAGGTCACTTGAAGCTCGAAAAAAACTGGTCGTGCCACCTATCGTTCGACGGTAAAAGCTTCCACTAGTGTTGACGATGATGACGCTCGGCGGCGCGCGCTTCGAATTATCCGTAGATGGCAGCAATTTCTGTTCGAATTAACGAATCGTTTTACACATGGTCTCCTATGCACCTGCGGACCGGACTGCGGCGACATTTCGAATTACATCCAAAATTTCGAATTAATGAGGGTGAATTACGAGCTTTCACTGTATTTCTGGATTTTTCTAAATTTGCATTTTACTGCGGTTTGTAGTTGTGGATGTGGGTTATATGCAGCGTCGGTTAAACATGGTAAATTATAATTGCTTGGTTCTACATCTTCGTACACAGCTGTGTATATTCAGAGAGCATTGAAAGCCTTCAGCCTAATGTTGGCTTCATTTTTCACAATCACATTAGGCTGGCTTCTTCGGATGATGCATACTGCTGCAACGTAAGGCTTCTTTCCCCCCCCCCCCAAGTTCGATGATATTATCACTAAATTGTGCAGAGAACAGCAGGTTGTTCCTTATTACGGCATCCATCATGTTTACAAAGGAGAAACAGCAACACACCAGCCGCGGTGGTCCAGTGGCTAAGGTACTCGGGCTGCTGACTCGCAGGTCGCGGGATCAAATCCCGGCTGCGGCGGCTTGCATTTCCTATGGCGGTGGAAATGCTGTAGGCCCGTGTGCTCAGATCTGGGTGCACGTAAAAGAACCCCAGGTGGTCAAAACTTCCAGAGCCCTCCACTACGGCGTCTCTCATAACTATACGGCGGTTTTGGGACGTTAAATCCTACACATCAATCGAGAAACAGCAACACTACAAGATGGGCCAGTGGATCAACGAGAAGGAATACTGGGGCAAGGACATGTGAAGCCAAGCGGTTGTTTCTACTCACTGTGTGTGCCGCTCTCGTTATCACACCACTCGCTCTCGACTGATTGATTGATATGTGGGGTTTCACGTCCCAAAACCACTATATGATTATGAGAGACGCCGTAGTGGAGGGCTCCGGAAATTTAGTCCACCTGGGGTTCCTTAACGTGCACCCAAATCTGAGTACACGGGCCTACAACATTTCCGCCTCCATCGGAAATGCAGCCGCTGCAGCCGGGATTCGAACCCGCGCCCTGCGGGTCAGCAGCCGAGTACCTTAGCCACTAACCACCGCGGCGGGGCACACCACTCGCTCTCCGTTCCATAGATAGAAATTCAACTTCCATGAGAAAAAAGCCAAACACTTCTGAGATGTTCACAACGTCAAGTGCCCAGCTAATTTCAGTTCTATTTCAGCCAGTGTCAAGTATAGTCGCGTTCAATATAATTCAATATAAATAACAATTTGATTCACCTGAGTTCAATATGAACGGGTTTGACTGTATTATCATATTTTAGTTGAGTGCCCACCGGAGTCCGCCTGTGGTGGTGGTCCATGTAGGACCACTGTCGAGCCGCTCGTCCCGGAGACCGAGTCGGAGCCACTCGCTTCGTCATCCTCAACGTCCTCGTAGGTCAGAGTCCGTGCCGTCCTGACACGCCTGTAAGTCGCGGTTGTTCTCGCCATCGCGCGTGTCGCCATGACTGGCCACCACGGCGGCCGGTTGCTGCCGCACGCCCTCATTTTCGGGAGCCTGTGGCTGTCGAAAAAAAAGAAGTGACGATCAATCTCGACGGGTTCACGTACGAAACGAAAGAACTTGTGTTACAAGGGCCTCAATTTTGCAAATTGTTGCAAAAGAGTTATTGAAAACTTGAGATGAGTTAAGGGGATACTAAAGTGAGACTCTGAATAAATTCTACTCTGAACAGAAGTTATACAAATTATAATTGAAAAGCTTCAATGTTTGTTTCATCATAATAGGCTCATTAGTAAAACATCAAGGTCACAGTTTTGTTTTCAAATTTCAAACTGAAATTCGAGTGAATGACGCTATGGATAATGGTTTATTTTTACCCAGCCACACTGGCTCAATGGCACTATCAGAGGGCAAATTACTGCATATTAACCGATTAGTAACTACATAGGTTATGGTGACTGGTGCCAAAATTTCAAGGCGGCTTTGCCGCTGACATATTCTTTCTGCGCATCTTCTCACTTAGAACGAATACCCTTGCGGCAAGCATGGTGATTTCAGTATTGTCAACGAGTAATCTACTAACACGATAAAAAAACGCCAGGCCTGCGCGGTAGGCGCAGCACAGTCACAGCCAAAGCTAGAGGAGCAGCCTTCCAGAGCCTTTTGGAAACACTCATTGGGTAACTACTGCAAGCACACTTGCTTGGTACCCACTAGGGCATTATAATAAACTTTGGGGTAGTAGGCCGGCAGTCGCTATGCTATTTTCGTCATTCTTCTGAGAAGCGTGGTGTCTGCTAAACACTTGCAAGAAATTTTGTGCCAATTGTCCATGTAGTGGCCGACGATGATGAGGAATAATGGTTGAAGTGTGTATTTGCCAAACTTAATAGAGGAACAAGAACAAGCTTTCGTCATGGTTTGGAACATTGGACGGCCCACTCGTTACGCTATTTGCATTGTGCGACGACTGGTTGTTCTCTTGCTGTTGTGAAACGCTCTATAAGTCTTATTGACGTGATTGCTTTCTCAGCATCAAGCCTGCATAAGGCAAGTTTACAAGTCACAGCACTGGTGTAGCTCAGTCGTAGAACATTGGGCTGGCACCCAGCGGACCCGGGTTCAAGCCCCACTGTGAGATTGGTGCAAGGTTATTGTTTCTATTTTCGTGCGATGTGGCGGCCAACAATGACTGCGAGTGACCTGAGAAGTGATCTCCTAACAGCTTTCTCTGTAAAATAGTTTCCTCCATGGCGTCCCTTCTTTATGTCTCGGGGGTGCTAGAGTCTAAGACGTCTTCATTTCCTTCTACATAAGAAGGATTTAGGAGTCTGCCCTTGCCAAAAAAAAGACAGGCAAGCAAAGCTTTGCAAGTGCACCATTTTTCTTTTTATCACACTGCACAATGCTCCCTCCTAACTGTTTCCTTGATCGCATGCAGGTCTGAGATTACCCAGAGAGGGCTCTGGCGCTGCAACCGTCAATTGGAACGGCAGGTAGTACACAAATTCGCCTAGCCTTCGTGCTTGTGGGCTTCAAACGCACTTGTGGCTCGGTTTATCACTGTGTTTTGGTTTTGTCTTCGAATAAAGAAGTTGACTTGCTTGAACTCGTGGCCTGATTTGAACAGGTGAGCCTAAACGTGAACTGCAACAATACGCAAAGGCAGGCTAGTTGGTTTGGCTGCATACTGAAACTTTTGTGCACGCAACACGATGACACAAATAATAGCCGGAGGGGAATCTGGCACTAGTGTTTATGCGAGCTCCTTCGGCAGCGCTTGTGCCCCCATGGAAACTATGGGAAACACAGGCCTCGGATCTGCTTTGGATAGAACACGCTCTTGAGATTCGAGACGCTTGTTTGCCAAGTGTAAAACAAGGCAAATAGAAATTATATTTAATTGAAAGACAGTTCGCTAGCTAACCCATTCCAATCCGAAGTCTGTACTTCCCACAATTCCCATAAGGGTACGTGATTGCAGCACCAGATTCCTCTCTAGATATTATTGTATGAAACTCTTTAGACCAGCGCTATCCTTGTGAATCTTTCATTAGTGTCTTCGTGTTGTGTGTGCAAGAGTTTCATTATGGAGCATTAATGGTTAAGGTGGTGAAGTGCAACTGCTGAATATTTGCAGATTGTCGTCTCGTGCCAAAGAGGTTTTAAGCCGCGCAAAGCCAAATGAAGTCGAGAGTACGGAGATTGGACAAATTTGTGTACTGTCCATCATTCCCCCATGGTGGCTCAAGTGCCATGCATTGAAGCCCTCATACACAATAGCACCTGAGCTTCCTCTAGAGTATTTACAGAAAAGTACCGTAATTACTCGAATCTAACGCGCACCTTTTTTTCGGTTAAGCGAGTTCATAAATCGCATGCGCGTTAGAATCGAGTACGAACAAAAAAATTAGGTCAATCTATAGCCATCGGCAAATTCAGAATGGCCGCCCCCTACGTGCGTCGGCATGGCGCGTCGGCCATTTCTGCCTATGTGTTTCCCATGTGCGGCACTTCGTACGTGTGCTGAGGAGTTCGTCATCTAGTAGTGCATTAGCATCGACAGCGTGGAAGGGCCGACTCCAAAAACTCGAGTGCACCACGATGCCGCTTTTAAAAGGAAAGTCATCCCGCGTGCAAAAACGGACCGAAATCGGGCCGCATCGCGGTCGTTCGGAGTTCCCGAAACGTGCGTGCGGGACTGGCGGAAACAAAAGCAGAAGATTGTCGACAGCAAAGCTTCACGCAAAGGCTTCAGTGGACCACAGCAGGGTCGGTTTCCGCAAATTAAAGAGCTGCTCGGCGAGTATGTGCTTGAGCAGCGAGCGGCACAGCGGCCCGTGACGACAGAACTGCTCCAAGTGCGGGCTATGCAATTAGTCTTAGAAAAAGGTCTAATGCGGAGCCAGTTTAAAGCGAGCAGGTGCTGGCTGACTAACTTTATGAAGAGGAAAGGCTTTTCCCTCCGAAAGGGAACATGCATATGCGAAAAGTTTTGCAGTAGAGTACGATGAAAAGCTTCACAGTTTTCAGGGGTTCGTCCTAAACTTGCGGCGCAACGACGGCTACCTGCTTGGGCAAATCGGGAATGCCGATCAGACGCCTCTTTACTTCGACATGCCTGGCACCACAACCGTCGAGAAGAAGGGGGCGAAGCAAGTTCGCGTGCTGACATCGGTCCACGGTAAAATTACAGTGACGGCAATGCTCTGTTACACGTCGCATGGGCACAAGCTTCGCCCGTACCTCATATTTAAATGGAAGACGCTCCCAAAAGGAGTCGTTTTTTCGAGTGGTGTGATCGTGCGGGCCAGCGAGAAAAATGGGTGCGCGTTGCAATCGATGTCTTACTTTTTTTTTTTTTTCGCGGTGTAAATCGGGTGCGCGTTACAATCGAGGGCGCGGTAGAATCGAGTAAGTACGGTATAAGGGGAATTGCACCGTCGTCTACAAACTTAGTAGTGCAACACTTCAGTTGCTAGAGGTAACAACGATGGTCATGAGCTGATATCTAAACAACGATGAAACGTGAAACGACCAGTGACATCGATGAAAGACCAAACTGCAACATAATGAACACCTTACTGCGGACAATTGAGAGAGCAATAACTCAAAAACGGAGCACATATACATGCACTCAACTGGCGTACCTTTGAGGGCTGCTTTTCTGTACGGTTTCTGGTGCCTCATTTTTCACATACAGTAGATTCTCATTAAATTGAAAACTCTTAAGCGAAAATGCTGTTTAAATAGAGTAAGGGCTTCCGACGAGATTGGTTTTGTACCTGTATTCTGCACTATTGTTCATTTCTCAGTCATAAAGTTTCCTAAAATTAACTAGAGGGGACTCTGGGGCTAAGATCGTTCAGCGACCATGGTAATGATGGGTATTACACGGATTTGCCTAGTCTTCGTACTTGCGGACGGCCAATTGCATTTATGGCTTCATTTATTGGTGTGTTTCGGTTTTGTTACAAAGGAAAGAATGAACCTTTTTGAGCTTCGGGACCCGATTTGAAATGGTAAGTCTAAAAGAATAAGGTGGTGAAGCGCACCCACTGAACATTTGATAATTTTTGTTTTGTGAGAGAACAGCTCCAAGCCACACGAACACACACGGGGCCAGAAGTATGAAGATTAGACAAATCCATGTACTACCCATCATTCCCGTGCTCAATGAAGGGTCCATAGCGTCGCAGCATCCCATAGACACTAGCGCCAGAGCTCCCTCTAGTGTATAATTAGGAAACTCTATGCTCTCAGTAAATGAAACTCAGGTTAAATGGAACACATCTGCCCTGTCCCTTCGGTGCCTACTGTGTATGAATACCGCCATTGAAATTTAACTCTCAACGCCCTTCCATCAAAAAAAAAAAAAGTAGACACTCACACATTCAGGGTTGTGAACAGGTGGGGAGTACTTGGAGGCACAATGTCGCTTCCACTGGTCTAGAGTGACAATGTTGTCGGTGGCCTTGAGGGTGTAGTAATTACGGTCCCCAATCTGCAGAGCACACCGCTCGAATATGTTGATCATCTTCACCCTGCAAGCAACGGCAAAGCAGCGCAGGAATATTCAGAAGGTTCAGACACAAACGACGTAGACATCTTAAAGTAATCTTTAATGCTGTTACTGTAAGGGTAGCCATTATTGTCGTCTTCTGTACTATGTTCATCTCTAGCATCTCATAGCAACAACATGATCTAAACTAGGTAATACTCTTCAATAAGCTGACTATTTTTCAGATCGTTCTTCACTTTCCCAGTGATGTGATGCACCTTTGTTAGGCTGAACTCTCAATTAAGTCTTACATTTTAATTTTTCCTCATCGGTGCACATACACCTTAAGATGCACCTGTGCTAGTTTCTGTCCTTACATTCACCCTGATTGGCTGTCTGCATATTAACCAATTCACAGAGGTTGGCCAATTAATAAATTGATTACAAAGATTCATTTCCAAGCATGCCAGCCGATTCAGGTTGGAGCTCAATGATTTTGCTCAATGATTTTGGAGGACAATTTGACATGTCGGCAAGAGTATTGTTTTTATGCAATGTAGGCCATATTTAAATGCAACTGGTTTTAGATGACAGAACTGGCAAAGATAAATAGCGGGATTAGATTCACAGGTTACACAAGAATTGCCTAGTAAAAAAGATATATCAAATGGCGGTGCAAACAGCGATCAGGAAGACAGATAATCAAAGAGTAGCCAGATTCTATGCTGGCTGCTCTATCCCGACTTCACCTTCCCCATCTCTGCACCAGCCGAACGCGTGCCTGTTTCCGAGAGCCGCTTCCTATTCCTCACACAGGTTACGCTGAAGAGAAAGAAGATGTCGGATCATGTACATAGATTATATTATAGGTTAAATGGAGAGAAGAGAGCAGAGTGGATTAGAGAACAAACGAGGGTTAAGGATATCATAGCTGAAATCAAGACGAGGAAATGGACATGGGCCGGGCATGTAGCGCGTAGACAGGATAACCGCTGGTCATTAAGGGTAACTACCTGGATTCCCAGAGAAGGCAAGCGGATCAGGGGGAGACAGAAGGTTAGCTGGGAAGATGAGAATAAGAAGTTTGCGGGTATAAATTGGCAGCAGCAAGCAGAGGATCGCATTGACTGGCGGAACATGGGAGAGGCCTTTGTCCTGCAGTGGACGTAGTCAGGCTGATGATGATGATGAAATGGAGAGATTGTATGCACATCAGCCAAGTCGGGTTACTGCAATTGGCAGAAATTACACGACTAGACATCCATAAAATTAAACAGAGATTCTGTAGATGACTCCACCTGTCCAGTGCCTCTCCTTCGATGACATACTTGATGAGTTCATCATTCTGGTTGTTCCCATTGGATGTGTCCTGGTAAGCCTTGCACACACCTTGCACAAATAGGTACACCACCTTCACCTGCAGAGAGCACCCTCAAAGAATCAATGCCCCGGGTCAAGTATTTCTTTCATTCTACTTTATTACACCGTCGGTCCCTTTTGGGCTATTACAGGGGCGGAAGAAAAGGAAAAACTGGATAACTGAAGTGCTCCTTAAGCAATCTATAAATAAAATGTAACAATAATATACTTGTGCGAATAGTGAATTTTTGGTTTAAGCGAATAGTGATTTTGATCAAATAATTTCGAATCGAATTCGAATGGTATGAATGACATATAATAAAGAAAGGAATATTTATCATGACCTAACTAATCTGCATGATATTTCTTTTGAATTGAAATAGGGGCTCTATGCAAATGCCATTGATTTTTTTCTTTAAAAGGAAGCCGTAACAACCTTGAGTAGTAGATTCGGTAGGATGCGAGTGATAACCTGTAAGATACCTAATGTTTTATTATACTTGGATCCTATAAGCAGTCATAATAAGGCTAATGAAATGAAGAATTGATTTGAGGATAACATGTTCTTTTGAAGGGGCCCTGCAACACTTTTTCAAGTAGCCATGGAGCCTGTAAACATGCTTGTTGCCTCACAAATTTACTGCTGCAAAGGTTTCTAGAATCAGTCCAGTACGAGTGGAGTTCCAAAAAATTTGTCGCACACTGCAATTGCATTCTCTCTTCTCGTCTTGATGAAATAGCTGGAAACTAAGCATGGAGGCACGGCAAAAGAAAATACTCCACACGCACCTAGTGACCTTGAGCACCTTTTTTTTTCTTCGAATACGCGGCTTTTCAGTGCGATCGCACACGTACTCGTGGACAAGCGGCGGCCTCGGTATCGACGAGCACACCATGCTCAAATCAGCCAATGCCTGTGACCAGAGCCGTATATTACTTCTTGGCTGTGACAAGTGATTTTCGAGCTCGTAGTATCACTTGCCGAGGAAAGAAAGCAATTTTTAGCTTTGAAAATTTATTGTGAATTACAGGCCACAAACTGCGCTACAATATTTGCCTCGCATGTTTTCGGTAGCCTCGACTACCGATCAGCAGCGTTTTCTGACTGTGTTCAGTAAGTGTTGCAGGGCCCCTTTAAACTTGAAGGGGGGGCTTCACGGCAAAACAAATTGACTTGAACACTTATTCGTTCATTGTGAATACTTCAAATATGTTCGATAATTTAAACTCGAATACTCAACTATTCGTTTGAATGACATGCTTTGGCTGCAAATAACACACACACAAAGTAAAGGAACACTCAACGACAAGCACAAGTGGCGTTGAGTGTTCCTTTACTTTGTGTGTGTGTTATTTGCGGCCAAATCATGTCATTAAGCAAGTACCAACTAGGCCAACAATCAGTATTCGTTCGAATATTTGAAGCACTCAAATATTCGCACAAGCCTAAACAATAATTAAGCAATGAGTGAATAGCCATGACGCTACTATTTCGAAGCACAGTGATTCTAAAGCATAATAGCTAGCGTATTCGAGGTAACGGCAGCGGCGTGCAAACCAGAGAGCGTGCAATTGCAAAGAAAGCGATTGGCTGTGGCACGTGAAGCCATTGCCTGCCTTTCCTGCTGGCGTCGATTATGGTTTGGCGGTCTCTTTACTTCGCCCCTGTGGCAAAGCCTTCGAGTGCGTGCCGCACAAACGAGGGCGCTACGATGTCGTCCGTTTACTGAATTCATAGGCTTCTGTGCTCGTGAAAATGAAACCATGTTTCTAAGTGTATATTACAGCTCTTTCATTCCAGTTTTAATTGACATCAAAGACTGCACACAAACACACAGACATTGCATTTTCATTGCAACAGAAATTAAATGAACACTCTTGGCGCATTTTTTTTTTCATGCCACGAGCTTCCACGTGAAGCTCGGAGCTCGATAACATTGCTCCGCGCGCTGTATGCTCCATGTGCGGGTGAAAACGAGTGAGAGCAGCCAACGACAGTTTCTTAAGTAGAGAGAAACATGCCAGCCATTTAACTTTGGGAACGAAACTCCGAAGATAAAAAAAAAAAGTGGATTGTCAAGGCATGGAAGGCCATTCCAGGTGAGATGGTGCGTAAAAGTTTCAAGAAATGCTGCATCACGAACAACACAGATGGAACCAAAGGTGACTTTGCATAACAGTGAGGACTGTGGTGCAAGTCATAGTTTTAGCGAGAACAGTGACAAAGAGTTACTGGCCTTGCAGGCAGCGTGTTCTGCTTGATAAATAAAATTTTTTCTGCCAATGTATGTGCTAAGTTGCTTGAGCAGTAGCTTTTCTAAAGCCTTTCTTTTATAAAAAAAATGTGCAAGCAATTTGTAAGGATTTTTTTCTTTTTCCGGTGAGCCGAGAGTGGGGATGCAGATTATATGTAGGGCCGGGTTATACGGACGAAAATGCGGTAACTAAATATTTACAACCACTCAAATTGAGCCTCCAGAAACTTGCAATGAAGTTCCATGAATTCCTCGCACTTATGAGAGGTCAGTCACGATGCGTGTCACAACGGAACTAAGTATCGATGCAGCACTCACGTCGTCCACGGTGACGCGGACGTGCTTGTGTGGACGGCTCAGCAGGGCTTTGGTCCCCTTGGTGCAGTTGAGCCAGCGGGCCCCCTCGAAGCACGACATCGGGCCGCACAGCCTCTGGCCCTTGTAGAAGCCTTCCTCCTTGAACTCGGACGACTGCGCATGGCCGGGGACAAGAGGATGTCATGTGTAGCATGCCACAGTGAAAAATACCTGTGATACTTATAAGGAGGTTGTTTTCAAGTATCATCATCATCACACTGATTACACGTATCGCAGGGTAATGGTCCTTCCCATGATCTGCCAATCAACTCAGTTTTGTGCTTACTGCTGCTCCGTTATACCTAAAAACTTTTCAATTTCATCGGCAACTCCCTATAAATATTCCAACACTGATACCCGATTATAACAAAGTTGCGTCTTACACGAAATAGGTTCGTTGTATCTGAAAAATCTATAAGGGACACTCCTAATGCTATATTGCAAAACTATTTTTCATTTGCTTCGTTACATTCGTTACTTCATTACATCTGGGTCCGTTATATCGAGGTTTAAGTGTACTTAAAACATGAAGGACGTCAGAGACCCAAACGGCAGCAATAATACTTGAAGAGGCCATCGCGAGTACACTCGAACCTTGTAAAAACGAAGTCACACCTGCCACGGAAATACTTCGCTATATTCAAAAATTCGTTATAAACATATATTTGCAGCACTTTAGCTGTGACAGAGCCCTTCCTCACTTGCTTCGCTATAACCGATAATTCAGTATATGCGGGTTCATTATATCAAGGTTTGCGTGTTACATAAGGGGAAAGGGGGAGGGTCCTGTCTGAAGAGTGTAGATATAGAGCTGTTGTGAGAATTGTCACAAGAAATTATGCATTAAAAAAAATCACTCCAATAACAATTAAGCGAACAATTACAGCACATAAGTTTGGTCTGACATATTACACAGGTGTTGAACAAAATAAAGAGCTGAACAATAAAGCATGCAAATACATGCAAGCTAGTATTTTTTCTTCACAGAAATCACAAGCACAGGGAATTTAGATACATATTGGCCTAATATATACATTATACTCTAATTCAAGATACTCAAGTATTCAGTACGCCAGTAGTATGGGATACAGCAAGAATATATTGCAAAGATACGAAAATGTGTTATAGAGATTGGCAACAGTGATAAGCAGAGTAATATTTCGCTCATAACATGGCATTAACTTATGATATGCATTGTAATTTTTCTCACTTTACAATGTTTCAGTGTCCTCCTTGGCTTTTGAAAAAATATGACTTCATCATGGAAGACACATTTACACACTAATTTATGTGTTGTACATTACCCTTTTTTTTGTACTGAAATTTAGTTGAAAAGGCTGAAGCTTTTTGTTCTTGCCCCTTCTATCAACGTGAATCGCCAAAAAAAGAATAGCCCTATTATTCGTATTTTAACTTCGAGAGTTATCGAGCAAAGTACAATTTCAGACCCCTCGACATGCAGACTAGACTTTCAAGAGAAAGACAAGCTCACCGGCAGTCTCCGATCTAGAGCATCTTCCAAGTCGAGTGCGTCATCTTCTTGAAGTATGCATCTGGAAGGTTTATGAAAGCACGTGAGAAAGCACACCTCCTACACTTCCGCACAAGCAAGCAATTGAAGTTGTTTCCCCCTCCCCATTACAAGGAACTGAAACATGCAAAATAAATATTCAGCAGCCCTTCTACTATAAAGAAAATTGGGAGCAAGCAAAATTTTGGCGTACGCGCTGCCTCCCGTAAGAGTTCATTCTTTCTATCACGTTGTGCAACACTCCCTCCAAAATTATCACTTCCTCCGTGTCGAGAATTCGACCTCTATCCGTGTGCTAGGCCGCGCAGCACTTCGGTTGCTATGGACAACGGCTGCAATGCAGGCAACGATTAAATGTGGCAACGTGAAAATGACTGGTCATATAGGATCAGATTGCAATGTCAGAAATGGCCAATGGCCGACAAGCCCCCCCCCCATTTGAAAAACCATCGATTATTGTAAAATAGGTTATACAAATACACATCTGACTGGTGTACCTTCAAGACCGCGTTTCAGTATGCTACTCAGTGCCAGCTTTTTTGTACACATAAGGGATGCGATGCAAGCTTGTTGGTAGTTAAACAAATTATAGTGTATCTTATAGCAATTAAATTTAACTACAACATAACTAATGATCTAATTACTGTAATTTAATGTCTTCAGGTTTGTTTGGTTTTTTTTTTTGCACCGTGCAGACAGGACAAAAATATAGGCACACATGAACACACAGCCCCCTGTGTGTCCATGTGTGCCTATATTTTTTGTCCCGTTTTTTTCTTTGTGCGCTACAAGGAAACTTCCTGTACACTTTTGTATACAACACTGGCCCTGAAATATGCAAATTCTTCGAAGCATTATTTGAAAAAGGCAACGCAGGAAAGCGAGCAGATGGGGTGAGAGCTAGCGTATACAACATATCAGTCTTTTTATTGTGCTGCAATGCCACAATGATGCCCAAAGTTTCCATCACTGTGGCGCACAAACCCATACAGGCTTTTCCTAAAAAGTAACTAATTTACATTAAAAGCCACAGCTGGCAGAAAATAATAACATATATAAATTCATTTTGAAAATTAATGAAATTACTATGAAAGTACTATAAATATTCTTTACCATTCTGCAAAACTCGTGCATACTATATACAGAGCATACATACAATGAATTCTCCGCGCTCTTTGTTTGGCTTCCGACACTTGAAGTTCAGCATTCACATTAAATTGCCCATTATCTTTTTTCCTCTTTTTGGTCAATATTTTATGCCATAAAGAAAGGGGAGATGCTACTTGTTAGTTAAAAGTATTTGGAAAACTAATGGGTAACTTTTCTGAAATTACTGACTTGAAGAAATTCGCTGCATGACTAAATTACCCGGCCAGCACTACTTTTTACAGCAAAAAATAATCGAATTACTGTAATTGGGCCACTGCCAAGCCATGATGTGCACTTCTCTATCCAAAAGTCATGTTACTCGCAAAACGAAAGGGTACACTCACGTTGACCCGTCAGGAAATCGGACTGTAAGCTCCGTCTTGAAGCTTTGCACCATGCCGACCCAGGAGTCAAGATATATGGCAACATCTTGGCTAAACCTCTGTGCAAAAGTTTAACAAAATCGATTGGCAACTTCGAAGGCAACACATAATCCATTGCACAAAATGTTTATTCATTGCAAAAAGAAAAAGTGAAGCATGCAATAACCTCGTCGAGTGCAAATTGTGATGCATCGTATGCAAATGAGTCAGATTATAATGAAATAATTCTGAAGACATGATATCCCATTCCCAGAAATAAGATCTTTTCAGTAATTAATCATATTTAGCATGCAATCAAATGTTCAATTATTGCACAGTCAGTCATGTTGCATAAAAAAAAATCAAACTGTAGATTCAAGACGCATGCCCAATTTGCAGCGTTTCGAACAACATGTGAAACATTGCAATGCTTTCACGGAAGCGATGGACTACACTGCTAAACACACTGAGGTCAAATCAAGACACGCCGACTATGCAGAAAGCTTCAAAAGATCTAAAGCGCAATTACTATAGTTATTTCTTGGCCACTAGTCTAAGGAAAACCAACTGGCGCGTACATGTGCGAATGTAATGTCTCAAAGAGATTAACTATAATCAGCACTGCAACGACCCCATAAACAACACCGTCACAAACAAAGACGAGTAGAAAGCTACCCTTTCTACACCATTCCGTCCTTCCTCCATACTGTCAAAGTCCAATTAGTCAACTGTCCATACCTAGTTGATGCCAAAGCAAGATACAAATAGAGCAGCTAATTTAGCATGTGTCACATTTTTAGCTAGAGCTAATAGTAAGATGAAGCTGACCGCTCTGATCAGCGTGAAATGTGATGCTGAGCTCCATAATAACAGTTATGTAACATAAAAACAAAGTTAGACTTTTCACACTTTTCCTTGGAAAAAAAAAAGCACAGAATGATTAAAAGGTGCTTGACCTAACCTATTCCTCTCCACCCCCAGCCCCAAATTATTTTGAATATTTCTGGACAAGTTAGACCTCAAGAAGGCCTTTGATAATGTAATCCATGCAACGGTGCTAAAAAGGGTAAATGATCTAGATCTGGGACAACGGACGTACAATTACGTGCGCAATTTCCTGACGGGAAGTAAGGCAAAGATCATGATAGGGGGCCTAGTTTCGGAGGAAATTGAGATGGGCAGTGCAGGTACTTTCTTTTCCATTTTTTTTTACCTCTTCAACATAGTGTATTAAAAATTACGAATCTCTTCTAAAGTAGACAGTAGATCATTATCAAAATTGCAACGAGTATCTTAGTCGTGCAAAAGTATCAACTCCAGAATCATACAAAATACAGGAAATTAGTAACAAAACGTTAGACACTTTTAGGCGTGAAATCGCCCAGATTAGTTGGGATCCTGTCTATAAATCAGTTAACGCTAATGAGGCATATGAAATATTGCCGCATGAATTCGCGTGGTTTTCGTGTGGAAGAGGACGAAGAGGTTGGGTTGGAGCAGTTTTTTCTTTTTGTCCTAGCTTGACGAGCAGTTCTGCGGAAGGTTTCCTTGAGTGAGACAAGATTGGTGACAAGATTGGTGGAGCTGCTGGGTACGACAACTGACGACGCACCCCATGCACAAGAGCCCATCCAGGAGCCGGAACACAAGCCCTGTGCCCGTGGACACGCCAGTTCACAGAACAAGCCGCCGCCAACGAGGCCTACCACCAGAGACACCGGCACAGCTTATCCATAGAGCGACTATGACTTCGCCTCAAGGCGTCATGGAAACTCCTACGTCGTCGGCACCAATTTATTGCACTGTCCAGAACCCGCTGATGCCTAGTCCCTTTCACGGAGAGCTGTTTGAGGATGTGGACGACTGGCTGAGCGAGTTCGAACACGTCGCAGCGATCAACTACTGGGACGAAGCCGCCAAACTCCGCAACGTCTACGCGTGTTTGAAAGACGGCGCCCGAACGTGGTTCATGAACAGAAGTGATGTCTTGACATCCTGGCGCGAGTTCCAGCATCGCCTCTTGGAGACCTACCGGAGCCCCGACCGCCGCGATCGTGCTGAACGTGCATTGCATTCACGCATCCAGATGCCTAATGAGACCGTCACCATGTACGTGGAGGACATGACGCAGCTTTTCAGGCGAGCGGATCCGGCAATGCCAGAAGAAAAAAAGCTACGCTATCTGATGCAATCTCGCTCATAGAGAAGAAATACAGTTAAGAACAGCCGATGGAAAAACCATACCCATAGTCGACAGGATCAGGGTACTGGGTCTGCTCATCGAAGCCAAGGGCAACAATGGAGAAATCCTCAAGCGACTGAATGCAACTGTAGCCCAAATAATGAGACTCATAAAAAGGATAGCAACTAAGCACAGTGGCATGAGGGAGGAAAACACGATAAGGCTGATACAGGCATTCGTGATAAGCAGAATAGTATACATAGCGCCGTACTTAAAATGGCAAGTCGCAGAAAAGATCAAGCTAGACTGCCTCATTCGAAAAATATTCGAGCTAGCTATAGGGCTACCGATCAGCACAAGCACCGACAAACTGTTACAGCTAGGCCTGCACAATAGCATAGATGAGCTTATTGAGGCGCAACGTACGGCGCAATATGAACGTCTCTCTAAGACACGAGCAGGAAGACATATTCTAGAGCGACTAGGCATAACGTATCACATGCAACACGGCGTTAAGGTGGACATTCCAAAAGAGACCAGGAGACAATGATGATAACACCCTTGCCAAAAAACATGCACCCCGAACACAATAAGGCCAGAGGAGAGACACGAGCAAAACAAATGCAAAAAACGTTCGGTAATGACAAGGACGCAGTTTTCGTAGACGCTGCTCGATACAAGCGCAGACGAGGGTTTACAGCAGCCGTAATCGATAGCAACAAACGCTGTACGACATGCGCGACTACACGCACCACAAGTACCGAGACAGCGGAAGAGGTAGCCATAGCGCTCGCAGTAGCTCAGACAAACGCAACCGTGATAGTCAGTGACTCTCAAACTGCAGTGAGAAACTTTGCCAACGCCCGCATCTCCCCGGAGGCACTACGTATTCTACAAGGAGGGTGTCGAACAAGCCCCAGAAATGCATACATTATATGGACACCTGCTCACGGCATCGCGGGGGACTGCAACAACGGGGCTGTACATGACGCAGCTCGAGGGCTCACCGACCGAGCTGACCTCTCAAGTGCCGCCCCAGCCTGCTCCGGTGATTACGGCGTGGCAGACGAGTGGGAGTGGGAAGACAGAATGACCAGATACAATGAAATTACAAAACATTATAGATTACAGAGGGGCATATTCCCGCCCCCTCACCCAAAATTAACAAAAAGACAGTCGGGCGAATGGCGGCAGTTACAAACTAGGACATATCCAAAAACAGAACAGAACAGACGGTTTTATTTTGCTAAATGAAGAAGAATACATGTGCCATAGTCAGAGACTGCAAGGGGACCTCTTGTACAATGTAGAATTGAGAATGATTGTGATGTACATAGCAGGGAGACAGAGCTACAGTAAAATGCAATTGAAACAGATAAAGTAAGAATATACCCTTGTAATCTCACAGAAACAATTTAAAAGCAAGAATAACACGCTAACTTCAATGACAAGTGATTACAGATCGCAACTCACAATGAACAGGAATCAATTAAGAAACAGCAAAACAGGCTAGTTAGTTGACATGATATGATTTTTTAACTTCGATTTAATTACCTTCAGGGAACGGCATACTTTAATGTCGGAAGGTAAACTATTCCAAAAAGAAATTCCGGAAAAATGAATGGTTTGTTTGCCATAATTGGTGCGAACTTTTGGCAGTAGAAAGTTATTGTTAAGGGCAAACCTTGTGACATTGTTATTTGAAAGAATGGTAGTAAAGTGTGGAAGTTGGTTATTTATAGTTCTATACATGTAAATACCAAGGTTATATTTAGCTAGCTCAGATACAGTTAATATATTGTTTTCGCGAAGTAGTGACTTAGCGTTAAAGAGATATGGGCTTGACGTGAGAATTCTTATCACTTGGTTTTGAATTGTCTGAACTGAAGTAAGATGAGTGGTGTATGTGTTACCCCATGAAGTAATACAGTAAGAAATGTGCGAATGAACAAAATAAAAATACAGTGACATTAGTATTGATGGATTGAAATAAAGACGGGATTTAATCAGTAGTCGAACGCCATACGTCATTTTTTTCCTAATATATGCAACATGTCGGTGGTATTTCAAGTTACTGTCGAGTTCAACGCCTAGGAATCTACAGCAGTCGCTCACAGGTATGTCATTGCGCGCAATTATAACAGGAGGGATAGAAGGTAAGGGTTTTTGTGGTGAAGAGAAGACAACAAATTTTGTCTTAGACGTGTTAATTTATAACATGTTATTACTGCACCACCGAACGAGTTGTGCCAGATCAAAGTTTAGTTTTCCAGTTAAGGATGTAATGCTGCTATCGGAGTTAAAAAATTGTGGTGTCGTCGGCGTATAATATACAACTGGGTGAAGAAAGGCATTTCGGCCAATCGTTAATATAAAGTAAAAACAAAAGGGGCCCCAGAATGGACCCCTGGGGTACACCAATATTAGTTAATTTGGTTGACGAATATGCATTAAAAATTACCACCTTCTGTGTCCTGTTGCAGAGATAGCCACACAATAATTGTAATGTTGGGCCAGTTATACCAAATGCTTCAAGTTTATTGAAAAGAATGTGATGATTGATCGAATCAAAAACTTTAGTTAGGTCGATTAAAACGCTGCCCGCATAGTAACCGTTGTCAATAGCCTTTTTTAATTGGTCAGTAAGTGAGATTAGCGCAAAGTCACTGGAGTAGCCGGAATGGAAGCCAAATTGACAAGGCGATAGTACATTAAATTTGTTCAGGTAATTTGTGAGACGTGTACAGATCAGTTTTTCAATTACTTTGCTCAAAAAGGGTAAGATGCAAATGGGGCAGTAGTTATTCAATAACGAAGCATCTCCTTTTTTATGTACGGGGATTATTTTACCCTGCTTCAGTTCATGCAAGAAAACACCTGTTCTAAACATTAAATTCACAATTGAAGAGAATACATTTGATATAAGGTGAGCTAACACTTTTATATGGGAGGGGTGAATGCCGTCAAGGCCAGCACTCGTCTTTTTTAGGGTACCTATAACGCTGATTATTTCATCTAGAGTTGTGGGAAACAGAAAGAATGAATGGGGTAGGCGATCTAAGGCCATTTCATTTAATAAAGGTAGGGTGTGCTCGACGTTAAAGAAGAAGTTTGCAAACTGATCGGCGATGTCAGCTGGGTCACTATAAGTGACATCATTATGAAGAACTGTAGCTATTTTATCTGAACGTGGGTTCCTATTTAAAAAGGAATTAATGATGTCCCATTTTTTCCTCGTACTATTTCCGGCCTCAGTTATCTTTTGCGCACAATACTTTCTTTTAGCTTCCTTTAGCTGGGTGTTTATTAGGTTACAAAATTTTTTATAGCGAGCAAGCAAATTCGTGTTTAACGGTTGCCTTTTAGTTTTTTTGTAGAGGTTGTCACATTTGCACATGTTTGTAAGTAATCCCCTCGTCAGCCAGGGATTTGCTGGTGATGCGATTATTTTTTTGCATTTTAGCTTATCTGTACAAGATTGAACATGTGATAGGAGCAAAGATGAAAAGAGGGTGAAAGCTTCTTGTGCACCAGCTTTAAGACAAACTTCAGACCAGTTAGTGTTAGCAACGGTATCAATAAATTTTTGCTTGTCCAATATATCACTAATAATCGAAGGTGAATCACGTTTTGCAGTGGAATCGAAACTTGCACTATTGCACATTATATATCCTGATATATACAAAACGGACAAGTGCAAGTGTTCTGACTCCAGAGCCACTCTGGAGCATATGTTATGGGAATGTAAAGATATTAATACTCATAACAAGTATGCGGCCTCTGCTGACAGCCTTCGCGCGTGCTGGGAAGCCGCAATGCTCAACTCCGTCCTCGAAGACCAAATATGGGCCGTCCAGCGGGCCGAGGAAGCCGCCAGGATTCAAGGACTCCTGGCCGTAACCTAGGCGGGGCCAATCGCCTATCCCATCCACTCGCCGGACTATGAATAAAGTTCTTTCCTCCTCCATTTCTAGACAACTAACAGGTTAGTTCGAAGTGAATAAGAAGGAAGTTACACTTGGCAGTGTTAAAAAATATGTTGCTTGAAAACAAAAGACTTTTAAGTGAAGCCGCAAATCAATTGTCTCTGCTACATGTTTCACGAACCGATGCTGTACTAGACATCTAACGAGTGCACATCAGTTCAGCCTATCTCATCTTCAATGATAATTTCACAACCTTGCTTTATTAAAGAGGCAATTAGTGAAGGATGCAGTTCCAAGAAAAAACTTTCTTTTCCATATTTTTTTACCTCTCCAACATAGTGTATTAAAGAATTGGGAATCTCTTCTAAAGTAGACAGTAGATCATTATAGTCAATGCATTAAACAAGCAATATATATATATTGACAAATGTTGTTTTTCTGTAGTAGCAGACAAAGCAAAAGATTCCATTTGGGTACAGCTTAGCACCAACTTGAAAAACAATTCCAACACGTCTCAACAGCTCATGCATATTGTTAAGACAACTTCGAGAAATTGCATCATCATCTATTCAGACCTAACCATGGTTTTGTAAGGCCAACGAATGCACCGTTACTTCAGTGTTGTGAACAACAGTCTCTAGAATATTCTTAATACTTCCCACTAAAAGCTTGCATACCATTAAGCAAAGAGGTCAGTAACCTTTCAAAGCAACCGCCTGCAACTTTCATGCAATTGTCACGCAGAGGGTTCTAATGGGAGAAGGGAACAATTATGTGCAAATAGTCCTGCATATGTCAAACCCCCATATAACAAATAACTGTATATATCAAATGGTTGTAAAATATCTTTGAATATCTTTTTGATACATAAAATAATTTATATATCAAACCGCCTATATATAAAACATTTTGATGGTCCCCTTCAGATCGAATATATCTGGGCTCAACCATAATGTTGTCATATACTTAACACTATCACTATCTACATGCTTACTCCTAAAAAAATAATAGAAAACTACAAAGGTGATCAGTCCCTTGTAACTAAGGTGAGATACGCTCAGTTCATCTCGAGTAAAAAAGAAAACTACCGAATACCTGGCCTTGCTTTCAACACTGAACATTGAAAATACAACTGGACATATTTTCTGATCGCAAAAACAGTTCAGGCTACTTTTTAGCATTCCCACAAGTATCGATTCGATATCGCCCATTCTGGCACATGCTTAAAAAACAACACATTTCAACACAGCTGTAACTAACACTTTCATAACACTAGTATGCAAACTATGCAACTTCACAGGACTTTCTTTTTTCAACGTGCACATGCTATTGCATTCGCTAATGAACAGAGATGACACAGACATGTACAAACGGCAATACGACAGACTCAGTATCGCTGCTTGTTATCATTTGTAACTACGGGGACAGTCCCAACTTCAATCTGGCAACTCAGCTTCACAGTCAGAGACAATTGTTGTCCACCGGACAGATCTACTGGGAGTTTTTCTAAATAAAAGCCATGAGTAGTAAGTAAACAAGGCCCAGGTTACAATCACACAGTAGTTGCTGTACGAATTTCACAGCTCTATGTGCATGGCACATAGATATACAAACTTCGTATGGCTACCACTGTTCGGATTGTGACAAAAATAAGATGGAAAATTTATTACGGTGAAAATAAAAGTACACGAGTGCACCAAGTGTTACACTACATAATCTAAACGTATGATCAAATTACAATGCTTAATTGTATACATTGGTAACAAAGTCACACCACAAATGTGTAATAAAACGGCAAAATTTTTTTTTTCTAGAGGGTATGGTTGATATCACGAATAGTTACTTTGAACGCAAGTTTGCGACACAACTAAACAAAAGTACAGCTGCAACTTATTCTATGGGATTAGGATTTCATATGCGTCTAATGTCGTAGAAAAAGCTGTACACTAATGACGCTTAAGTCACACGAACAATATGTCGGCGTTTCTGGTGTAAAAGTATGGAAAGCGCGTTTCTCAAATTTTGTGAATTTCATAACGCACACGCAACAACAAAAAAAGCGCGTTTCTCAAATTTTGTGGATTTCATAACGCACACGCAACAAAAAAAAAAAAAACATTCGCGCGTTACGCAACCGGCAAACAGCGTCCGAAATCGGTTAAGTAATCTCAGCAGGCCCGCTGTACGGCTCAGTGGCATTTCCCGTGCACAGACGCAACACCATCGTTAGCGCAGTAGCGAGAAGAAAAAAAAAAATCGAACCCGTAAGCACCCACGCCCATACCGAATCGGCTGCGTGTCATTCATTGCGTTGCTCCAAACAATAAATAGAAGTGAACAAGAACAAGGCTTTTGCGCGATACGCGTGCCTTTCTTTACTAGGAAGCTGTCAAAAATGGAATAAGGGTGTTAACACAAAGTACACCCCAAAGAGAGTAAAATAAAGCAGTAATGACGTTATGTGACACTATCGGAGGGGGGGGGGGGGTATGAATGGAAAAAAGTAAGATGAAACGTAGTAGAAATGAAAAACTGGCGAAGGAGGGGACCGGAATTCTTCTACGCTGAGATGTGCATACAGAAACATTTCTTACCTCCAGTGGAACTAGATCGACGCTGTTGACGTTGTTGATTACGCAGTTGGTTCCCAAGACCTGGACGGTCGCTAGCACCTCGGTGTTGCGACAGTAACCCAACTGGGTGTCTTTACCCTTGACCACTTTCCTCACGACATCGCCAGGCATGAGAGAGCGATCGTGCAGTTTTACCTGCGTAGTTAGATAAACAATAAACGGAGCGCCCCATAACCTCCGAAAGAGAGCAGCAGAACTCGGTGGGTTGCTTATAAGAGGGGAAAAAAGAAAGAGAGAGGAGGAGGTTGGCGAGGGATTGTATCGATACGCACAAGATCGGCGTATCGTATAACGACGCGAAACGAGAACCTTCGCGCTTTCTCGCTTTGACAGGTACACCGGTGTGGGTGACCGTACTGCACTACGTCCCGGTTTAGCATCTCAACCCTCGTGCAAGGCTCTGGTTCCCCCCCCCCCCCCCCCCCCCTCAAGTTTCGCTATTCCATTTTACGCATACTTCCGGAGCTTATCCCCCGCCAGGTACGGGGCTCGATTCGCGAGAAAGAAAGTAGCGAAGGCCGCATTTACCTTCTTTTCGGAGACTACTTCCTCGCGACCCTTGGGGTGCCATGCGACTCGTACGTGGCCCCTTCTCATGCGGTCCCATTGGGGCACGTTGGCCCCGACTTCGTCCTCGTCCTCGCTGGTGACGTACTCGGCATTCTCGAGCACCAGGCCGAACTCGATACGTCCCTTGCGAGTGATGCGGTAGACGGAGTCCTCGTCAAAATATTTACAGTTAGATGCCATATTCGACCCGTCTGCGCTCTGTGCTTGAGTCGCGAACGCGCAGGTTCTCGCGAGATCGCGAGGTCTGCGCGAGAGGCAGAGCAATGCCTCCTAGAAAAATTTATGCCTGAAACGTAAGCCGCAAACGTGCCCCTCTACCCTCAGACTTTAACCTTCTCCTCTAGTGCAAAGGCGAGCGCCTCTGGCGGCCTCTTCTTGCGAACGCAGCATTGCTCTCATAGTTGCCTCTGAGCAGCTTGTAAAGTCACGTGACAGAACGGTACGGTCATAGTCCCTTGCCTGCCGAATGAGCGCGAAACGCCGGTCATTTATAGCGGCGCTGCCTACGTAGGAATAAGGGTCTTTGTACTTGGCCTTTGAGACCGGCAATTTTGGCATTTGCTACCAACTTCAGAGGCTATGTCTTGTATTGAAGAAGTTGCCTGTTGAATGACGGGTCACTTACGCAGAGTTAATTATGATTAAGTTTACACCATTTTAAAATTTTTTACGTTATTTTTGTTGCATACAAGTTTCAAAACCGTAAAAACTTGTTTGAAAACATCTCCTACTTAGGTGGCGTCATCACTATAGTTCTGATGACGGCCGCTTTCCAAATGACCGCCGATAATCCGGCAGGCAAAAAAAAAAAGGTCCGATAATGTCACGTGACTGAGTGGTACGGAGGCGAGCGGTCTCACGCGGCGCACAATCGCAACACACTGCAAGAGGCATGGACTCCGAGATATTGCGCTGGCAGGAAACTTTCAATTGAAAAGAGAGCGACGTTCAAGGCATAGTTTTTCCAGGAGGCGTTGGGGAGAGAAAAAGTGGTTTCGGTTGTCACGGCAACAGTGCCGCACATTGCATCTAGATGTTCCACGGCGCTTCCTCCCTAAGAAGACGAAGAGGAGCGCGTCCCTCATACGTAATTTCACTTACGTAATAAAGAAAGATAGAGACGCCCTGCAAGAGGCATCGCTTGTGTAACGGCGCTTTCGTAAATAGTCGACGCGCACACGAAAGAGTCACATAACGCGACGTTGTTTAGTCAGAACGTTGCCGAGGAAGCGTAACATGGGCAGTGAGCATTCGTGTTACAGTGTACTACAGCGCAGGCTAGTGCGTTTAGGCTGATTGATCAACGAATGCTATCGCTTGTGTGCATTCTAACTCTTATATCACATCCGAATTTCTACCTTGGATTCATTAACCCATGAGAATAATGCCCTCTTTTTCATGCCCAATTTTAACAATTAGAAAAGCTGCTTTTTAAAACATTCAGCAAAAAAGGAACACTCTAACCAGCTGTACTAAATGGTCTCAAAAGCCCCTTTTACATATTATTTAGTCGCTCCGCAACCACAAAACAACGCGCTCATGGGCTAGGTAGCGCTACTTAACACGCCAAAGCTAAGGCACGCTTTTTTTTTTTGTTGCGTTCATTTGTCCAGGATGGCTACGCCCCGCAGAAAAATTTTGCCATGGCCGCGGCGGTCGCCAGAAAATTTCTCCTCTATTCATCGTTGCGCCTGCAGTGCAGGGTGCCGTCACTGCGGGCGAAGTCGGAGCCCACAGTGCGACAAATTCGTCACCGGATGTGCTACAACTCGGGCGCCATAATGCCCGAACCTGAAACGTCCAAAACGGGTCTTCTGTGGGTGCTCCTCTCTGTCCTACCCGGCCTGTACATCGGCGCAACCATCAGCAAGGAAGGTGCGGCGTTTCTGGAAGAGAACGACATCTTCGTGCCCGACGATGACGACGACGACGGATGAGAAGACGGTGCCCCTAAATCGCGGGTTTGCGTTGTCGCGAAACGCCAGTGCCGTTTTGCGCCTTCTCACGTAGTGCCCTCCGAGGACTCGTCGAAAATTCGACCGCCTCGCCGATGCAAGCAAAACTCTTTTATTTGTCTCTACTTAAACTAGTCGTCGAGAATTTCGTCGTGTGCCGTGAGCATTGCTAAGGCGAATTCGTATGAAACTGCCTTGTATGTGGATCGCTTTACGACGCAAGCTAGTACTTATTATACACTGTAAAAAATACATAAATCCTAAGGTTATAAGTCTAAATAAAAACAGAAAGAAGTGTTGTAGTTAATCGCACTTTAATTTATACATCCATGGAAGAAAATACACTGCAATATACAAACACACACACGTTTTACAAACAAACAGTCTCCAAGGCACTAAATTGTCTTATATTACATTATAAATAAATTACGAAATAGGCAGCGACAGTTCTGCAAGGCTTTGGCGATATAGTCTGATCTGTGTGACTATGACACGAAGTTGTAGAGATGGACGTCGGGTCTACAGCTTGAGCACGGCTTTCCCGCGATGGTCTGCACTGGCGTGGAAAAAAAAAGTGGGTTTAAAAGGACATTATCATGGTTGCATTCCCATATCTCTCACTTGTGCATACAACACTATCAGTCTGGAATGCTGATGCTCCCGCTGATGAATTTTCCCAAGAGTAACATGGGCGTTTCAGAACCATGCAAAGCATCTCACAAACGGGCAGGTGAACTTTTTGTGAGGATGTACAATGCCCACCGTCTTAAACACAGTTTACGACTAAGCAACGCACATACTCTCCACCGCGATTAGTTTGCAATGCATCGGTGTAATCTTTAGTTTTAACTCGCTCCACAGTCAACTTTACTTTTAGCAGCCAGATTCATAGCGGCATGACATGATTAGCTCGATAAGTTGGATGTATAGGACGTTAAACTAAATGTTTTATGACCTATTTCAGTCTCTGAGAGCTCTACGTAATATTGTATTTGTTAAGAGAGCTTAGCTCTGTGGGCTAACCCTCTAGGTAGTTAGCACTCAAACTCTACACACGGTTGATTTTATCTGGTGCCCCTGTTTACTATCGCATTTAACTCCACAACAAACGCATAATGCCCTGCCGTAAATTATTGCAAAAGCATAGCATAGCGGTAAAGGCTAGATCAAAATTGCTCGGCAGTGCCAGATAAATTTACTGTAGCTAAACGACATCAAAATCGAAAAGTGAAGTATGGGCGCGAACAAGCCATTAGTTTGACCAGAGCACATTTCTGGCGGCCTCCCTTATTGATGCACCCTTCAGTAAATCCTTGGTCACATTTTCAGGAGGCTGTCGGCCATAAAATAGGAAAGGTGTATCGATAAACAGAGCAGTAGAGTGTTGCAAATATGGCATTGTCAGCTTTGGTACGAGATGGCAAGGCATCGGAAGTATATGGCACAGTCATGGTTTCGTACAAGCTTATTGCATAAACACTTGGCGATCTTAGGCAGGATGGAAATTTGTTCGCTTCAGTTTCAGAACCACGCACAGTAAGTGACAAGTCGAGAATGCAGGACAGGTACCTTCCCTCCCCCTGCGTCCCCTACACAAACCACCATAAAGTGCAATCTGCCTGGCTATGTATTTTTCCATGCACTATGACACGGCACCTTTATAAAGACCATTGTTAAGAAAAATAGTTGTCCTTATTTTGTGATTATGCACACACGTAAAAATTGTCGAGTGCAACGGAAAAGGCTAACTGGTTGGTAATCTCAACAGGGGTTAAGAAGGGTGATTTGCCCGAACCTGTACGTACATATCCTGTAATCCGTCACAAGTACGTCTTCACCTTTAGGCTGGTCAAGGACACACACACAAAAAGAAACGCCTTTGGAGTAGCCACCTGCTCCTGAGCCCATTTTAGCCACCTGCTCCTAGCCCGAGTTCATCTTTGCTTCTAACACAATGCCCATTAAGCTTGCACCTTTTCAGTCTCAGAGATTCAGGAATGATAAGGTTTCAGGGTAGTTAGTCACTGATACCTGCTATTCCTCATACAGTAAAACCTTCATACAATAACAATGGAAATAGTTACCAGTTATAATGAAGTACATTAAGAATAACCCAGCCTTCATGATAACGAGTGTTATAAATGTACACTTATGACGAACTTTTAGATATGAAGAAACTATTTTTATGTCAAGTGGAATTTGCTAAAACAGATTTGCCTGCGCATGTCAAGACACATCAGTGTTTTCTGAAAGGACCCAGTCGCCTCCTTCACTCGGAACAACAGCTGCACCCAATGAAAGATGTGCAACCCCATTAAGGCACGACAGGCTTAGCTACAACAAAGTGCCCGAGTGTGGAGAATGTGAGGGCGTCGATATAGAGAGAAAAAGTTACCGCCCAAGTGTCTGTATATATGGTTAACTAGTAAAGCTGAAACATGCGGCGCATCATTAGCTGGGTTATGTACTCGAACCTCATTATAACAAAGTTGCATATTGGACAAAACTATGTTCGCTATATACGAAAGTTCATTATGAAGGTTTATTCCTAAGACTAGATCTACTGCAAGACTATTTTTCATTTACTTCGTTATAACCGATATTTCGTAATATCTGAGTTCGCTGTATCGAAGTTTGAGTATTTAAAAAGTCCTCTTCTGTGACTTTTGATTTATCCATTTGAAGAGATGCTAGTTTCAAACTTTGTGTATGGTGACACTAGCTTTCAGGATATGAAGAACACCTGAAGGATATTATGGGCAGCGATTCATGCTGGGGTGTGTATCAACCCTAGCTAACGTATGCTGACGAAAGCTGAAAAGAAACTAGAGCAGGAGCGAAGACTCCTCTGGACGTTCTAAACCCACTCGAACAAAAGCAAGGGCAGGCTGAACATTAGTGACTGATACTGCCACATTGACATTGAGTTGCTCATGACTGTTTAACATGCTGTAACTTTTGTTGAAACAGGTTCAGAACATCGATTCCTATTGGCTTGCATACAGTAGAATATGCCAGCATTTCCCCCTAATTATATTTTCTGTGCACTCAAGGACGGCCACAGTTATCCACCTCCTAGCCATGTGCAGCTTCACTGTAAAAAGATGGAAGACTACGATGTCATGACTGCATCCCCTTTGAAAGGAACCCGATGCTGCATTCTTGAATTGCCACTTATCACGTCGCACAATACGACTCTTTTTTTTTTTTTTAAGGTATGCCGACGCATTTTCAAACTTGAGAGACACCTTACTAAAGGCACTTCAAACAAGAAGAGATGATGGCAGTTAACTAGCATTATTTTCAGGAAGCATCCACAAGCTTCCACTTAATGCTAAACGTTGGGAACGTCATACCTGGTGTTACCGATATTATCGCGACGTCTTGACATGAAGTAAAACTCGCTGACATCGTATGGTGATAAAGATAAGCATGGTCAGATTGATCATGAAAAACTTTCAAAAACAGAGCAATGGGCACTCGTAGCTGCGCTCGCATTTGGAGCCGCAACGATCGCAAGAACGGAGCAAGCCAGCGTATCACGACGAATGTCACCTTGGCGCAGGAATCGGAGACTGTTCATAAAAACTACTTAGGCTGGCTTTGTGATGCAAAAGTGACTAAGGCTATGCTGTGCCAGTCACAGACGAAAACAAATGTTGTAGTAAACCACATATAGCGTTCTGGCACTAGGGATAAATTTCTTTTTGCATTGGCCTAAAGCCCTCTTTGGATTGCCTTCAGTTTAGCGCGCAAAATGTGGCAAGTTGAGAATGTTGCATCAGCAACACCTTTCAGAGATCCAAGTTGCATTCACCTACAATGCACCTTAGCAGGCTCTCTGGCAAGCTTTCCTATTCCATCAAATTAAAGCATTTGTTTGGCTATGCCAGGAAATCTATTTGCGAACTCTCAGCAATGGTCAAAACAATTAACCGGGAATAAGCTTACAAAGTCCGCTGAAAACACACGAGGAAGAAACGTGGTCCGGTGTCCAAGCTTAACACGAGATCGTTATGCAACCTTGTGACCTATACGCGTTTGGAGCAGCACCTCAACGTCCTTGACAGACCAAGTACCCAGAGTAGGCGACAGGTGCTTTACGAGTCACTTTAGATCATGGTCAAGCCTAATTCGGATCGAATTACTAGGTCAGGATTAACCTGTTCCCACAGCTTGCACAGCAGCCTATCACAACAGTGAAATCCGATCCTAATTGGGCTCAAGGGGTAGATCCTTCTCTGAATAATATTTTTAAAACTTTGATCTGTATTGATTAAACTTGCTGAGTTCATGCATATTTCAGACATGCAATTGTTGTTGTGCAATGTACAGTCTTTAAAATATCCAGATTTCATAAGTTTTTTGTGAGAGCAATAATATTTCATAAACTAGTTTAAAAGAATTACAAAGTGAATTGGCATAGGTAACAATAATCTGAAATGGGCGTAGCATGTGGTGAAACGAGAATGAATGCTCTGAACACACTTAACAAATGTTCAGGCATGTTGAACATTAGTGACTGAAACCGGAAGCTTGACGTTGACTCGCTCATGATTGTTTAACATACCATAACTTTTGTTCAAACAGGTTTAGAAGATCCATTCGTATTGGTTTGCATACTGTTTGTATTCTAGAATATTCTGATATACCCATTACATTGTGGCTCCCTCAGTTCAGATTAGGTGCAGTTCCCAAACGGCACGAGAACTGTTCGATATTTTAGATGCCATACTACGATAGTGATTGAACATTCAAAAGCAGCAAACTAATATGCATGAACTTGGCAAGTTTCAGTAAAATAGATCAAGAATTTAAAAAATACATTGAAAGTGAGCCGTAAGACATCTGTACGAGGCTGTCAACGAGAAGGCGCTGCCTTTGTTGAGATGCCACGTGCCCTAGATGTTCGCAGAGCGTGGTTCCTTGGTGGATCGTCGTCGTCACTAGACTTGGTGGTTCGACTGCTCCCCTACTCGGCGACTGTCTTGTAGGCTCCCCATCCATGAAAGCACTTTGTGAACCTCCGGGACTCCTTTCCCTTCACAGTAAGCATCAGCTTTCGCGGCAGCTCGGGCTGTTTGACCCTCAGATTTTGCACGTAGACCTGGGAAAGTGTGGAACGGCATGCTTTCAGAGGTAGTGTAACCCTAGAGTTTCCTAATAAAGCCTCTATGTACCATAAAATCTTGAGCAAGTGCCCCTGCCCCCCAACCCTACGGTGAAAGGTAGGTTAATCACTCAATATTTGGACAGAGGCTCTTGCTCGGTTGTGGACCAGTATTTAAATGGTGGCGAAAGAGCCGCTATGAAGTGCTTCCAATAAAATGCTTTATTAAATGCGCATACACTTACTGTTTTTACTCAGCTGGAGGGAATCCTTCAGTCAAATTTCACAAGGGAAAAGACATTTTCAAATACTTCGACATTCGACACTTTGTGACAACTCTGAATGTAAAACTGAGGCACCAGACTGTAAAAGTGTGAATAAATTATGAAGATATCTAAGTAATCTCGGAACTAGGGGCTCCAGGGCACCGCTGCTGCAGGATTCTCTGAAGGAAAACAAGTTGAAAAAAATATGAAGAAAATGTGAACTTTTGTCCACCTCGAAGGCTTTCGAAGAACTGATTTGCCAAGTCGACGTGGGTGCGACACCTACATATGTTTTTTGCAAGCACGTCTATTCGCATCACATTACGTTCTTAAGCAAGCACCAACTAGGCCCGAAAGCAGTTATATATCAAATCACACGTGCCTTGGCACACGACAACATAGACTTTGAGCCACGCTTCTGCCGAGGCACGGCTCAGGCAAGCATGCTTACCTGAGCGCTCTTGTAGGCGAGCTTGACCTCAACCTCGCTGCAGCGCGAGCCGACCCAGATGAAGACCTGCGCCCCGTTGTCGAGGATCATGATGTCGTCATCCGCCAGGTCATCCTGGCAAAAGTCGGCGCACTTTTCCGAGATAGCGAAGTAGCCCTTTTCGTTGGAGCACCGGAACAGACGAGCGTGCTGAAGGAAGTCAGCCTCCTGCAAACGGCAATGAATAATGACAACGTCCAGGGTTCAATGTCCCAATACTTCGACATGATCATGACAAATGGCCAACAAATTATGAACATGTGCCCTTCTTTACAGTGCACATAATAAATCCAAGCATTTTGCTTCTACAGAAATGAGGCCATCGCAGCAAGGACCCTGTCTCGGAATCTTCAGGTTGGCAGTCAAGCGCCTTAACTACTAGACCACTGAGTCGCATTGACTGTCAATGTCATGAAGGCACCACGATGCCAATAAATGCGCACGAACGCAAAGACGATGGCAAGTACCGATGGAAAAACTGCTGTACAAAAATCCATAGCACTTTTTAGCTCGCCCTTTATGGTGATCCCGCTAGTAACTGCAGCGGACGATCACCGCGGGTTCACGCTTAGCGAGCCACAGGGCCGCTACTCCGTTTACTCGCGTGTAGCGCACCACTCCGCGCGCGCTCAACTAATAAGGCGTTTAGCGTGGCGCGGCAAATAGACAGTGTTCTAATGCAAAAGTACACAACACTTTATTGCCTCTGGCGGCACCCCGAACAACAGTACAACGTCCGCTCCCGGGACGCGGGTAGCAAAGGCACCCGCACGCGGATGTTCACAATAAGGGGAAAACCGCGAGCACGTCGCAGCTGGCAATGGCGAGCTTTGACACGCCGGTCGGAAAAAGGTCCCTCGCGGCTATGCTGCGCACTCTCACGATGGCCACTGGGCCTGGTCGCAAGTGTTAGGGCAAACCTCGTACGCGTAGGCCTACGGCAAGTGCGGCTCGTTGTGGTACAACCACTTCAAGCACTAGGCACCGCTGTGAGCTTAGCGTACGCTACCGAAGCTAGCACTCAAGAAAACACACCTGCCGAGGTGCCACAGGCCACCCCAGGCAGGCTACAGTCCGGCGATTCCCAAAGCGGACGCGGACGAAGGAAAACACGCGCATACTCGGCGCCGACCACGGAGGAGAGACCGTCAGTTCCTCGACGCGCACGTACCGCGTGCCGCCCGCACGTGGCGCTATCTATCGCCACGTGGTGTTAGCAGAGCAGAAAAGCAAAAGGGTGTGGCCATGTGGCGGAATGCCCGCGAAATGGTCGCGGGCGCGCCTCAGATCCCCACACCTTAAATACTTACCCTCAAACCCACAGCACACGCACACGAGAGATTCTATACAAAGCTTTATGGTAGCAGAAACAGCTGGTGATTTCTGTACCCATGGATTGAAACACGAAAATTTGGGCAAGGCAATGCACATATTTCGTTTTCAGCATCGACATTTCGTGTCGAATTGGCATAATTTCCACATTGAACACTTACCCAAAAGCCAACATAACATTTAGCAGTTTGACTTGCAGCTACATGATACAGTTATCACAAAGGAAAGAAGGGAAACATTAAGGGCTTGCTTTTCTTTGTTAGACAGAATATTAGAGAAATCGGTTGTAGCATGAACTTGACACAAGGACAAAAGAAGGAAGAGAACACACGCAGAGCTGATGACTCTAGTAGAATATTATTGAGTGCTAACACACAAGAAACCTAACGATAGTATGGGGGATGTTGCATGAAACAATTGAAACGGGGTTTATTGGCGTAAGTAGTACTTGCACAGCAGGTCTATTGATGCGGAAAGCGGGCGGCAGCAACCGACGCAGGAATCACAACACTCGGGGGAACAGCTCGTACAGGCTGGGGAGTCGGCCCAAGCGGAGGTCGTGGCGGAGTAGCAGCAACAGCAGCGTAAGTCAATGGCGCGATGACGGGTGCTGTCTGAGAGACAAACGGCAGTGCCTCAGAGACCTGCGCCTGTATTACCTGCCTGACGGCGGGCGCGAGACGCTCAGAAGAGGGTTCCGTTGCCGGTAGATACGACAGGCACGAAAGTTGTCGGGCCACCTCCTCGCGCACATATCGTTTGATTTCCGACATGATTGTGCTGTGGTCTCCACCCAGGGTCAATGCCGCGAGAGTTTCATCGGTAGCTGCTGGTCGCCGTGTCATGACCCGTTGTTTGCGCAACTCCTCGAAGCTCTGGAAAGAGTGGCGAGTTCGGACACGGTACGTGGGCCATTGGCGAGCAGCATCTGGAAAGCGTCGTCGTCTATCCCCTTCAAAATGTGTTTGATCTTGCCTGCCTCGATCATTGAAGGGTCAAGGCGCTTGCACAAGTCGAGCACATCCTCGATGTAGCTTGTGAAGCCTGTGCGCATTTCCGTAGGTGCTGTTCGGCACGAAGCTTGCGTACCTCGGGGCGACCGAATACATCGATAATGCGTAGCTTAAAGGCACCTCAAGTGGCGAATTCGGAGTGGTGGTTGTTAAACCAGAGACTCACTACCTCTTTCAGGTAGAATTGTACATATTGCAGCTTCGAAGGGTCGTCCCACTTGTTGCTTGCACCTACCTTTTCAAATGTCGACAGCCAATCTTCTACGTCTTGCTCTTCAGTACCGTTGAAATAAGGTGGATCGCGCACGCGTAGCGCAGTGGGCACGATGACCATCGGAGGCTGGGTCGTACCTTGCTGGGTGTTTTCTTCAGCCATGTCTGGGATGGCAGGTAGTTTCCTGTTGCGGAGTTCCAGGTTGAGTTACCCAGCACCTCCACCACTCTGAAATGGGGTTTATTGGCATAAGTAGTACTTGCACAGCAGGTCTATTGATGCGGAAAGCTGGCGGCAGCAACCGACGCAGGAATCACAACGCTCGGGGGAACAGCTCCTCTCGCTAAAGGCGTGACCCACTGCGGCACATAATCTTCTTCCTCTCTACACAATTATGAAAATAAATGAGAAGAAAGTAAAGTGGAAGAAAAGATAACTTGCTGCCAGCAGCGACCTAACCTGCAGGCTTCGAATTTATTTATTTACTTATTAGAATACCCTCAGGGCCCGTAGGGCATTACAGAGGGGGTGGGTACAACATATATAACACACAAGAAAAAAAAACAAAATAAAGAAACAAGTATCAGATGCGCAAATCAGGAAGGCAACATAAGTCAACTAAAAATGTATAAGAATTCAAGCACATACAAGACAAAGATAGATAATGAAAACTGCGTATAGTTACAAGCATTGCTGAGAAATTGCAGTCTTGAATAACAAAGGGTCTGTTATTGATACAACGGAAGAGGGAAGGTGGTTCCAATCGGCGGCTGTTTTCGGTAAGAAGGCTGCTGAAAATAATTTGGTGCGGCAAAACGGAATGGCAACCTTATGCTCATGATCAATGCGCGATGAGTGGTATGACGGTTGTGAAATGAGGTCTCGCTTAATTGATGGATTGTGAAAAAATATCTTATGAAAAAAATGCAGTCGCGCCAGTTTCCTCCGGACAGTTAAATTGGGTAGGTCAAGGTTAGATTTCATTTCTGATATGCTAGCAGTACGGGAATAATTAGAACAAATGAACCGAACTGAGCGGTTCTGAACAGATTCTAACGCGTTAATTAAATTTTGCTGCACGGGATCCCATATAGCGGACGCGTACTCAAGCTTTGGGCGAATTAGTGATCGGTATAATAGAATTTTGAGGGACAGCGGAGCACGAGAAAAGTTGCGGCGTAAGTATCCTAGCGTTCGGTTAGCGTTATTACAGATGTAGGTAACATGCGTGTGCCAAGATAGATTGTTGGTAATGTAAACGCCGAGGTACTTATATGAAGAGACATGCTGGAGGGGAACGGCGTTAATTCTGTAGGTACAGGGGGAAGAAATAGATCGCCGGGTTATTGACATGCATTTAGATTTGTTAGAGTTGAGAGTCATAAGCCATTTATTGCACCAGGTTGAGACAGTGTCAAGGTCTGACTGTAGAAATTGGTTATCATATTCATTGTTTATTTCGCGGTAAATTACACAATCATCTGCAAATAACCTTATAGCGGAGTTAATGCTGTCTGGGAGATCATTAATATTGTTTGTTAGTTCTACTTTATATCCTAGCAGCTACTACACGTGATTCGTCATAGCTGTCGCACTGAAAGAAATGGAATGTGTGAGCACATTACATTGTAAAGACAGTTGTACTCTTCGGGAAAGTAATGTTGCCCCGAAATGATGATTAGAATCTATCTTAGGTGCCTTTCCTTTGCTTTCATTTTGCTCAACCAGCACATCCAGGCTGTAAACAGTGAGCACGTCATCAGCATGACACACCCATAAGTTGCAAAATGAAATGGCAAACCCAACGGGCTGGATAAAGCTGCTGATGTCTTGGTGCCACGGGGGCATTGAAAAGCTATCTCCAGCAGCAGGCAAGCCGAAGCTTTTCAGCGCTTACCGTGTCATAGGGGGCTTTTCCTCCGAGTCCAACCCAGAAGAAATTTTCAGGTTCCTCGCCTTCATCGACAGTCACTATGGAGTACTCCATCTGAAGTGTGTAGAAACACAACACATTTTCTTTAAGAAAAACAAGAGCATCCAAGCTACTAGCTGTGTCTGACCATATTTAGTACACAAACTAGATAGTTATACAGACATTGTAATATAGAAGAACTGGGAAAATAAAATATTTTGTTATATTCGACAAACGAGTAAAGCTGCATTCACACAACAGACATGATCGCGGACGGATCAGTCATGTGACTTGTGACGTAATACAGATCCCTTCGCAGGCACCATTCACACGACAGGGGAGAATTCATGCTTGATTGATATGTGGCGTTTAACGTCCAAAAACCGGCATATTATTATGAGAGACGCCGTAGTGGAGGGCTCCGGAAATTTCGACCACCTAGGGTTCTTTAACGTGCACCAAAATCTGAGCACACGGGCGCTTGCTTTTCGCTTTTTTTTTTTTTTAAATTCTCTCAGCCTCTTCGCGGTCGACGCGCGGCGAGGCGCAAAACGTGACACAGCTGGCGCCATCTGTAGCGCGTCGCGCCAACTCGCGATGCTCTCCTCGGCTTTTTGAACGGCCGGGACGCGCTGCCGGCGCTGTGCTGCAGTGGCGGCAGATACGTACTCGCCTACGCTAACTTTTCGTCTTGTCTCGGCATAGTTCGTTTCAGAGGAACTTATGAATCTAAATGTTACGATTATTCTGAATGAAACATGCCGTCCACGGCAAACTTTTCATCGTTGTATCCGATATGCGGTGGATAACATATCGTTATATATGGTTTTTTTCCCCATAGCCCCAATGCATAAAATGAGACTGTTAAGTCGACCCATCGTTATAACCGATATATCGTTATATGTGGTATCGTTATAAGTGGACTGCACTGTATTCGGCAATCTGGCTTCAACAGGAATCCTAGATACTAAAACACATTACTCTATGTATGTTTCAAACACACTATAAACGAGCTAATCCTTGCCAGTCTCCTTGTGGCATTTTAAATAAAATAGACTATAACATAAAAAGGCAAAGATGCAAAAGAACAAAGTTTGTTTGACAAAATAGGTCGCCATTGACATTTTTTCGAAGAAGGATGCGATCTTCATTTTTAAAGGATTTCTTAATGTTACAACCACATTTTAAAAAATAAGGTTGTGAATAGTTCTTCAATATAAATATATTCTTACTTTTCAAGCTCCTTTTTGATTTTCAAGCCTCACGCAAATAAAATATTCCTTCATTAGAGCCAATATCACAGCAGCCCTCGTGTTTTCTGTTTTGTTATAAGAACAACAAGTTCCACTGAAATGAAGTATGACCATTCATAAGTTCACAATGAACTAACTGCAAATGGTAATTTGCTACATTGGTGTTTGCTTTAACGAGGCTCAACTTTACCAGAGATCGACGGTGGCGAACACAGTTATGGCATGAAGGGAAGCGAATGACGGAATGAAGCTGCCGGTAAACGATAAAAGAAAATATATAATGCCTTCACTATAAAGTCTACTAAAACAACAATGCAAAGGCAAAGCACCAAAAAATATTATGCTCACCGCGCAATACAAAGACCGTGCCAGTTCTTCCGCTAACCGCACGTCGTCCTCGTCAGCCTTGCTGCCGATCCAGACATAGACCATGCCGTCCTCTTCGCCATCTTGCTCAAAAGGCACTTTGAGAATATAACTGCACAAACCAGAACGAACAGGGTTGCTTAAAGGTAATGAGATGCACCACAGTCAGACATATCAAACTTGAATTTATTGAATCAATATTCGCTATAAACATGAATCAAACCATACTCTCTGAAACCTCACATGACGGTACAGTTCTGTGGCATGCTCATATGTATAAATCTCTCGTTCACCTCAAGCTCTTGATATATCAAATGCTGTGCTGCTGCACCCCTGAAAGTTGGCTTTCCTAACTGACACAAAATCATTCTCCATCAAATACATTCAAACCCATGAATTAGCCACGTTTTGGAAGACAGCATCACACAAAGCATTGAACCATAATGTGTGTTCTGGCTGGCAGAGCGGGGATTTTATTTTTACTGCGTGAAAACAAACTTGTTTTAATGAGCTTCACCTCAATGCAGCCCTCTTATGCAACGATACACACTCAAAACTACAGGAACTGACTGCCCTGCAGTGAAGCATCCTACAAGTGGCGTCCAATATCGCGAGAGCAATCAAGTTTCTTCAAGAATGCTAAAGACCTCGAGTTACAATACGTACGCTGATTCTACAAAACGATGACAGATAGAAGAAGGAGGACTCACCAAAAAGCTGAATTCAGGTTGCTGGCACAGGGAGGAATCTGTAAGAGGCAAAATGCACAAGACGCTTTAAAAAGACCGAAAATATGCAGCGCTGTTGAAATTTGGGCTTGCTGGTACATACTGATGACGAGAAAAATAGCGCTATATGAACGGGGACACAAGAATAAGACAAACTTGTGTCCTCATTCATTCGGCTCTATTATTATCGCCGCCGAAAAAAAACCTACAGACCGGCAAAAAAGGAGAACTGAGAATGAAGACCAACAAACTAACATTGCAGAAATTAGTTCTGCCCCAAGTAAAACAGCAGGAACCGAGGTCGTGACAGCTTTCACTGAAACACCGAGACCTCATTGACACAAGCTACATTTTGTTTTTGTTATCATTATAATTGCTGTATTGGTCTAACTGTATATTATATAGAATGTGTCCACTCTTGCTAAAACTTTTAAATAGGCCTGCAGTATTCTCTGCTTATATTAAATAAATAAATAAAACACAAGAAAATCATCACAAAGAATCCATTAAAGGGACTGTCTATCGTCCTTCGTTGCTCTCCTGTTTTGTGCCGCAATAAAAAGTGTACCATGTGAAGTGTCTAACCTTGCAGCGGTTTCTCGGGAAAGTGCGTAGAAATTTCTTAAACAGAATTTTTCTCCCCGCGTTATGTCTCCTTCCATAGGTGAAATGAATGCCCACAACACTAGTCGGTGCCAGTGAAAGTCGAAAACTGAGAGTGCGTGTGGTTTTTGCAGGCTTCATCAAGTTTGGTTATTAATAAAAACAAATATCTTAGTGGTCATTTTAGGCACACACACTTTCTTGTTGTTCTCATGAGCGGCGGCAGACGCTGTGGTCGTGTTTCTGTGCCGTTTGCAGGCAGGCATGCAGGCAAGCGAACGCACACTGCTGACAGCGCCACCGGGCGCCTTTTTGAGCACGTGAGAAAAAAAAAAGAAGCAGAAATTGGTCTCTGGCACAGCCTAAAGCTGCCTCAAGTGCATAAAATACAATTTCAAGTTAAACGTGCTTGTTTTTAAGCAAAATAAGTTTACCTGCGAGGATTTCTTGTTCTACCAATAGATTTTCAAGATTGACCACATTTGCTGTTGGGTGATGCTAGTGGTCGCTTCTTATCGACTTTCAACATCAAGTAAAACTTATAATTCCTTGTTTCTGGCCCGGAAGCATGCTCGGTGCCGCCATTGTGACGAACAATCTTTTCATTTGCACCACAATCGGAAAAACTTTTTTGAGTGGTAGACAGTCCCTTTAAAGAGCACAAAAAAAAACAAAAATACACAAGAAAAACACACACACACAGGGCCAGACTGATGACCAGCCTCTCATGTTGTTAAGCTTTGTGGGTATCTCGGCACTGGCCCTGTGTGTTTGCTTTCTTGCGTCGTTTTTCGTGTGCTGCTTAATTACCTTTGAAGATGCCCCTCACATTTTCTCTAATGAAAACATTCCTAAAATATAGTTTCTCATAGTCTCAAAGCCAGCGCTATCTACCACTGCCAACAGTGACAGCTGTCCTTGTGATTCCAACTGCGCTATCCCAATACACGCATACCTAATAGTCAGGAGTTCGACGAAAGTTCGTCTTGTCAGGTATCATGATGAGGATGTAGATGCGGTCAGTCACCAAGTCAAGGTGAAAAAACACACGAGACGTTTTGGGACCCATAAGGGTTCCTTGTTCTCACTAGTAACAAGAAATTCGTATGGGTCTAAAAACATTTCTGTGTCTTCTCACCTTGACTTGGTCAGAGAGTGAACAAGGAACCCATATGGGTCTCGAATCATTTCTGTGTTTTTTCACCTTGACTTGGTCAGAATGTGAATAAGGAACCCGTATGGGTCTCGAAACGTTTCTGTGTCTTTTCCTTGACTTGGTTAGTGACCACATCTACATCCTCAACACACATACCTCCACAAAAAAAAAAAAAAAAAAAAAAAAACTGTTTTGCATATGTCATAAAGCAGTGAGAACGGCATGACTACCGCTAAAGCTCGCAGTGATGATTACAATTATTGCCAACGAGAGCTTTCATTGCAATACAAGCTGGCACTCTGCTCTCCTAACGTATTTGGGACGTTAAACTCCACATATCAATCAATCAATCAATCAATCAATCAATCAATCAATCAGCTCTCCTAATGTACACCACGAATGCGTAAGTTGCTTCTGGAAAAGTTCCAAAACAGCGAAAACTTCAAATGAACCTGCAGCCTTTGGATCTGAAGGTTGCAGGTTTAATCCCGACCAGCAGCAAGTTGTCTTTTCATCCACTCTACTTCACACCTGTATCACAATTACTGCAATACACTTAAAACAGCACACAGGTTACGTCCCCTAAATAGTTTCCTTGGCTTCATTATCTGCCCGCTTTCATTAATGCTGAGCACGATGATGGGCGATGATCACAGAGTCAATAAATGTAACACCATAAATTGTTTCTCCCCAGCAGAAATGTGGACACAGTGATGATAACAATGACCCCACAATCGAATGTTCATTACGCCCACCTGAACACATCTCGAGCAGATGGGGCTGCCATTGGCACGCAGGTGGAACAACTCCACCGCGTTGTTTTCCTCCATCTGAGACTTCTTGCGGCTGCCCGTGTGGATGATGAACTTGCGCTTGAAGTGCGACAGGAACTTGAGATTCTCTTGTTGCTGCGAGGATGGCGACGTTACTTATTGTACAGTCAACCAGTTAAGTCAACTTGAAATTCCCGCATCAAGCACCATGAAAATGCTGCCACGTCATAGATTTTTGTGGCATTTACTGGGTCCACATCGTCATCATCATCAGTCTGACTACGTCCACTGCAGGAAAAAGGCCTGTCTCATGTTCCCCCAATCAACTAAGTCCTGTGTTTGCTGCTGCCACTTTATACCCGCAAACTTCCTAACCTCATCGGCCCACCTAACCTTCTGTCTCCCCCTAACTCGCTTGCCTTCTCTGGGAATCCAGTTAGTTACCCTTAATGACCAGCGGTTATCCTGTCTACGCGCCACATGCCCGGCCCACGCCCATTTCTTCTTCTTGATTTCAACTATTATATCCATAACCCAGGTTTGCTCTTTGATCTACTCTGCTCTTTTCCTGTCTCTTAAGGTTACAGATATCAATTTCCTTTTCATTGCTTGCTGTGTTGCCCTCAATTTAAGCTGAACCCTCTTTGTAAGCCTCCAGGTTTCTGCTCCGTAGGTAAGTACCGGTAAGATTCAGCTGTTATATACCTTGCTCTTGAGGGATAGTGGCAATCTACCAGTCTTAATTTGAGAGTGCTTGCCACATGTGCTCTACCCCATTCTTTTTCTTTTTAGTCCTACATAGATCCTAATCAGTGAAATTGAAGTACATTGAGGGATGGATGGATGCAAAACTATCCATCCATCCATCCCTCAGCATACACTGTGGGGGCCCTAAAGTTAACATACCGAATTTCAAAACATTCTGTTGCACTTATATTGTCAAAGTAGGAAAGATACATTTTGCAATCCATGACATCACGCACTGAAATTTACGCATGAAATTCAAAAATGAAACTGACATTAAAAGGCTTTCTCCTTGGGCTTGTTCGCTTATTAGGATGAGTAGTGTTGGCATAGGACACGAACAGGGCGAAAACCATTATTGGTTAATTGAGAAGAGTAAAGAGACCCTTTTAAACATTTCCATGACAACATTACACATTGCACCAGCTATATTTAACCAAGAAAGTATGACAGTGGTGCAAATTTAAATCACGCAAAACATCACCACACATGTGGTGATATACGAACAGAGCGCATAACAGCACTACTAAAAAATACAAAAAAGCGTCAGCGTACACATGCCACGTCACTCAGGTATGCTATCTGCTTCTTAGATAAGGTGATGAAAGCTGTGCTTATGCCCTAGTCATTAAGAAATGTGATGGCATTGGCTTCCATAATGAGGCAGGTCATTTCATCTTTACTTCTTGCCAAGATCATGCATCGGTGGAGCTTCGGCGCACGACCACACTTATTGTAGCGAATTGCCAGCTAATCCGACGCCTGTTCTCCATGTCAATCACTGGTTAATGAAGCCGGTAATTTCACTTTAGGGTTGCGTTTTTCGATTTGCATGATGTTCCCATGTACGTACCTGGTGCGTCCTGAGCACCTGCAGCTTGTCCCCAAACAGGGCCTCGAACTTCTTCTGCAGGCTGAAGGTGAACGTGAGCCAGCCCATGTTGCCCGCGTCCCTCCCCTGCCAGAAGTACACCACACACGTGTAGTCGTCCTCCAGGGCTTCCTCTTCTTCCTCCGCCTCCTCGTCCTCGTCGCCGGCACCTCCGTCGGGTCCATTCTTGACGCCCGCCTCGTCCCCGTCGCCGGGCCCCTCCGCGGGCACCCAGTAGCGGCAGAGGAACACGTAGCAGTCCGCGCTGTAGAAGTGGCCTGCCGGAGAGGACGGGAAGAAACATCCCATGATTGCTTGCTCCTTAGGAATGATCAAAAAAAGTTATTGCAGATCCACAAAGTGAATACTAACGACGGAACAAAGCTAGGTTAGGGTCCATAAGGCTCCCTGGGCGCGCCATAGGCCCCTCGGGACTGCTGTTAACATGTCTGACCCCCCAAAAATGCACGGCCGAAGCTGTGACGTCACCTTTTGTACTCCCGTGCAACAGACCAGAAAGGAGGGGAAATTCCTGTCAGTTAAAAAGGTCTATAAAGGACAGACAGATGCACGTACGAATAGACATATACATGGGCAAACGCATAGACAGACGTACGGATGCGTGGACGGACAAACAAATGGACAGATGGATGGACACACGGAAGCACGTACGGACTCACGGACAGAACGATGCATGGACAGAGTACAGTCTATTTTAAACTTATAAGCGCTACGAACGTTTCATGTACGATAAATGTAACATTTGTGTTTCCATCCGACTGGAAGCTACGACAACGACGTCAATGGACATCGTGAAGGCCTTAGGAGCTTCGCTCCTAATATTCAGAAGCTCTTTTCCTATCGGAACAATGGGCGAAACTGAAGCTTGCTGTGAGCATGCCTAGCCAGCTACTTTTCTTTGTTTCTATTGCACTGTACAATCCTCCCTTCCAACTGTTTCCTTCCTCCATGCCGGGCTCTGAACCCTCATCCACGTGCTTAGTGGTGCAACACCCTTGTTGCTACAGGCAGCGACAAAAGTCAGACATTCATACGAAGGCAACAAATAAGGACAGACGTGACAATAGGAATGGTAAACTTGGTCAAAATGTTCAATTTCTTAAATATAGCTTTTTTTTTCTGCAATCACGAGATTATGTTTTACGTCATCATTAAATATTAGAACGATATAAGCAGTAGAAGTTGAGAAAAAAGCATTTTATGGGTGGGCTGTCATCAAAAGCTACGAGAAAGCTGGGCTTTAGAAAATGCAAACCCGCAGCTTTTTTTCGACACAGTGGCACCACATTAGCATCATCAAAAAGAAGACAAATCGGACCTTAAGATAGCTGCAAAGCAGCAATTCTTCCATGAAAAATAAAGCCGGCTCCCAACCGAGTTCCGTTTTCATGACTTCAAGCTGGAATTTCTTTGAGGTCCATCTCTTCAGCTTTCATTTTTTTTTAGCAGTCGCTGTCAGTGATCCCTGTGCCATTTTGCAACAAATGAAGATATAGCCATTCCGTTTTCTGCACTTAGATCCTGTGACATTGGTAAGTGCCGTAAAACTGTCCATATTTGTGTGCACATCATATTGATTTTTGAAATTGGCTTTTTATAAAAGTTGTCAGAAAGACCCAGGACATTTCTAAGATTCTTTTAGTGCTTATTTAAATATTAAAAATAAACCAACAGCATTACGGTACAGAATGGGCCCTTGTGAATATCCTTACGCAAAAATTTTGATGAACTTAAGTCTAATTTATTAATTAATTTTGGTATGACAATGAGAGTCAATAAAGTATTGTAACTCAAAAACTACATTAGATAGCTCATAACCAATTTCAGTTGTAATATCAGCACAGCATATGACATATGCACACCAAGTTTCATCCCTTTATCTCCACAAATAGCAAAAATGGTTTTCATTGCCATGTCCCCTCTTAAACCTGGCAGCGTGAAGGCCAAACCTCATTTGCGCGAAAATGCACGCAACAGCGACGAGCGACGTTATGAGCGACGAAACTGGCTGTTTGCGGGATGTGTCATGCGGTCGATATTTCGTGATCACTCGATTTAGGTTTAAAATTTGTTGTCCATCGCCCGGAAGTGCAGTGCTCAAGCAGCCAAAACAAAACACTGGAACAAGATGTAGATCAGTTACTTACTCAGCCCATCAGCAAATAACATATAATGTTTATGTACGTCCATGTAACACACTACCGCAAGAAAACAATAAACATTCTATGTACCATTAAGCAACAAAACATCTTATTTTCCATTGCGTACGGCTGACAACGTGGTACCTTTTGTACAGACAGATGGCGTCATGCCAGCAACAGTGAAGGTCGCATCCCAAAGCTTTCGCGTGAATGGGGTTTGCCCATGCAAGCGACAGGTTAGACAAAGGCGACCTATGTTGGATCGCTCATCGCTGTCGTGAGCGTTTTTGAGCACGAGGGGATGGGTGTTGAACCGACTAGTAAATTCAAACAAAAAAAAATCACATTTCTACATCATAAACGGCTGACCAATGACAAATGACTATCGAGAAAGCGTCAATTACTAAGAAACAGTGCATATAAATACTACAAATACGCGTGCGACGGGTACATCTTCAAGGGCCGCGTTTCTTTCACATCGTGCTTTTCACGTATGCCGCCACTACAGAAATCTGCAAGTGTAAGAGATTCGATTAATTAAATTATGTAACAAGATCTCTCTGCCAGACCGTGTAAGAGCTTCGATTAATTAAATTATGTAACAAGATCTCTCTGCCAGACCAATTCAAGGTCCCGAGGAGTGCTGTAACGCTAAATACCGGATTTCGACCACTCAACACTGCGGCGGACTTACCGAGTTCCTCTTCGGGAAGTTTCACAAACTTCTTCCCTTCAAGCACGAATGCTTCCATGGCTTCCAGGTCGTCGTTCCACTCCTCCATGAGCTGCCCCTGTGGACGTGACAATGTCACATATAAGATTGCACGACTTCAAGATTTTATTATCGAAGTAAATGTAACATATTTTCCACGTTAGTGCAAGAACAGTACAACAATTATATTTTGTTAGTTGTAACATATGAAACAGAAAAGAAAAATGCAGAGAGAGGGTCTTCCAGCTGCACGAATGAGACAGAAACCTTGTGCAAAACCATACATCAGAAACGAACAATTATTAAAAAGTGATAAAAACAGAAAAAAAAACAATATGTTCAGGCAAGAAGGAAAATAAAACATAATATTGAAATACAAAGGTAGTTATAATAAATGATACTTGAATAAATTGAATCTGAAGAAAATTGCAAGGAAGTACTACTTATACTCTAAAACCTCGTTAAAACGAAGTTGCATCTCACATAAAAATAAGCTTGTCCTATCCAGAAATTCGTGATTAAGGTATGTTCCTAACATCATGTGTATTGCAAGACTATTCTTCATTTACAGCATTATAACCAATATTTCGCTATTTCTGGATTCGCTATATCAAGACTCGAGTGTAGGTAACTTGACCTACAAAATACAGTATACTCTCAGTGAACAGAAATCTTTGAAACAGAATTGCTGCTTTAATTAATAAAAGTACCTCCTCTATGATTGGTTTCATACCTGAATATTTAAACCTCACTAATCGCTGAGAAAACAGAATGCCTGCTAAATGGAAAACCTTTTCTTGGTCCCTTTAGGTTTTATTCAATGAGAGGCTACCGTAACATGAATATCGAAAATATATTCAAGGAAATTTTAGAGCAGTTACAACAGAATTTTATGACAACAGACACAGTATTCGCGAGGGACATTAGCAAAAGTACTGCAGCGGCAGGCAATAGATGAGACGTGTTTCACAGTTTATGCAGCGAAATATATGTGAATAAGAAGACAGGAAAAAAAAAACAAAAAAAAAAGCCTCCCAAACGTGCCACCAAACGTTGTTGTACCACACTCACCGCTTCCTCTTTGGACATGGCCGGCTGGCGCGGCATAAACAGGGCAGAGAGGTCAGTCTTCGTCTTTTGAGTGGCCATCCATTTCTGAAGTGCCAAGGAGCACAAAAGGCAACACATTCACCAGTCGGACACAGTTAGTAGCAACACTAACACTCTATGAGAAGATGATCAACGGAGTGCTGTCATTCATCAACAAACCATAGATGGTTCGGGAGATGAAACTGCATTCAGGGCCATAAGAAACATATTCACAAGTATTACAGAATACAAGTATGCAAGCGTGAACGTTCACCAACAAAAATAGTTCTCTTGAGTTAATGAATACTAAAAGGGCATAAGAAATAACACAAAAAGGCAGCCCTAACAAGACACTGCTCACATGGCAACAAACAATTACTTAATAAGAACTACATTTCTTAAAAGTATTGCAGCAAGTAATATGCCCAACAACAGAACCAACCTCAGTTTGTTGCTACTCTGCTAACAAACTTTAGTGAGCAACAATTGATGAAAAACACATTTCCAGTCGGTTTTTAAATGTGTTTGCAAAAATAACCGCAGTAATGAACCAACTGCCAGACGCAACTTGCCCAGGATGCTTGCTTCCTTTCTGCTGGGTTTAAAGAACTGAAGTGTGTCCTTTGTGCCATTAACGAATAGCATGACCAATACACTGTGTGATTTCGGCTATGTCCTAAAAGATCACACCAGAAGCACTATGAAGTGCCCTAGAAGGACACAGATGCTTGTGTTACAGCTCTTCCCCTCGTGTCCTCGCTAGTCGCAAGTGCTGACATAAGGAATACATTCCCTTTTTGTGTCCTTGCAAAGATGCAACAGAAGCACTACAACGTGAAACTTCTGCAGTGTCTATGAAGGACATAAAGGCATACGTCTACCTTATTTGTCCCCAAAGGATATAAGTATGCATGCTTCCTGCTGTGTATCCGTTAGACTTGGAGACTATTGCGAGTTTTCCCTTCATTGTGTACTTGAAGGATGCAACATAAATACTACTATTATGTGCAACTTCTGTTGTGTCTGCGAAAAACAGACTTCTAGTGACGTTCCTGTCCGTCAGAGTTGTACTGCTTGTGCCCCGCTCTCTTTGTTGCATCCCCAAAGGTCACAAGTGCTCGTGCATTGTTGTGATCTTGAAGGATGCAACAAAAGCTCTACATCCTGCAACTCCTGTATTCTCCTTAAAGGACATTAATTTTCTAGATCGGCCCGAAAAGAACACAAGCACTTATGCTACATGCTTCCTGATGTGTCCTTAAAGAAGCATACAGTATTTGCATCATATCCTGTCTATTAGACTACAGATTTTGGCTAGAACACTACGAAATGTCACACAGAAAAAGAAAGACCAAATCGTCCCCCTTACTTGCACATGCAGCCAGTTTGGCATTTAGCAATGCAAAAACGCACAACTTGCCTGAAGGTCAGCCCCCGTTCTTGCAACAGACTCGGCTGTGCGAGTGAAGTCAACAGCAATTACGTCGTCCCAGCCGACGAATTTGGATTTGAAGACCATCGACTCTGTCCTATAAGAAAACAAGCGATTTTTCTCAAGACAACAAGAGCACATGAGACAAAGTCAGAGCCGACAAATGAGCGAATAAGTGCGCTAACAGTAGAGGTGAATGACTGAGTCATCGAATGAATGAACGGGCACGCACGAAATGAATTAACCCACTCACCCTTCCTGGCAGCGGTTAACAATAGCGTGGCTCGGCCGGTGAATCATGCAGAGCAGCTCCTGGCAGAGCTTGAGCGCTGCCGCACGCACGAGTCTCGTCGACCGTTTGCCCAGCCAAACAAACAGGTCCGAGTTGCAGTCCAGGATGTAGACGTTCTTGGTGTCCAGCAGAGATTGCACCAGCTTGCCCTCTGGCACTTCCACTGCAAATTTCAGCGTTAGCGTACTTTGGCCATTGAAATACAGATTTTCGTGCAAGTTTCTATAGAATGACGATAGTTATAGCGCGAGGATAAAACGACAACGCAGAGACAAGAAGGACACGAAGGACACGTCCTTCTCGTCTTTGCGTAGTCGTTCTGTTCTCGCGCTATAACTATCGTCATGTCATACCAACTAGCCCAAGCTGCTACACTTCTAAGTTTCTATAAGTTGACTTCACTGAAACAAGGCAGGTAAGGTTTGAAGCTCGACATCCAAAACTCACGAAGATCACAAGGTGCATTATGTGGCAGTTCATGAAATGAGTATTATGGTACTAAGTGAAAACAGCAGGTTTGTGTGGGATATGCCACGCAGTCACAGCAAAAGAGGGAAGGGCAGCCTTTCTGGAGTCCGTTTTACGCTCTTTAGGGGTGACTGCTGCAAGTACTCTTGCAAGGTACTCACTAGTACACCATAGGTGGTCTCAATTCTGCAATGTAGGAAAGTACCCACTATGCCATTACACTCAAGCCTCGTTATAATGAACCCGGATGTCACAAAATGTCAGTTATAACGAAGTAAGTTAAAAATAGTCTTGCAACAGATATAGTGTTAGGAATAAACCTTCATAATAAATTTTTGGATATAACGAACTTATTTTTATGTAATATGCAACTTCGTTATCATGAGGTCTGAGCATATCAAGCTGTGCAGAAGCAAGTTGCTCGCTTTGCGTCAATAAGCCACTGTCGAAGAAAAATTATGGCAGAGCCATAATTTTTCTTTTAATTCGGTTTTTCTTTTAATTTTTCTTTTAATTTGGTTTGGGAGCTTTGAACCGCCAACTAGTAATGAAATCAGCATTGCCTAATGCTTCATCATTATTACACTTTTCCACCAAACCATATTACATATTATGTGATTTTTTTAAACAGCAAGTTGCTCGCTTTACGTCAGTAAGCCACTGTCAATGCTCTGGCCAATAATGAAGAATTATGGTAGAGCCCTTTGTAATGGTTTGGAAGCTTTGAACCACCTACTAGTATTGCAGTTGACATTGCCTAATGCCCTCATTGTTACTCCACTTTTCTACGAAACCATACTACACCTACTACTGTAATTTTTTTACCCTCCATGGTGCCCATATAGAGTCTTTGTACAAAGGAGTTCAAAGCACCGGTGTTGCTCTGTCGTAGAATGTCCAGCTGCCACACAGGCACCCTGGGTTCAAATCCCACTAAATCTTGAACATCATTTTTGCCCTGTGCATGACAGCAGTTACGGATGCCAGCAACACGAGACAACTGCGCTACCGAAATCGGCCGCTGTGATCTAGTAAAAGCTTTTGCTGTAAAAAAAGTCTCCTTATAAGCTTGGCAAGTTAATGTCGGTTCATATTTTTTTAGAACTATCATGAGTAAGATGAAGCCAGATTAAGTTCGCCATTGAAGGTTTGACTGAGCTTCACATAACTGCAGCCCCCCAGATGAGCTATAACACTTGCAAAACATTCCTCTACCTTGAGGTAACTCGAGGTAGCCCATGCCGAGGCCGACCTTGTACAGGCAGGGGTGAGCGGGTGTGAAGTTTTCCGGCACGTGCTCGACCGGCTCAAAGTCTTCAAACTCGCTGGGGTCCGTGCAGCCGATGGCACTCCAGAAGTGCTCTTCGTCCTCTTCAGATTGCGCGCACGTGATGACCTCTGAGTAGTTCTTGCGCTCATTCTTGTTGATCTTTTCAGCCAGAAGCCTGAAGAAGACATCCAAACCTTTTATGCACCCTCTGAAGAGGTATCGCACAAAGTCGATGCATTTACACAGAAACCTCGATATAACAAACCCTTATACAACAAATTATTGGCTATAATAAAATAAATGAAGAGTAGTCGTTACAATTATACATCTACACTCGAACATCAACAGTCAGATCTGCCAAGAAATTACTTCGTTATATCCAAAGACGCGTTATAAGCATACATTCTTAACACTGTGTTTATCACAAAGCTATTCTTCCCTTACTTTGTTATAATCAATAATTCATTATATCTGGGTTAATTACATTGCGATTTTATAACAAATTTGTTTATATAACGAAGTTCTTTTCGGGTCAAATGCAACTGTGTTAGAATAAGGTTTGAGTGTATAAAAATTCAGTGCAGCTCAGGCTTCTCATTAATGAATTACTTCATTTATTCATTGGAGACCAGGAAAAGAGGCCCATAGTCCTGTTGTTTTGTCTTTTATAGACCCTTTTCAAATACGCAAGTGTGCTTCCCCATGCTGAATGTTTTCCCATCTGATCCTAGCACCTCTTGTCCTACAAGTAGGGGCGAAGTATTAGTTGCATGCACTGGGGCTTGGTATATCATCTAAATTTAGTTGAGTCTAAATTTTCTGCACCACAGCGCAATCAAAATGCGCTGTTTTCGCCAAGTGACCAGATGCCATTAATTGGGCAAACTGCATTGCAAGAAAGCAAGCTTTACAGTCATAAAGAGGGTCAATTCGTTTCCATCCTTCGTGCAAGGCATTCCGGGTTCACGTTTACCTTCCCTTGGAGACCATGGTGTTCTGCGAGTGCCTGCCGCTCCAGACAAAAATCTTCCGGCCAGCGTCGAGCACAAAGACGTAACGCGGGTCCAGAGAACTGGGGTCCACCGCCACTGACTCGACGTGAAGCAGCCGGTTTCGGGAGTGCAGGCGATACAGGCGGACCGCATACTCCTGCATGTTTGAAAAGTGCCGCAAATTAAAATGCAAAGAAAGAAGTGTGGATGAAAATATAACTTGTCAGAGGCAGGAAATGAACCTGCGGCCTTCGAATAATGTGTCTAAAGGCCAGTTGTGACGACATCTGGCACCGAAAATTCTGGTATCCTCTTGTATATCACCACTCAAAATGAAGAAAAGATGTGTAAATTTATCGGCTCGATTTCTTTGTAAGACACAACATTACATTGCTCACATTACAATTAATTCCAATCATCATCATCATCATCATCATCAGCCTGACTACGTCCACTGCAGGACAAAGGCCTCTCCCATGTTCCGCCAGTTAACCCGGTCCTGTGCTTGCTGCTGCCAATTTATACCCGCAAACTTCTTAATCTCATCTGCCTACCTAACCTTCTGTCTCCCCCTAACCCGCTTCCCTTCTCTGGGAATCCAGTTAGTTACCCTTAATGACCAGCGGTTATCCTGTCTACGCGCTACATGCCCGGCCCATGTCCATTTCCTCTTCTTTATTTCAACTATGATATCCTTAACGCCCGTTTGTCCCCTAATCCACTCTGCTCTCTTCTTGTCTCTTAAGGTTACACCTACCATTTTTCTTTCCATTGCTCGCTGCCTCGTCCTCAATTTAAGCTGAACCCTCTTTGTAAGTCTCCAGGTTTCTGCTCCGTAGCTAAGTACCGGCAAGATACAGCTGTTATATACCTTCCTCTTGAGGGATAGTGGCGATCTACCTGTCATAATTTAAGAGTGCTTGCCGAATGTACTCCACCCCATTCTTATTCTTCTAGTTACTTCAATCTCGTGGTTAGGCTCTACGGTTATTACCTGCCCTAAGTAGACATAGTCTTTTACAACTTCAAGTGCACTATTACCTATCTCGAAGCGCTGCTCCTTTCAGAGGTTGTACATTACTTTCGTTTTCTGCAGATTAATTTTAAGACCCACCTTTCTGCTCTCCTTGTCTAACTCCGTAATCATGAGTTGCAATTCGTCCCCCGAGTTACTCAGCAATGCAATGTCATCAGCGAAGCGCAGGTTACTAAAGTATTCTCCATTAACTCTTATTCCTAACTGTTCCCATTCTAGGCTTCTGAAAACCTCCTGTAAGCACGCGGTAAATAGCATTGGGGAGATTATGTCCCTGTGATGTGTGGTGCGCGTTCAAAGTGCGCGCCTTTGGAAAGTGCGCGTCACAAAAACAGAAGAGAACAGAGTGCACGCGCGGTGCTGCCTAGACAACGACGAAGACGACGACAGTGAAGATGTCGCGTGCATGAGGACGCGTGGCATCCCGTGAACAAAATAAAAGATAAGGTAACCAATGATCATAGACCACGGAGATTTCAAGGCCCAATGGCTGGGTACCACGAAAGTACAGAATCTCCAATGAGAACGAGACAAGTGGGCCAGAGCTGAAGCAGGAGCCTGAGCAGACCAGAGCAAGGGAGTTCGAAGAAGACGGGGCAAGCGGAAGGTCGTCACCGGACCGGGCGCTGAAGATGGGCCGTCGGGCGTAGGACCCGAGCCTGCAGGTCTTCAACCGGCCGGGGCCTCTTGCCGTCGTGTTCCCGCTCCAAAGGACCGTGGCCATCCGGTCCTGAACTCCTTTCCAGGGCCTGCGGACTTTGGTTCCGGCAGGCGAGCTACAGCCGTCGGGCTCCGGGCCCGAGCTGTGCGCCCAGCTGCTTGACTAGGTCGACCCTGGTTCTCTGACGCGTCACCACCAGCCTGCGTTCTCTCGTCACAGACGGGTCCACACTCCTAAAGCCAGAGCCACCACGTTCCGGCCTGGTTTCTCGACGTGTCGTCAGCAGCCAGCGTTCCTTCATCCCCGTCCTGCCCGCGTCCTGAAGCCGGAATCACCGCGTTCCGGGTTTCTCATCACCGCCGAAAACCAACTTGTGGGTGAGACCGAACAGATATCTTGCGCTACTCCCTTCACTCAGCCCCTTTCGAACGTTAGGTTTAGTTACTGACTTTGAACGTTCTTGTTGGGTGTTTACAGATGTGTTTCGTCATGTCCAGTCAACTGTTTATTAAGTGTTTTGTTTTGTGAGGAATCTTTGCCTTTTTACTTTTCAATTAAACTTTTTGTGTGTTTCTTGGAAACCGAACGGCTTTGTCCTTATTAACAAAACTCTCTGAGGCTCAGCCCGGGAGAAAAACAAATCAGCAACAAGAACCCGCATCACAAATTGGCGTCCGCAGCGACAGGACAAAGTCGTTTGTTTTTCCAGTAGATTTTTTTGACGCGGTTAACACGATGACGAACACGTGGGAGTTAATTGAGTTGGCGGATAAAATGGGACTGACGGGAGCGGAGTTTAGAGTATGGTACGAGGAGCGGATGGAGAGGGAGCGTGAGCAACGGGCCGCGATATGTGACGCTAAAAAGCAGCAGATTGTATTGCAAACACACGCTAAGAGAGAGGAGTTCGAGCGAGAAACACGGGCTAGGAGAGAGAGGCTCGAGCGAGAGACACGCGCTAAGAAGGAGCAGCTTGAGCTAGAAATGCGTGAAAAGAAAAGGCTGCTCGAGATAGAGATGTGCGAAAAGAAGAGACTGCTGGAACTAGAATATGAGGATTTTCAGCAGTGGCTTGAGAAGGAAAACGCTGAATATACGTGGTCTGAGAGCCAGAGTAGTCAACCAGTGGATGAGGTGTGCTCTGAAAGCAGTTACATCGGGAGCGATTTGAATTTACGTGAGACTGACCCTGTACCTCGTCATGACCTTTCGCTAGAGAGTGAAACTAGGCAAGCGTATGACAGGGAGGTGGGTAGTGAAGAAACTAAAAGGCTCGAGGAGCTTATTGAAGCACGGGAATGCTTCGTGAGCATGGAACAAGAACGTTCCATTCAAAGTAAAGGGTGTGTTAAAACCTGCGAGAGGTCAAGCGCACTTTATTCAGAGGTAGGATTGCCTCTGAATAGCTCCGCTGAAGGAGCAATAAAAGGTCTCCTAGGTAATGCCGGCGAATGCCATAATGAAAGCTCTGATGTAGCAGCTACCTATTGTTTTGGGCCACTGGAGATAGCAACAGACGCTACGGACATGGTTTTTCACCATGATTATAACTTGCCCATACAGAGAGATGGCTTGTGTTCTCGGGAAATTGTAGATGATGCTTTTAGAAGAATATTGGAGCAAAATGCAAAAGCACTTGTTGAAGAACAGAGAGTAGAGTTGCAATGTAGGTCAGCTATATGTGACAATGAGGGTAATCACGATGACCCAGGCAGAAGGGTTGAAAGTATTGATGAACAAGCAATACAGAAAGCTGAAGTGATGGAAAGTGAACCAGAAGGCAGTAATGGTCCAGCAGGTCATTGTACGAGGAAGGACGCCGACTGGTGCTCTGTGGCATCTTCGGTTGAAGAGGTCGCTTCTGTTAAGATGTCTGAACGATTAGCAGCTTGCGAGCTCAAGCAAGGCGTTCCTGGGAAGGATGAAGTGATTCAGGCGTGGTTGTACTGGTGCGCCTGGAGGCAAGGCCTCCGACTGGCATACAGACATTCCAGCGTGTATGCTTGTGATTTAGAGGTTGGGCGTCTGGTGATACACAGCTTTAGGTTCAGACGGGCATACGTTCGACAATTATTCCACCGGCGTCGAATTCCTCACTTTTGTCAATTGGTTAGAGCCATTAAACGTCTTGTTTGGGACGCTATAACGTAATCGTCAAGTTCGATATTCTGGTGGTTTCTTTTGGATCTTGCTTGCGGACCATGGAAGGGTGTTGCTTGTAAATATTTGAAGAAGTTACATGCAATGTAACATTAACATGATGTATAGTTTTTGAGATGATAGGGTATATATGATAAAAAAAAAAAAAGGGGTGGTGTACTACTAATTTGGGGATTTTCACAATCCGCTAGATGTGTCCATACTTTTTCTCACTTCTTGCGTATTTTGAGGTTAGTGAATGTGGACATTTGGACGATGTAGCGAACTGTAGCCCGGTGATGTGTTGAACTGCGTGGTGCAAATATGTAGTTTAATTGTGACGTAGTGCAGAACGCGCACTCATCGGCAGTTTTTTTTTTCTAAAAAAAAAAAAACTTGAATGAAAGGGGGGCGTATGTGATGTGTGGTGCGCGTTCAAAGTGCGCGCCTTTGGAAAGTGCGCGTCACAAAAACAGAAGAGAACAGAGTGCACGCGCGGTGCTGCCTAGACAACGACGAAGACGACGACAGTGAAGATGTCGCGTGCATGAGGACGCGTGGCATCCCGTGAACAAAATAAAAGATAAGGTAACCAATGATCATAGACCACGGAGATTTCAAGGCCCAATGGCTGGGTACCACGAAAGTACAGAATCTCCAATGAGAACGAGACAAGTGGGCCAGAGCTGAAGCAGGAGCCTGAGCAGACCAGAGCAAGGGAGTTCGAAGAAGACGGGGCAAGCGGAAGGTCGTCACCGGACCGGGCGCTGAAGATGGGCCGTCGGGCGTAGGACCCGAGCCTGCAGGTCTTCAACCGGCCGGGGCCTCTTGCCGTCGTGTTCCCGCTCCAAAGGACCGTGGCCATCCGGTCCTGAACTCCTTTCCAGGGCCTGCGGACTTTGGTTCCGGCAGGCGAGCTACAGCCGTCGGGCTCCGGGCCCGAGCTGTGCGCCCAGCTGCTTGACTAGGTCGACCCTGGTTCTCTGACGCGTCACCACCAGCCTGCGTTCTCTCGTCACAGACGGGTCCACACTCCTAAAGCCAGAGCCACCACGTTCCGGCCTGGTTTCTCGACGTGTCGTCAGCAGCCAGCGTTCCTTCATCCCCGTCCTGCCCGCGTCCTGAAGCCGGAATCACCGCGTTCCGGTTTGCTCATCGTCGGCGGAATTCAGCGTGTGGGTGAGACCGAACAGATATCTTGCGCTACTCCCTTCACTCAGCCCCTTTCGAACGTTAGGTTTAGTTACTGACTTTGAACGTTCTTGTTGGGTGTTTACAGATGTGTTTCGTCATGTCCAGTCAACTGTTTATTAAGTGTTTTGTTTTGTGAGGAATCTTTGCCTTTTTACTTTTCAATTAAACTTTTTGTGTGTTTCTTGGAAACCGAACGGCTTTGTCCTTATTAACAAAACTCTCTGAGGCTCAGCCCGGGAGAAAAACAAATCAGCAACAAGAACCCGCATCACAGTCCCCCTGCCTTACACCCTTCTTGATTGGTATTCTGTTGCTTTCTTTATGAAGCACTATGGTAGCAGTTAATCCCCTGTAGATTTCTTCCAGAATGTTTATATATACTTCATCTACGCCCTGATTCCGCAGTGTCTGCATGACGGCTGATATTTCTACTGAATCAAACGCCTTCTCGTAATCTATGAAGGCTATGCATAGTGGTTGGTTATACTCTGAGCATTTCTCTATTACCTGATTGATAGTATAAATGTGGTCAATTGTTGAGTAGCCTGTTCGAAATCCTGCTTGCTCCTTTGGTTGATTGAATTCTAATGTTTTCTTTACTCTGTTAGCAATTACCTTTGTAAGTAGCTTGTATACTACAGAGAGCAAGCTGATCGGCCTGTAATTCTTCAAGTCCTTGTCATCTCCTTTCTTATGTATTAAGATGATGTTAGCGTTCTTCCAAGACTTTGGTACCCTTCCCGTCAGGAGACACCTCGTAAACAGGGTGGCTAATTTTTCTAACACAATCTGTCCTCCATCTTTCAGCAGATCTGATGTTACCTGATCCTCACCAGCAGCTTTGCCTCTTTGCATGCTCTCCAAAGCTTTTCTGACTTCTTCTATCATTAATGGTGGGGTGTCATCTGGGTTACTGCTAGTTCTTATAGTATTAAGATCTTGGTTGTCTCGGCTACTGTACAGATCTCTGTAAAACTCCTCCACTATTTTAACTATCCTATCCATATTGGTAGTTATTTTGCCTTCTTTGTCCCTTAGTGCATACATCCGACTTTTGCCTATCCCAAGTTTTCTCTTCACTGCTTTGACGCTTCCTCCGTTTTTCAGAGCGTGTTCAATTCTCTCCATGTTATACCTTCTTACATCACATACCTTACGTCTATTAATCAACTTCGAAAGCTCTGCCAGTTCTATTTTGTCTGTTGTACTTGACACTTTCATGATTTGATGCTTCTTAATTAGGTTCTTCGTTTCCTGGGAAAGCTTGCCACTGTCCTGTCTAACTACCCTGCCTCCAACTTCCACTGCTCACTCCGTAATGATACTCGTCAGATTATCATTCATTGTATCTACGCTAAGGTTGGTTTCCTCACCAAGAGCCGAGTACCTGTTCTGCAGCGACACTCTGAATTCCTGTACTGTCCCTCTCAGTGCTGGCTCATTGATCGGCTTCTTGCGTATCAGTTTCTGTCGTTCCTTCTTCAAGTCTAGGCGAATTCGAGACCGTACCATTCTATGGTCACTGCATCGTACCTTGCCAACCACTTTCACATCCTGCACGATTCCTGGGTGTGCACTCATTATAAAGTCTATTTCGTTCTTATTTTCGCCATTGGGGCTCCTCCATGTCCACTTGCGGTTTTCTCGTTTTCGGTAGAAGGTATTCAAAATCCGTAAATTATTGCGTTCTGCGAATTCTACCAGTAGCTCTCCTCTGGCGTTTCTAGTACCGATGCCATAATCTCCTACTGCCTGGTCTCCAGCCAGCTTCTTTCCTACCTTTGCATTAAAGTCGCCCATCACTATAGTATACTGTGATTTTACCTTACTCATTGCCGATTCCACGTCTTCATAGAAGCTTTCAACTGAAGCATCATCATGGCTAGATGTAGGCGCGTAAGCCTATACTACCTTCATCCTGTATCTTTTATTCAGTTTAATTACAATACCTACCACCCTTTCATTAATGCTATAGTATTCCTCTATGTTGCCAGCTATGTGTCTGTGAATTAGGAACCCCACTCCCAGTTCTCTTCTGTCTGCCAAGCCCCGATAGCAAAGGACGTGCCCATTTTGTAGCAGCGTATAGGCCTCATCTGTCCTCCTAACCTCACTGAGCCCTATTATATTCCATTTAACACCCTCTAGCTCCTCTAATAGTACAGCTAGACTTCCCTCACTAGATAAGGTTCTAGCGTTAAACGTTGCCAAGTTCAGGTTCCAAAGGCGGCCTGTAGTCCAGAGACGCACCCTCTGCTGCGTTGCAGATCTGACCGCCGCCATGGTCAGTTGCTTCGCAGCTGCTGGGAACTGAGGGCCGTGAGTTATTTGACGTATGCATGTGGGAGGTAGTGGCCAGATACTGCACCAGGGTGGCCAATCCTTCTCTGGTGAGGGAGTGCGTTCCCGGCGGTGGTTACCGGTGAGGCCGCACCTCAGGCCTCTTAATGCAGTTCCATCAACACGCGGATTTTTTTTTTTTTTTTCCGGTTGGGAACTGCGCGGCACCGGGATTTGAACCACGGATTTCTTGCATGCGAGGCGGATGCTCTAACCACTACGCCATCGCCGCACCCGGATTGTTATGTACTAAATGTAGGTTTCAGCGGTGTATCAGTCAGGTTTGTGGTTGTTTTTATAAAAATGTTTTAATGAAATGAGATTTGTGCTGATTACCCCCTTAATTAAGGGTCTAGAGAGTACAGAGTTGGGCCTCCGATTAGCCTATGGGGTGCTGTTTATTGATATATTAAGCGGACAAAATTTAAATTTGTTTGTGGGGTAATGTTACCAAATTAATCTTTTTTTAGTGATTAGGATTAATTTTGGTCACGAAATAGTTCCGGTACTATTACTCCTGTCCTGATGAAACCTAGCGGCGACAGGTCTACAATTAGGGCTTTGCACTGTATGAGTTAGAAGTTTCCCGGTAGGTTATTAGCAAAGTTAAAAGCGATCGTAAGGGGAAAAAAAAAAACACGTGGTTCAAGACTTTGATCTGACGGGCGTACCTTTCTCCCGAGCAGTGAGCCACCCTCCTCCTCTGAGCGAGAAAAGACGCGGGCGCCACACGTTTATTAGCGGTTTTCGTTATATTCTTTCTAACTCTGTATCTTCCGGTTACCTTAAGCTATCAAAATTATTTTTACACGGAAAAAACCGGACTGTCGTGTTCTAAAATAAGATATTAGCTATTTTTCGGTGGCGTTTGTAGCTCCTTTTGAAAATTTGTTTTAATGAAATGAGCTTTTTGCTGATTACCACCTTAATTAAGGGCCTAGAGTGTACTGAATTGGGCCTCCTGGTAGCCTATGGGGTGCTGTTTATTATTATATTAAGCGGACAAAATTTAAATGCGTTTGCGAGGTGATATTACCAATTTAATCTTTTTAGTGATTAGGCTTAATTTTGATTGCGGAATAACTCTGGAACTATTAAACCTAGCCTGATCAAACTTCAGTAGCGTCAGGTCTACCCTAAGGACTTTCAACTTTATAAGTAAGAAGTTTCCCGGTAGAATATTAACGAAGCTACGAGCGATCGTATAAAACACGTGGTCTGACTGTTGTTGTTTTCACAGATTCACACTGTTTTCCGCTCCTAAAATTTGAAATTTTCATTTGTAATAGCAGTATTTGTAGCGGTTGAACTCCTTGTATATTCACAAACAAATAGACACCACTCTGACCCTCCTAGAACCAAAATTGCTAAAGTTATAGGCAGATATGTGCAGAGCTCACTTACACATGCTGCTGACGCGGCCGCTCCCGTGGCTGTGCATCATTAATTCCAATAACGTCCCCTATACTTTCCTTGGCTTTCACTGTCTGATAGTTATGATTAATAACACTCAAAATGGTCGCTCTCGCATCACCGCTGGGGCCACGATCCGCAGCGGTAATGGAAATATCACGATATCTCGCAAGAGCACGTGAAGAGAATTCTTTAGGGTGCAGTCGTGCCTAGCGGTACATTTTCAGTTTTCATTACACAGTTTAAACCATTGAAAAGAAACTATACAGTGCATTAAAAATTATACAGTTGTCATTGCTTCGCGATAAAACAACAACTGTATAATTTCCCGTCAGTACCCCTTGAAGTATCACATGCTCGAACCAGCATGCTGAAAAGCTTTGCACGTTTTTTTCACACTGATGGTTTTCTGTCAGTATCATTTCGAGCATAAACTGCAAGGCAGCTTATGTGCAGGACGAGGCCTGTACCACCACTGGCGGTTCATGCATGCCTCGGAAAGCAGGATGCATGCTTGCGCATGTTCCCGCTACGATGAAACCCCAATCCCCCCCGCTTTTTTTTATCGTGGGCATCACTCTGCGGGGGCCTGCACATAGCAGCCGATAATAAACTCGACAATACATTTTATCATGTATAGCCTGCACGAAATGAACAGGTAATTGAGTGGGCGAGTTATGCACGAATTTTAGTGTGCAAGCTGGCTTCTTGGCACTGCAAAAATAGTGGCTTTGTCCGATTCCCAGGGATTTATTTTTTTTTTGCATCATTTTCCCCTGGTTTTCAGTAGATGGTGCCTGTAGTTATGCGTGGGAGAAGCTTATATGCGAGAAGACATGGTACTTTCAGGACCCATTGTGCAGCAGCTCTTTTTATTTTAAATTTTATTTTCAGCCTATGGAAATCTACTGCAGACTTAAGGACTTTCCCTGTGATCTCCTGTATACTCTACCGTGTGTGAGCAGATTCCATTGTATCCCCGCATACTTATAATTATGTCCCTCCAGCTAATTAATTTCTGCCCTCCTCAACTGCATTTTACATTCTTTGGTAACCATTCCCTTGGTCTTACAATCCACCATCCAGTCTGTCACGTGGGCAGCCCCAGTCCATTTCTTTCACTGGACGTCAACTGAATATTGACGACCCCTGAAGCAATCTGCCATTCTCCGACCTCCTAAGGTTACTCCCATCATTTTTTTCCCCTGCAAGCTTGCATAGACCGCACAGCACGCCAATTCATCCTCCATGCATTTATAACAGAGCTGAGTAAAAAAAAATTGACAAGCAGAAGCTCCAAACACCAACTGGGATCCTCACTCACCACTTCCTCGACATTGTAGAAGCCGCTGGACGCCCTGTTTCCTTTGTGGTAGTTGATGTGGCCGCCGAACAGCTGCAGGAACTCGGGGCTCTCGTCCGCCTGCTCCTCGCGCACTGTCCGGCAGTGGGCGCCCAGGAAATTGCGCAGGTTCACGGCGTGGATGGCTGCACATGCCTTTTTGTCCAGCTGCAATGGGTTGCAAGGGTCACTGACCGTAATTAGAGACGACGAGTAAACGCGAGGTTCGGCGCTAATGTAGTAAATTGATGGAGCGATTGTGAATCGAATAGTTGGAATAGTACTTATTAACATACCATAAAGAAAAACGAGCATTTTGTCATGACCCAAACAAGAGGCAGTATATTTTAAAGAACGATATTGGATTGCTTTTCTTTTTCAAAGCGAAGTGGAAGCTAGATTGAAAAGTAACAAAATTTGAATTGCAGTAGGATGCAAGTTATACAGGGTAAAATATGTTTCAAAACGTTGCCAGATTTAGCACATATTAACCCTTATAGCATGTATTCATACTTTAAAATTTTAATTGGGGCACAGGTAATACCATAAAAGCTCATGCAGCTGAACCCCCTACAGTGAACACAAATGAGACAAGATTTAGACCCTTACTTGGCTGCAGACTGAAATTCGAGTTAGCCAAGGAAGAGACCCCCCAAAAAGAATTTACACCTGTATTTCTAATGAAATGCTTTATTGAATATGCATGCATTTACTGTTTTTACTGAACCAGCAATTTGAGAAAACTCGGAAAGAAACTCATGGCACCACACCGTTAAGATATTAAGAACTTGTGCGCATAACTAAAGACTCCCAAAACTTAAGTTCCTTCATACCGGGCTGGGCTCCCTCGATCATTATTGCATATTTCGTATCGCTGAAAAAAGAAAAGGGAAGTTCTTCCTAGAACTTCTACTGTCTGTGCGTTCAAACAAGTACTGACACAAAAATTTTCAGCTGTTGTCTTCTTGCATCAAATGAAAGGTCGTGCCCTCATCAAGTGCATAGAACGTGTACTGTTAAGCATAAGTGTAGCCTGAAAAAATACCTACAATATGCTTTTAAACGCCAGTTTCATTTCTTACTGCTCCCTGACATCACAACATGGTATGAACTTTTCATCCATGCTCGCACAAGAAACAGTGACGTTTCCATGGCCAACCTGGATCGTGGCTCCGTCAATGACTGCACAAGCGGCCATTTTCGAAATTTCGGTACCTGATGTCAAGCATGTGACATGTATATCTAAATAAAATATTTTATTAGCAATTGTTGAGCTTCACACTAGCTCAGAGCCATCTCTGTACACAGCAGATTTCGATTGAACTCACCTTCAAAAAGCGGTGTCAGTAACCCTCATAATATTATCAGAAGTTTTACATCCCAAAACCACCATACGTTTATGAGAGACAGGTGTCAGTACCCCTTTATCCTCGAAGTGAGGCTTTTGAGACAGTGCGACTTTTCCATGCATAGGTGGTTTCATGACATAACAGAAATGTGTGGCAGTGAAACTACCTTTTTAAGAAGTTCATCATCATTATTATTATTATCAGCAGCAGCAGCAGCCTGACTATGCCCACTGCAGAGCAAAGGCCTCTCCCATAACCCGCCCATTGTCCCGGTCTTAAAATGTTGCCAAAATGTCTGTTAGCTGCTTTTGAATACTGCAACATTTGTGCAAATGCTTGAAGCATTTGAATATTCTTCATCTATGCCCACTTATAATAAATGGTTGCATAATGAGTAGACAAAAGCCTAGCAACAAAAATGCCGTGTGCAGGCCCCTGTGAAGGAGAGGAATCGCAAGAACACACTCGGGTATCTAACCCAATTCCCCCCCCCCCCAAGTTCCCTCCCCTAACACACAACCCTCGCCTTCTTCAATCCCCAAAGCAAAGTCCACAACACTGACCGTGGTTTCGGAGCCAATCCAGTAGTAGATGAGCCAGTTGAGGTTCTGCGACTCTTCGACAAACGTCTTGAGCACAATGTAACAGTCACCCTCGTAGAACTTGCCCACCAGAGCTGCAAGGTCAACAGTACAAAGCTATGTGCATGCTCACTACAGATTACAGAAGTGTGCGTTACCTCTACAATGTCACCTCTACTTATATTTACCTTTTGTTACCACTTATATTTACCTCTTCGTTACTGGGTTACCTCTACTATATTTCCCACTTTATTTACTTTATACATATCTCAACGCTTTCACTAAAGCAACAGTTAATTAACTCTTTTGTTCAGCTACAGTGGAAAGGATGAGTGAATGCTTGCTCTCTCAAGAGTATAGGTTTAAAAGTTTAAATTAAAACAGGTTGGGAAATTAAACATGCTGGCTCGACTCTTACGCAGTACTTACACTCATCGAGGGGGTTTGGGAGGAAGTTGTCGATTTCCCAGACAAACGTCCCTGCAGAAAAGAAAAGATCGCTGTTTGAGAGCTACGCATAACTTTAAGGTGCGTAAATTCCTCGAGAAGTAAACATATGCACTCTAGAAACATAAAAAACACTTCAGTTTTTGAAATTCCATTTTAAGAAAGAAGAACTGCCCTTTGTGCTCTCTTATGGAGTAAAACTAAGAGCATATACTTAGAACTATACTTGGAGCATAGAAGCTGGTATAACAAGGTTTAAAACTTAATTCGAGGGAAATGGTATGTTGAGTTAACCTTAAAGTGAAGTATTCACAATATAGTGCCCCTACACGGCAGCGAAACCACCTTTACAGAGTTAATGCAGTTTATGTCAATCTGCTTATTTCAAATACTTCAAAATTTCCAATAATTTCAATTCGAATCAAAGTCAAGTATTGTAACATTAGTTCCAATATTCAAAATGCTGACCTTCACACTGCATCTGCACATAGTGTTGTGCATCGTTGCCAGAGAGTGGAAAAAAATAAGAGAAAAGGTGTTCATAATAACAGCATCGTTTACGATAACCACATATTTTACGCAGCTTTAGTTAACATTACATAATCAAACCCTCCTCCTATTCTTTGGTTTTTGTGTGTAAACCAAGAGCATTCCGTTACTATGTAACCTTAGTAACCTTAGTAAGCTTGCAATCTTAGTGCACTTTTTTATCATTTTTCTGAGATCATGTGAAATGACTTTTTAGCTAAATCTGTATAATCAGAATCCAGAGCACTAAAACATACCATTCTGCTTTTAGGTTTTTTTTTCTATTGTTTGCTTTAACCACTCCCTTCTTTGATGCCTCCTGCCCTGAGAATTTCACTAAACAAATAAGAGATAACTATAAATATGATTACAGTACCTCAATCTGTAAACAATTAAGAAGATTAAATGACTACCACTGCTACTTTATTAAATGTAGCAGTGTTTCTACATTTCAGGATTGTATTACAATATCAGAGTATATTCTCTAACCCCCTACCCACATTTCTTAAAATATTGAACATGAAAAATTGTCTCGTGAGGTCGCAAGTTAGCTGAATGTTTGCAGAAAAACTATAAGCATCTGCAGTTATCAAGAAAACAAGAAAAGCAGTACCGGGCATCTGACCAACGTCCTCTTCGAAGATCTCACTGTAGTCTATGGGTGGCTTCTCCAGGGCCTCGTCCCAACGCTTTGGCCTGCACGCGGGCACGAGAACAAGGCCACAGCCATTGCTGGTACAGTCGGATCATTTTACGACAAAGTTACATGAGGTTTATTGCATAGATATACATTATAAACAAATATGCATAACATTATGTCGACAAATTTACGTTACACTTTTACCATCAACAGCAGTTACACTGTAATAGTGGCACTGCAAATTTGAGATTCAAATACTGCTTTGATTCCGAGAAATTAGTATAGATCTTGTCAATAGCCTCGTTGGTGCAAGCTTGATTTAGAATAGTTGCACAATCTGCATGGTAGACAACGAATGACGATCCTAAGCACATTGTTAATCACTGACTCCAATGATGCCCTGAGATTATGTCAATCCACGCCGCGATGGTATACAACAATATCTACAAGTAACTTTAACGGGAACACGGGGCCTGTATTAAAGCAATGAACACTAGCATCATGTAACTGTGAACCTTATGCTTAACCCCAACGCTTAGCTAGCGCGCTCGGTTAATGTATTTCAGTTTTTCGCCATGCAGTTTCAGTTTTTAAAACTTAAGCAGTGACCCCAAATCGTAGTAACCTGCCAATGGCGACGACTACAAAGCGGTCGTACATCTGACGAATGGTCAAAGTGTCCCTTGTTTCTTCACTTTCCAGTGAACTTTGATAGAACTTTCACGGAAAGACGCTGCTTTAGAAACACGTATTTCGTTTCTCAGCAAGTTTTCGAGAAACTTTTCACAGCTTATGTATTTTAATGTGACAATCCAAAACGTGCTATTATTTTTCTCATACGAATGCAGTTTCTAAAGTATAAAATACACGTTCAATTGTTTGAAGCAAAATCAACCTCTTAACTGCGAGAGCTGCAAAGCAAATTAACGAGTCATAATAATTCGAAATGAAAAAAGTATAGAGTGCAACAGTAACGGATGTTACAAACTGATTTAAGCAAAACTTGTCGAATGTTGTTTTTATGCAAGCGAGTAGACGTCAAGCTTCGATTTCGCTCACCAGAGTTCACCCTATAACATTTGTTGGAATTGACATTAAGTATTCATTCTGATCTTATGGCACTCAGTATTCATTCCAAATTATTGTGATATGCTGCTTTGCTATGTAACCTGCATAGTTCAGAAGAAAATCTTTCTCCTCATAAGGCACATGAAATGACTGCTACACGTATTAAAAAAAAACAGCCAATTGTACCAGAAAAATAATTAAGTTTTGAAACTGCAGAAAAATATACAAAAGCTTTGAGAGCTTCATAAAAATCCACTCAAAAAGAAATAAGCTCCTAAAGCAGGGTTCCTACCGCAATGTGATCCAATTCAAACTGCACCCCATTTTAAAAAGCACATTCTATGGAAGCACAAGCATTGACTACCCAAAGGCATCGCAGATGCGAGCATTCCCTTACTTGAGGGAGTCCACACGGTCTTCCCCTCCTGAACGACCGTTTCGGTCCTTCTCCTTGGCCACATCGGTCATGCCCTTGAGGATCTTCGCCTGGTCACTGTCGGCCTCGCCTTCGCGCCGCCGCCGAAGCCGCATCTTGCGCGCAATCGGGTCCTTTACGGGGGCTGCAGTCGTGCCATTTGCACATATCAGAGGCTGAAAGCTAGCAAGACGACAATTGACTCGGCCACACATACACGCCTACAATCAGCCAGATGACTTCTGTGGAAGTCTGTCAAAGTGTGTGCGGTACAAATCTTCCTAGAGTGGCTGATACTAACTGCAGTACAATGTTTGGTGACAGCTTTTTTTGTGGCTATATTTTTCTACTATATCATTCTTCTTCAACTCACCATCCTTTTTTGCCTTTTTTTCCCTTGGTGCTTTCATTCAGACTCGTAAATGCTGTCACCGCCATCACCATCTAAAGACGGCCATCTAGCTATTTATAACAGCAATGTTATAAATGAGACACAGTTACTGCTTACTATCATAAATAAAGCTACCCCTACCACACTTGGAAAGGCTATTGTTTTAACTTTTGCTGACGGCGACATAGCTATTACGGTAGCTATTGCAAACACATCACAGCTATCAAGCACATTTGCTCTAACTACAACAGTCGCTCTTACTAACAGCCATAGTTAGGGCTATTACTAACACCTATGAAGGAAGAGCTGTTGCTCTATGTTTAATAGTCAAATAGCTATCTCTGTAGCTGTCACTAACGAATGTAACAGCCATCAATGTGCATTGCTGCTTCTAACAGCAGCACTGAAACTATAGTGTAGCTATCGCTAACAACGGCGACAGTAACAGCTATGACTGCAATACAGTAGTGAAGGCTAAAGAAAAAATGTAACGCTTAGCATAGCCCCACAGCTATCACTACAGCTATCCCTATAGTATTATGCTGCAGCTATCAGTGTACCTAATTTTAACAATGAAGCTGTAACCAGGACAGCCACTGTTGTCTACAGTCATGCTCAAAACTATCGCTAACAGCTACGATGACACTTACTATAGTTGTCGAAAATTATCAGAGGCGAAAAATTCGGCCACTTTCAGGCATGAATGATATAGATGCAGAGGTGGTCTATTGATATTATTGCACATCTTTATGCACAAAGTCATAATCATCATCACTGTTTCATTTTATTAACAGCGAAGCTGTCCTCAGTCGAGGCTTTTGTGTCCAGGGGCCTTCATAAATCAGAATCAAGTAGTGCCAGTATACTCACGACTCCCACCGCTCATTACTCCCACCTCACTACACTACTCCTTTTCTCACTACTACTCCTGCCACCTCATCCCCGCTTTATTCCTATTTCATCCCACTTCATTCAACTAGCTAACATAAGCGGCAAAGCAAAGGCTTTTTTGTAAGCTAAAAGCATCACTGTTTCATCAGTGTCCGCTACATACAGGTGCTTAAATTTTTTAGGGGCGAAGCTCCTCTTAGTCTAACCATGTCCTGCGACAGGCGTTACCGGCCAGACACGGACAACCAGGCAGACAGACAGACGAACGGACACATGGACAGACATACGGACAGACACACAGGGAGACAGAGAACAGACAGAGGAACAGACAGACGCATCGCCCCACTCATCATTATTCACTTCGTGGATATGCTGTAATATTTTTATTTCTTTAATCACTTCCCCCTCTGATCACATGACTTGCATGATTACTACTACTACTAACATGAAAACAACAGTGACACAGTGTAGACTAAGGCAGCTCTGCTCTGAAAAAACACATGGTGTAATGCACTCACTCGGTGCTGGGATCTGCGCAGTCGGCGTCGCCCCAGCGAGCCTTAGCTGCTCGCTGAGTGAGAAGTCGACATTGTAGAACTCGGCACCAGCGCCCCGCTGGCACTCGAGCGGCTTGGGGGGCATCACCAGGTCCGGGTTGTCCTTGAGGTCAAGCACCTCAAGGTCAGTGAGCAGGTGGATTGCCTCGGGCAGCGTGATGAGCCGGTTGTGGCAGAGCACCAGCTTCTTGAGCCGTCCGCAGCTGCGTGGAATCCGTGGATAAGCGATCCACCATGTTGGCTGGAACACTTTTTTGGTAGTAAAATTGGTGACGCAGCACTTTTCCATGTAAAACCTCGTAAGTTCTGCAACTGTTGATTTGGATGTTCCTATGCAGTGCTGTTCTAGTTAAACACATGTGTCTTACTATTATTCAAAACGACAAGGCTCTTATATTCGACGTTTTTACATCCCAAGCATCTAGCCCTACTTTCCCTTCGAGGCTCTTAGTTATGAAGAAATATTTTGAAAGTGGAGCTGGAAAATGGGAGAAAGAAAAAGGACACTGAACATCTGGACATGTTTTTACATGTGTATAAATAAGACTACCTGTCATTAGGGACCCCATCAACAAGTTACATTGAGTAACTGTAGATATTTATAATGCAGTGTAGTCGATTTTGTGATAAATAATAAACTGATTGATTGATTGACTGAACACAGCACAAGAATATAGATCTACGGTCGAGGAAGACAAGGGCAGGCTCACCGTACGACGCCTTCAGGAATCATCTCCAGGTTGTTGTAGGCTGCCATGAACACCTCCAGGTTGTGGAGCTTACCGATTCCCGACGGAATGCCCTCGAAGTCGAGCATGTTGTCGTTGAGGTACAGGTGGGTCAGGGTGGTGAGCTTGCACAGCGCTGCCTAAAGTGCGCAAACGTGCAAAAATACAGACAAGAAAGTTCTTCGAAGTCTCATGCAGCGCACAACACGACCTACAAGTCCAAAGACAAGCATATGCGGCTCTACCACTTACAGGCAGTGATGTCAGCTTATTTCGAGACAGGTTCAGACTGCGGATGTTCTTCCACACATCTGCAAGAAGAGATGCCACAAAAAAATAAAATGAAAGGAAATAGCTCCTTTGCCATTTCGTTCTAGAAATTTGTTTTCCACAAATCAACAAACTTCAAAGTAACGAGCCTCTAAAACAGTATTCACTTCATAATAATGATAATAATAATCATTTCTGGAGTTCTATGCCTGAAAATGACAGTATAATTACAAGGGATGCTGTAGTTGGGGGCTCACGAAGTCTGAACCACCTGGGATTTGTCAACGTGCATCTGAATGTAAGCGCACGGGCATCTAGCCTTTTGCCTTCATCAAATAACTTTCGCAGTGGCCGGCACGCGATCCCACAACATGGAGGTCAGCAGTCAAGCAATAACCATGAGACAATCGTAGCATGTTGCATTCATTCAAACGTCGGTTGCTTGGTTCACAGTGTTTAACTGACTCTGGCTATGAGAGACACGTAGGGGAGGGCTCCGGATTATTGTGAATACCTAGGGTTCTTTAAAGTGCACAGACATCGCACAGTACCTCTCGCCTTTTGCCTACATTGACATGCAACTGCTGCGGCTAGGGACACACCCTGGCTGCCTGCAGCCGAGTACCACGGCCAGTGAGCCACTGCGGTCATAACTTTCTTACTAAGTCTCTCCCCCCCCACTGTTACCCGTCACTGCCTTTCCTATTTAAAGCCTACTACATATCTTCCTTAGGTCGCTGTCTTTGAATGTCAGCAGCCATATGTTGCATTGATATTGCAGCAATGGGCCACTGTTTCGGGAAACTACACACGGTTACAACCTAGACGAAAATGCCCCGCTCTCCATTCACAACTTCTGTAAGCGCGAAGGACACGTACGTAAGACGAATGAAGTAGACAGGACAAGCGCTACTTTCAAATGCGGTTTTAATGGGGGTAACGCCAAGTATATGCGTATATGTAGCCACCAGAGTGTAAAAGCAGGACCAGCACCAGCTAGGCCGATCTCAGTGCCTCTATTCACAGCCACTGCTGTTCCTCCGACGAAGAATTTGCACATATGCTCCACCCAATAGCCCTTAGTCATTTTTGTGATGTCAAGCACTTCCCGGGCATTTCAGATAGTTGACTTTTTCCTACAGACAAGTTTGTGTCACTGGCCTTAAGTAGGAAACTTCAATGGGCGGAAAAATTTCTTCAAGGATTCCAGCATCACTGTTCTGCCAAGCGTAATGTTTTAGGTAGTAACGATTAACCTTGTGGGGGTACCCTCACCCTCTGTAAAGTCATTTGTGAGTGATGGCACACTCGTGTTTTGCGAATAGGACGCATTTAGGGTTAGCAAGCATCAAGCGGTAGGTGGCACAGAGTTCACCATCATCATCATTATGGCAAGCGCAGTAGTGCCAACAGTGACACCTGCCGGCAATCGCAGGTCGTCTCCCGTGGGTGCCTAGAGGTGAGCCGAACATCGGCGATGACGCCTTCGCGTTACCTTGTGTTTGTTATGTTGATTGACTATATTGCAATACTGTACAAAGTTGCGGTTTAGTGTGTTACTAGTGAGGTATCGGATTTGGCAGACAATATCGTTTATCTCAAAAGTAATTGAATAAATGCACACATTGTTTGGTTTGTTCTACTGCGTCTACTGTATCCATGTGTTTCGAAAGCGGCAATCTCATTTCGAGACCCCCCCAACCTTAATCTCTTTATATTCATAGTATTTTCATTAGCCATGAAAAAGTACCCATGATTTGAGCAAAAAACAACTAGCAAGACCATCTTTCACAGTTGAAAAGCTGGCGTGCCGCAGTTTCGTGTTGTGGGGTCTCGAAACGAGGCACGTCGCTCTCGTAGCGAAAGGACACAGTGGACGCGGTCGAAACGAACCAAACAACATACATTTATTGAAGTACTTTTTACAATGACGATATCATCCGCCAAATCAAAATAAATCAGTTCTGATTAACATGCTAAAACAACCTTACACAATATTCCACAACACCCAACAACGTAAAAAACACAAGGTGGCCTTTCCAATGCTCGACTCACCACGAAGGCCAACGGCAGATGACCCACAGTGCTGTCCACCACGAACCCGCCACAACAGACGCCCGCTCGTTCCAAACACCACACGCATAAGAGCCCCGCTCATCTCTCATGTGCCACCACCCAGGCTTGCGGCTTGGAATCACTACCGCGCTAACCATGATGATGATGATGATGGTGGTGGTAACAATCGCTCGCGAGCACAATGCCACCTACCGCTCTATAGTTCTGAACCCGAAGTAGGGCCTATGTGCGAAGCACGTGCGACACGAGGTGCAAACGACTTTACAGGGTGTGTTAGCACCCTCAGTGTGCGGAGCCTGCATTTTTTCTCACGTCACCAAGTATACGCCGCTGTTAAACTACGGAGAAAATGTTTTTTCTCCCTGCTCTTTGTTTTTCACCCAGCACCTCACAGTAAAAATAAAGAGTTGACTGACTGACTGATCAATTGCATGACTGACTGATATAAGCTTGCTCGAATGACACTAACCTCCAATGACTGGGGACACCTCTGTGATGGCGTTGTCGCTCAGGTTGAGGCGCCGAAGCGTCGTCAATGTGTAGAGGACGTCGGGAATTCTCGGCAGTGCATTCTGGGAGAAGTCCACATCTGGGTGAAATGATCCCGCAACGGGAAGATTATTTGAAACAGCAGAAAGGACATCGATGTCACAGTGCAGGTGTATTATGTGACAGAGCGGGGGTATGAGCTGTTAGTCAACGCCATACTCCACCGGCATCAAGTACAAAAGCTTTTCACTTAAAAAATGATACCATGCTTGCGTCCAAATTGTCCTTTAACTGAAAAGTTTTCATGCTGATCCCTAGTAGGCTTTGACACACGTCTGAAAGTGCACAGAGGTCAGATATCGCGAGCATTCAACTGAATGTCGAAAATAAGAATACCTAAGACAAACCAGGACAACTGAGAATCCTCATTAATTCTAGCCAAATTCATAGCTTTTCAGAGACATGCTATGCAGTTTCCAATTATTTCAAAATCATAAAGCAAACAAATGTTCAAGGTCTTCAAACACAAACTGAATCTTTGAGTATGGCTGCATGCCGAAACTACAGGAATTTATTGAACATGTCTGCTACATACATATAGACCATGTAATACTAGATTTATAAGCACTGTTATTATGTACTTTCAGATGAATAATGTCTAGTTTTGCAAGTTGTGACATGAAATTAACAAGGTCAGAAAGTGCTGAACTTACACGTACAACAAATAGTGTACAAGTGTACTGCTGTACCATACATTTAGATTTTACAGATACAAAATGGCCACATCAACTTAGGCCTGAAATGCTAGCACATTAAAGTGCATCTGTAAGGTCATTGTGGTAAAAAAAAACGCTGCCCTGGAGAGTGTGCGTCATGCTTTGACGTAGGAAATCGGTACTAGATTTATAAGCACTGTTATTATGTACTTTCAGATGAATAATGTCTAGTTTTGCAAGTTGTGACATCAAAATTAACAAGGTCAGAAAGTGCTGAACTTACACGTACAACAAATAGTGTACAAGTGTACTGCTGTACCATACATTTAGATTTTACAGATACAAAATGGCCACATCAACCTAGGCCTGAAATGCTAGCGCATTAAAGTGCATCTGTAAGGTCATTGTGGTAAAAAAAAACGCTGCCCTGGAGAGTGTGCGTCATGCTTTGACGTAGGAAATCGGTGTGCGGGGCCGATTTAGTACTTCAGGGTGCGCGAGAATCATCATGATGGTGATAGCGGTAAAAACTATGAGCTCGCCTATGCGCGTGCTCGTGCGCGTACCACGTGAAAAAGCTCCCGAGCCACGGGGACAGCTCGGCTAACCCCAGAGAGCAGAGAGCAAGGACAAGTTCGGGCCACGCCCCGGCTGCTCGTTCTGACCCTCCCTGTCCGGGCCTCGTCTCGGCGTTGAAGTCCTCGGGTGGTCAACGCCTGGGCTTGCCTGTACACCACCGAGAACAGCGTATCGCCGACTGCCACGAACAGACCTGGGACAGCGTCTCGCTCCGAGACCAGAACAGCAGCTGGCCGTGACGAACGCCGCTTCAGACCAACGTGAGGGCGAGGTGGGGCGACGCCCAGTCCAGGACGCACCCGAGGACTTCAACGCCGAGACGAGGCCCGGACAGGGAGGGTCAGAACGAGCAGCCGGGGCGTGGCCCGAACTTGTCCTTGCTCCCTGCTCTCTGGGGTTAGCCGAGCTGTCCCCGTGGCTCGGGAGCTTTTTCACGTGGTACACGCACGAGCACGCGCATAGACGAGCTCATAGTTTTCACCGCTATCACCATCATGATGATTCCCGCGCACCCTAAAATACTAAATCGGCCCGCACACCGATTTTCTACGTCAAAGCATGACGCACATTCTCCAGGGCAGCGTTTTTTTTACCACAGTCATATATGGAAGAATGTGCACATGTGCTCCATGACTCCCTCGAAGTTAGGCTAACCAAGAGCTGAGGGTTGTAGTAGGCCTACAGCAGGCATTGCAACAATCTAGATGCTGATACGCCAATACTACAGACACTGGTAATGCAGGCTGTGGTGATCATAAGCTTTGGAGAGCCTCCAAGTTATTTCACAACTTCAGTGAAAAGAGAGACCAGGGTGATGAACTTCCTTTTTTTTTATCTTTTAATATATATAGGAGGAACTTGCTAGGTTTGCGCATATTTATGTGCTGACTTCAAATACTATGCCATTAGTTCCCCAGTACAATATGTCGTTCACAAAATATTAAATATTCTATGTGCCATTTTGGGAGCAACGGTTCAATACACTGGGAAAGCCACTACGTAAATCAGCAAATCACAATATTTTGGAGTGAAAACTGCATGAAAGAAAATAAAAATGGATGTTCTAAACCTATTTGAACAAAGGTTACGTACGTTGAACAATCGTGAGTGAGTCTAAGTCAAGCTGGGATGTCAGTCATTAATGTTCAACATAACAAATTTTGTTAAAATTGGTTAAAAACATCTATATTCTTGTGTTCTTGCATACATTCTTCCTTTCAGAACATCGAGATATGTCCATTTACTTTGTAACTCTCTCAGTTAGTACAAACAGATCCAAAATGGCACATGATTTATCGCAAACTACATAGCACACCAGAAAAACAATTGCCTAGTTAAAATCCTTGCACAATTATGTACAAGCTCACCAACTTTTATTAAAAAAGTTTCCGGACCTTTGTCCCCCTTGACCTAGGCTCTGCCAAATGTTGAAACCAGCAAAATGCCTTCGCATACGTCAGGCAGCTCACCAGAGAGTACGGCTGATGAGTCGAGCGAGACGGGCGTGTTGATGACTGTCCGTTGCGTGTTGCGCATGTGCAGAACTTGGAGTGACGTCAACGCCGGAAGCTGCCTGCAGTCATATGCCAATTTCGTCATTTAGAACCTTGGATCGTCAACAAAAACAGAACCAGATACGGTGACCGAATGCTACAGTTTTGTTTACCGACTAGTATTATAAATCCATTACACAAAGAAAGTGGTCTCAATGCATCTATTCTGTCGCTAGCAAGGCTACGCAACATATTCATGTGATTGGTTGTGCTGCCATGGTTTTTAGTTTTTTTGTGGTCCTCATCACTACGCCTAATATTTTTTGCTTTTTTTAATGCTACCTCAATAACCCTGTTTAATCATTCTTAACATGTTTGTTCTCTGCTCTGTTGATGTATTATGTATATGGCATGCTTCTCTTCAACCACTCAAACTGCTCAGTGTACAAGGTGGCCAGGTTCCTCTCAAGCTGCTCAATGTAGCTTGAGATTTGCCGGGTCTCCTCGCAAACCCTGTTGCAGAATAAACTTGATTCGATTCAATAAAAGCTGAGATATGAGTCATCAAGAATGTCAAATTCTTAATAAAAAAATTTTCACCACACACATGACATCCTTTAGCAGCCAACATTCTAAATAGCTGGAACATAACGGCACCTGCTAAGCCACTATTTACAAAATTATCACCAGTGAGTTGATGTCAAAGCTGGGAATTCTTTCGCGAATGTTCCACATGCCATGATATTTCTTAAAGGGGGCTTAGAATATCCATTCTGGTTTCATTGCACACAGTCCTCAAATTTCGATGTGCAACACCACACTTGGTTACAAGTCGAGAGAAGTACGGCTTTTAGCAGTCGAAGGAACCCCCCCTCGAGCCAATTGTGTCACTGCGTCGTGACATCATTGGCAAGAAAAGCTGTAAGGTATATATACTCCAAGTTTCGTCACACTGATACACCTTCTCAGTTAATTAGAGCTAATGGCATTGAACTCCTTGAGTCACGACAGAAGACATTTAGGCTAAATTTTTTTTCCCAACTTCTTCAAAGACAAACAGCACTAGACCCTACACAGTACCTGACCGCCATATCGACAAGGCATACGAGACATTATCACCCCGGAACCCTAACACCTTATTCTGCACGGACAGATGCATTTAAATTTTCTTTTTTTTTTTTTCACGAACAGTGGAAGAATGGAACCTTCTAAAAGACTCTGTTTAAAGATTCACTTTGGTTGATTTACTGAGTGTAAACTGTGTGTTGGGTCTGTTAACCTGTACTTGTATGTTGAATTCTTTCCTTTTTCCTTTTCTACGTGACTTGAGTGCCTAACATGTACTTGCTATTTGTACCGTGCCCACCTGCTTGAACCTGTGAAGGTCTGCAGTATGCATTAAAAAAAAAAAACATCGGGGCCGCTTTGTCACATGCTACGCACCTGAGCTGGTAGTGGCCCAGGGGATTGTCGTTCAGCACTAAGGTCTGCAGACTGACCAGGCGTCGCATCTGAGGAGGCAAGGTTTCTGCAACGAAAACGTGTCGTCGAAGTTTTTTTTTTTTTTTTTTTTCAAAACGCATTTTTTATTTAGAACAGAAATGAGTTCAACTGTTATGTAGCGGATGATTCAGCTCTGATGTGAAAGCAGGATCCTTGCAAAGGCTCGTTTCTTTTGTTGGACACAACTTAGTGAAATCAACAGACAGCGAATCAAAGAAGGATATGGGAACATTACCCGTATGCTTTAACTGCAGCATAGAAGTAATTATGGCCTAAATGGGAAGGAATTGAAGTGGATCAACAATCAAGTAGTCTCATCAGATTGCCATATTATATGCCTCCAAGGTATGATGGCCAGGAATAAAAAGAAAAATTTACTAGGTTGAAAAATGTATTATGTAGAACTGTATCAACAGGGTTGCACTGTATCAGAAATGGTACTACTGCATGTGTACAACACATACCTTATACATGATATAGAGTAACGAGGGAATCATCCGATGAGGAATACCACTGGAGCCAACATTTAGACAAGAAGGCTTGCTTTGTCAGGGCAGCAACCGTTTTTGCCGTGACACAGCTGCACCACCTCCTCGAAACGTTGGTTCTGGTGACTTTGTCTCGTTCGACGACTTGTCGTATGTTCATGCCCCTGTGTCCCCTTTAACTTGTAACAAAGTTCAAAGATGCTGGATGCCCATTGAAATGTGTAATAAAGGCATAAAATTAAACACAAACAGCAGCAAGCAGTAGCAATCATACCGTAAGGGTGAAGTACACACTTTGACGAGGAAAAAAGGGACAAAACATATACGACACAGACTACAATATTTTTTTTTCTGGTTGTGGTGTACAAAGTGCTGTCCAGTCATCACTACTGACTAGCACAAGCATCAGGATTGGCAGCAGTCTCTGATTTACTTATAGTGCGACATTTTCGCTTGTTTCCTAGATCTGACATGTTGATAACTAGTGGCCGTCGGGGTGGTACAGAGCGCTTTTGGCCGTTTTCAGTCTATTTAGGTTTACTTTTGTTTTTTTTCCATTAAAACAGCTAGAACAGAAGCAAAAGGATCGCACTAGAGTGGGATGGCACAGTATTGCCAAACTGGATGTGCGAATCTTTCAAACGATAATAACCGGAAGCACCATGCCACTGCTGACGCTTGAAGCCGTTCTCGTTTTATTTGACACCGTTAGTGCGCGTGCGAGTCTGGCCATTCGGGGAACCCACCGAGCTGGTTGCCACTGAGGTCGAGGTGGATCAAGTCGACGAGGCTGACGAAGAGCTGGTGAGGGATTGTCTCGATTCTGCGAGAAAATTCAAAACGAGAAGTGGATGGGGTGAATAATGCGCAAGTCATTCTGGCAAACGAGTTCTCCACCTTTCTCTTTCGTGACAATGGACTCCAGCTAAACACCCCCCCCCCTCCCCCGCCACCCAACAAAAGACTGATAGACCACACCCAACCATACTTTACATAGAGCAATAGACTGATACCTAACAATAGACTTGAAGTACCTGTTGTAAGCAAGGTTGAGCACGAGTAGACCCCGAGCGTGTTCCAGGTTAGTGGGGATTTCTCGCAAGTCATTGTAGCTCAGGTCCTGAGAGAAAAGGTCGTAGAGGCATTTAGTCACACCGTCCCATTCTGCAATCCCAAAGCTACAGTCTGAAAAAACAGTATTCAGGTGCATGGTTAAGCTTGAATTTGAAATGAATACTTTCACGATGATGGGAGTGAATGCTGCACCAAAGCAGCTTGGCTAGCTCTTACTACATAAAAGAATGGGTCAGAAGCAGTGGCACATGGATAAGAAATGAAAATCATGGTATTTATATGAAATATGACGCAAATCAGTCCATCATCAATACCTACAATGATTCCATAACCTAAACATGAATGGGATACAATAGTTATTCTGCAAAACATCACACGAAAGAAGAGAACATACATGTATATTTTGCATACGCACTGTATGAATATGCTGCAGAAACGTAGAAGGTTGGTTATACTATAAATAAAAAAAAAGTAAATTCCCGATATAACTAATGGTGGATATGCATTTTATAAAAAGAATGATACTACTTGAGTGGAGGTCAAATATATTCTATTTTACTGAGTGCTTTATAAAATTAAAAAGTTCATTCACGCTTCAAAGTATTCCCACCACAACGAAGAGGTCCTCGAGGTCGAAGATGTCGGGGGGTATGCCCGAGTTCTTGAGCCGGTTGTGGCGACAGTTGAGGGAGCGCAGGCACGGCAGCTGGGGGACCTCGCCGTGCAACGTCACCAGATTGTTGCGCACCAGAGATAATGTTTCCTGCACATCGAAACAAGCTAAATGCTAGAGTAACAACTTCGAAGAGGACATGGATGCCATACAGTTGCCTACAAATACACTAGCGTTGATTCCTGGCATTTGTTTCTATGGGAGCTGCAACGCATGGCACTTCAGCAAGCATGAGAATGATGGATGGTACGTGAATTTGTCTAATCTTCAAACTTTGGGCTCTGTTTGGCTATACGTGGCTGGAAGCTGCTCTGTCACGAGACGACAATCACTAAAGGTTTCCTGGTTGTGCTTCACTACCTTAACATTTTAGATGAACCAATTCAAGTTCGGTCACGAAGTTCAAGACAGTTTGTTCTTTCATTCAAAACAAAACCAAAACGCTGCAATAAACAGAGCTAGAAGTGGGTTCGAAGCCCGCAAACACGAAGACTGGACAAATACAGGTACTACCAATAATTCCCATGGCTGCTGAACGATCGCAGCGCTAGAGTCCCCTCCAGTTAACTTTAGTGAACTCTATGGAAAGTCCTCTTAAACTCTATATTCTGTCAAGCAAACTAGGCACATTCATGCTTCTCAAATGCAAAACTTTGCCGTCAGAGTGCAGCAGAGTGATGCACAAATTGTAATCCTGCGATGATGTCGCATGGTGATGACACCACAGAGTACTAAAATTTGTGAAGTCATCATGGCAGCACTGTGACACCACATGACCACATGAAATTGACACTTGGTGAAAGCTAGGTTGATCGCAGACGCAGAGCAAAACCACGCATGGTGCATAAAGCTTTCAGAGGGAAAGAAGGACATTTTGACCCATGCCCTCAACATCCCAAATGATGGAATGTTGGAATAAATAATGTTTCAAAGTTTCAGAATACGTGCATAAACTGATAAGAAAAAGAAGATGGCTTATGCGTTCAAGTCATCGTAGGCGAATGAAGGCATCCGGCGAGTTTTGCGGAAATGTTTGAAGACTGACTGATGTGTCAGCTGGCTGGTTACGTACAAGTTTCTTGAGGCCCTGGAGCTCGTCCGGAATCCAATCGATTTTGGTCCGATTTAGCCGCAGCCATCGCAAGCCGGTCATCTCACCGACCGCCTTGGGAAAGTAGTCCTCCTATGGGAGAGGTGAAATGGCACAGCAGTTAGCATTGACGAAGAAACTATCGCAGTTATTTGAATATCAGAATGATCTCGACGGTGGCGCATTCAGAACCCCAACATAAAGTGTTTCACAGTCTACCCTACATAAATTCAGAGTAAATATTGTAGATGACTAAAATGAAGACGAAAATGCTAAAAGCTGCAAACTTATATCTAGATGGAGCGATTTTGCAACACTTAATACATGAACGTTAACAAATTAATCACAGCACTATTTTACAGGTACTGAACAAGGAAGTTAATCAAGTGAAATGAACGGTTCTGCGGCAAAAGAGCAGCTCATATGGCAGGCAAGTACGAGATGTATATTACTGCTGGAACTAATATTAACAAACAATTACTTAATAAATCATCTTTTCAGTAGACGTACCGGAAATGACTCATTGCCTTTAGACCGCATCGCACCAAAACGCACCATGTGGTAACCTGTCAAACTTTTCGACATAATAATCAGGGTGGTCTTTATAAAACAGCCCTGCTATTTTACCATTAGCAATTAAACACACATGATAAACCACCACCCAACTAATTTGGCTGTCGGTGGGACTGGTAATGGCAAAAGCTAACCTGATCTGCAGCAACACAACTCTAGCCCGAATTACAGACCGAGTGGCGTGTATAACCATTACCAAATTACCATTGCCGAGTGGCGTAAAGAAAGGGTGTCCTAACCAGTGAACTACTCTCCCGTGCAACTAATTCGATGTGCTCAAGATAAATGATTATTTTCAGAACAGAGCTGCTATGGCAGAGGTTTGCCGTTCGTTGTAGATAGAAAATTGTCATCATTATGAACTGGCATGTGCTCTCTTTATTGCCTTCTTCCCCTGCTTTGCAACCAGAACATGTCCACCCATTTGTCCCGCATGGGGTGCAATAGTCCTGATGGGAGAAAGTACAGAGAGAGTGAGAGAAAGTACGAGAGAAACATGAAGAGGGCAATTCTCGGCGAGATGCCAACCCGCATCCCCATTATTAGAAGGCAAGTGTTATAGCGATCCAGCCATCCAGACACACTAGCAGAGCATAGCCTTGTATAATATAGTATAGTAGTAGAGTATAGCACAGTGAAGTAGTGGGAAAGATAATTGGGGAGAGGTGTGAGGGTGAGGATGGGGTAAAGAAGAGGAGAATCAGTACAGAGAAAGAGATAAAAAGAAAAGAGAAAAAAAAAACAAGGCATGATAACGACTAAACAGAGAGAAATAAACATAGAAAAAAGGGGGGGAAAGAAAGAGAGGAAGACAAAGAAAAGGTCAAAAACAGAAAGAAATGGACAGACACATGCGTAAGGATAAGATCGAAAAAATTCTGCAAGCATATGCATGTTAGTATAGTATAGTAAGGGGCAAGAAAGAGAGAAGTGAGAGGCTTATAGCCCAGCCAAGCCAAGATGAGCTACGCACCCAGTAGCTCTGCTGTCACCCAGCTTTGCACAATTTAGTGCAAGTTGCGTGTTTTTTTTTTTTTTAGAGATTTTTCATGAAAGGCACTGGCTTCACATTTTTTCTTTATTGTAACCACAGCCACATTGCCCCATTTTTCAGAAAAAAAAGTGTGGAAGAAGGAAAAGAGATCTACATTACTCGAATCCGTCTTCTTTTTCCAGTCTGATTTGAAAGAAAGCAGATCGTCGCGTTTAGTCGATGTAACCAAATCAACACGAAGCGAAACTTACATTGAAACTGTTACATACTCAACATAAAAGCACTGCAGTTTTATGAACCTTCAATTGAGCAGTGAATCGAGAAGGCATACAAAATTATAATACACATGGAAACACAGGCGCAGAGGAATAGCTCTAGCTCTGCAGTTTGAGAACTGAATTGAATACAATGCAGTATGCCAAGAAAAACACTCATGATGGACACTACTTGCTTAGGTTGCAAAGGCTTGTTGCGAAGTATGAAATGAGTGCGGAACAAACACATTTTTTTCTTAATCGTTTACAGAAGAATAGGTGAAAGCTAACGGCTTCTGCTATGGCCAAATAAATGCAAAGCAATTAAGCTTTCTTGATGAATTTAATGTAAAGACAAAGAGCCTTGTAGAAGATAGACATGACATATCTTGTAGACGGAAAAAATGTCTACTATGTGTTGGGATCATGTGATGCTTACGTATTTATCATAGCTCCATGCTCGCAACTGAAATGAAGACACAAAAGGAAAAAAACACAAAAGAGCAAAACAGATTTAGGATATACGATTGCATTCTTGGCAAACTAAAGAGGTGGTACTGTACATTTCTAAATTCAAGCTACTAGTCAACATGCTGTGCAACCGATTTGGAAAATTTAAGTTGGTCTCAAACTTCGGTGCCCGTTAAAGTACCCCCAGATGGTCAAGATTTTCGGAGTCATCCATTACGGCGTCTCTAATAAAGATATGGTGGTTTTGGGACGTTACATTTCACATATCAATAAAAATTTAAGTTGGTAAAAAAAAAGTGAAACACTGCAAAATAGCGTAGCCGGGAACAACTTTATGTAATGACCATTCAAGAGCACCCATTTAATAAAGCGCGACGCAGCATACTTGTTTGAGCATGGAAGCATAAACTTGATATTTCAACTTCCGCACTGGACAAAGCTACACAAAATTTCCATGAAAGTGATCCCATAAGTTAACACTTTCTTATATCAGTAGGCCCCCTAGATTTCGAAAAAACAACTGTTTATTCACACGTGGTACTTTTTCGCAAAGAGCTACCCCAGAAAACATTAATTCATTCGGTTGCAATCCAGCTCCACTGGCGTCAAGTTTCTCGATCACGAAAAACTTATTCGCGCAATTTAAAGAAGGGGGCCTATTGCAATTGAGAAAATGGATCCCGATTGGACCTTATCGCGATCGAAAGTAGGTAGCCCGTGCAAGAGGGCATTGCAAAAGTCGATGGAAATCCGAGATCTATATTCAACCCGATTGCTAAACCGTAGTTTCCCCACTAAAGTCACAAGGAACACGTGCCGTTGAGTCTGTTATTTTAGTCACAGCTTTTTTTTTTTCATTATTTTTTTTCTTTTTCGCATACTGTTAGGCAACCATTCGACAAGCGAAGCCGTCACTAGCGAGTTTCCAGGAAGGGAACGTCGGCTATGATTGTACTGCACGTAACTCGTCAAAGACCTGTCACGCTTTAAAGGGCAGTTTGTTTTGCACGCGTCGATCCTTCCGGCTTCCGTGACGCGAGAATGCGAGCACTGCAGCAAACAACAACAAAGCCGCGTGAGAGAAACCAACGTGCTGTGGAGTCTCCCGGATCTTGGGTTACACCTCCAGCGAAGAAGGCGGGGTCAACATTGACAGCACACACGGCTGAGCGACAGGACAATGCGACGACTCTATAGGTTAGTGACAGTAGCGTCAATTTCAAGCATTCGGACAAGCGGAATATTTCGTACTTGGAAGTCATTTCGCGTAAAATCGATGCCACGGACGAAAGGCAGCACGCCAGTTGCCGCCATCTTGATATTCTCTGAGAGTGTCCGTGGCGCCACCTGATCAGATGTGCACAAACCTTAAAATAGCAGGAAAATGTCAGGAACAAAAAAGGACGAATGCACGAGTATGAAAACAAACCAGTAATTTTATGAAAGCTAAAAGTTTTTAAATTATTCGCGTTTCAATCATTTTGATAGATGGTGTTCTACGACGTTTATGTTGTTAATCTCAGAGCCTACGCTTTAATGCGCTGCACGCATTTTTTTTTGTGTGTGTGTGTGTGTGTGGGTCAAGCTGGGCGTCAAACCTCTTGGTCAATTTTTGCAGCTATACTAAGTCTAATATAATCAAACAATTTTATTTGAGCCTATTTAAAGCTAAAGTGTGCTTGTAACACCCGTATTCGATCGTATGTCTCAAACTAAAACCAAGGCAACCCCAACAACCCGACTGCTAATTACAAATTTTAGAGGTCACGCTTTAAGAAGGTGCTAAAGTTACGTGACGGCTACGGTCTACCATTATCAAACCAGTTACTACTACATAATTATCATCATCACCTTTGTTAGGGTCATCATCCGCTTGAAGTCGCAAGCCAGTCAGCGAGTCAGCCAGCAACGTCGGCAACTCGCAATCGCTATCTGCCGGTGTTTGTACACGTCGGTCGGTGGAATCCGAACTGTTTCGTGGCATCGCATAGCCGAGCGTTTTGCCCGTACTTCGCAAAGAAGCACCGCTTTTGGAAAAAAACCATGGCCTCCGCGACCACCTGGGACGTCGTCAAGCGGTTCCTCGACGAGTACTCCGCCACGACGCCCAAGAAGATGAAGATAATCGACTCGTACCTCGTCTACGTCATGCTCACGGGCATCGTGCAGTTCGTGTACTGCTGCATCGTGGGCACGTTCCCGTTCAACTCGTTCCTCTCCGGCTTCATCACCTGCGTCGCCTCGTTCGTGCTGGGCGTCTGCCTGCGGCTCCAGGCCAACCCGCAGAACAAGTCGCAGTTCTTCGGCATCAGCCCCGAAAGGGCCTACGCGGACTTCGTGTTTGCGCACATCATCCTGCACTTGGTCGTCATCAACTTCATCGGCTGAAGAATCCTACCGTTTGTTGCTGCGTTCCGTTACGAAAAAGAACGGACGTTCCGCCGAGTATGAAAAGACTGTCATGTTTGCCTGGTTTCGCGGGATTTTTTTTTTTTTTGTCATTTTCTGCCACCCTATTCCTTACCGGTCTACTTCATCTTCCGTTCTTTTCTTTTGTAATAAACAAGTGGTGTCAGAAAAAAAAAGTGCCTTTCAATTCACGCCTAAACACGCGTGGTGCCGAATCTCTCCTTTACTTATTTATGATGCCGTCAGGGGTCAACAAGCATTACGGAGGGGAGTCGTAAAAACACGAAAAACAACATTGTAAGTGCAAAGAGGTAGTACGACGTTTCTGATTATGCGAAAATAGCGGATGACAGGCGCACTTAACATGAATATTCAAAGAAATATATAACGAAAGATCAAAGAGTAATGTTTTTCTATAAATAATAGCTATGAAAGCTCGAAATAGAACGTTAAAGTGCTGTTATACAAATGTGCCTGTAAAGATGCAAAGGGTGACAAATTACTTTAAAAATTTATTAATATAGTAACAAATTTTCAATGATCTAAAATAGTTCTTAGTGATGCGGGAAGGCAATTCCAAATCATTTGATGTGCGTGTTAAGCAGGACTGGCAGAATCAGTCACTTTCAGATGACAAAGAAGAGATTTGGATGCCCATTACTTTTAAAAGCAATGAAGCAGTTCTCATACAATCGGATGATCGCTGGCATTTGTAGTTCTTACGGAACACTACAAAATGCTGTTCGTGTGAATAGTGAGGTGATTCACAAAAGCTTTCTTTTCCACGATTCAATTTTTACCTGAAATTGCAAACTTTTATAAACAATCTAGGCACGTTTATCCTCCACCAAGCCCCAAACTTGACAAATCCAAGGCGGTAGATTGGAGGCCATTGAAAACCCAGACCTTCCTCAACCCCATTCATTTTAAGGGGATATACCCAGACGTCTATCCAGATGACACTTGCGAATTGTGCGGCTGGACTCGCGCATCACTTAGGCACATTCTCTGGGAATGAGCAGTTTTAGCCGAGGAAAATGCAGTCTCCCCAGATGAGGCTGCGGCGCGGTGAATGGCTGCGCTGTGCAGCTTCAATCTTCAGGGTCAACTGTGAGCCACCCAGCATGCCTGCGAGGCAGCAAGAAGACGGGGGCGGCCCAGGCCTCGAATCTGCCGGAGTTATAATAATGTTGTTACCACCACCAAAAAATCTGGTTTCTCTTTGACCAACCTTTGAGTAGTTTTCAACAAACTGGAAACGATAAAGCTTTTTTTCTCCGATACCGTCATTTTGCCTCAATCTGCAGAAAATTTCTTGAAAGGCTGTTTGGTAGGCTGCGTTTAACATCCACTACTTTTAACCTATTGTTGTTCAGGGCTGATCAGTCAGGTGCAAGCCGCAGTGCTGTTTTGATAGCCCTACATTATCTATTTACACATCTGTAAGATTGGGCTGCTACTGAGACTGACTACAAGAAATGAATTTTTTTTTGTACTACTTGGTATAGCACCTGCTATGCTACAGGTACTTATTTACGGTACATTTTGCCATTCTCCTATTAAGTGTAAAAGATTTACGAGCTGAACTGCAGCACCTTGAGCGTTTCTATCTGGCCACCTACGTCTAGGTGCTCCCGTGACCACTTTTTTAACATGGGCTAGACCAGAATTAGTGTGGGAGGACAAGAGGGTTTGACAAATATGTCTGCCTGGTTGTGACATGAACAGCGTGAAAATTCTGGTGCATACATCGCCAATCCCTTTTTTCCCAGACACTATACTCTTGCAACACTGGCTGGGTTATGCAGGAATGTGCCAATGGTGATTGACAGTTCATATCCCCACAGGAGTGACGAAAACAAACATTGGTAATATTAATGCGACAGCAGTTAACAAAAACTTGCATCGGTAGCACTGACCACACAAATTCAAAGAATAAATATCAGAGTCCCAGTAGGAGTGGAACCAAGGCATTCCGCGTGGCAATCAAGAATTCTACCATAGAGCCACGCCAAGTTTCAAAACTGCCTTGGAAAAAACTGTATGTTGGTGAAACATCCATTGTGGTTGCAGTGCTGGCTATTTAATTATATACACATTACATATGTGCTCCTTTGATGCAGGCAGTTGGTCTACGTAGCACTAGGCAGGGCTACCGTCCTCGCAAGGCACAAGCAGGTGCATATCAGCTTACTACTTCCCGACGTTGGTAATATCTACGTTGCTGTTGGCTTCGTTATGCAACTGCAAAGACCGGGTTGTTCAACACGTGTTGTGCGCACAACACTTGTGCGTATATTTAGCATCATTTTGTAATGTCTGGCGCAAGCAAAATGTTGCCCCACAGTCACCAACCGTCCGCATGTCTCGCATAACGTTGATTCCCATGGTACACGAAATCTGCACGATTTCTCAATGTCGCATAACATTTAGTATTGCTTGATTTAATTCATTGTTCACTCATTTACCGTCGTAACCGACAGCGCGGCCAATCCTGCTCGTGGGCACGAGCAAGTTTCTCTAGAAGACGAAACAAAAACATTCCCTGCACTGCACAAAACTTACCAGTAACGAAAGGTTTCGGAGCAACTTACCCAAAAACTTTGCAGACACAGCCCCTTCGACTTGTTTCTAGTGTGCATGCATCGTGAAGCCTGGGTCATGGCTTGGCCTACCCAAGTAACCAGAAGGGCCCGGGTACCCAATCCCGAAGCACTATAGTGTCCATTATAGCAAGATTCTCTATTGTTCTAGGAATAACAACGAAATGTCACGGACAACAATACATATATGTTCGGGGATAAATATTGAAAATGCTTGATCTCTTTTTTTAAATATTGGCTGCCACTTGTGAAAGTGAAACTGTAGGGATAATTTGACAACAGGATTGTGGTTACTACACAGAGGAATCAGGGAATAATGCGACACGGTACTTTTGTCTATTCGTGCATTAGGCATTACCTGCTTGTCAGCTTGATTAGCCATTACACATCTAGATCTTGTGAAAATTGTGCCCAGCTGTGAATGACTCCTGCTTGAGGGAAGCAGAGTTCTACAAGAAATCAATGCTACCGCACAACTGATGGAGAAAGTATGTTAGAACTCATTGCACACACACACAAAAAGAAAGAGAAAACAGGATGCCTGATTGTAGCAACACTAGAGATTCGGCTATATGTAAGCAACAAAAGTAATACCCCTGCAGATCCTATGGTCATGGCTATAGTATTTAGGTCATTTATAGGAAGTACACGAGCCTCGAGCGATTCTACCTCTAATAAAAATACAGCCACCACAGTTGGAATTCGAGCCCACGACTTGCAGGTGAATGGTTGTTCCTTGATGCGAAACAGCTCAAAAAACGAGGACTCTGAAAAGAAACAAACAGGAACAAGCGCTGATTTACGAGTCCTCGATTTTCGTGCTGTTTCACATCAGTGAAGCCTTACCAACAGGTTCAAAACCATGCACATGTAATAAAGTGAATAGTTGAGCACCATGCAATTACACCGCTGTGGCGGGACGAGTGAGTAACTGTGAGTGTGAGTGGACGCAAGTAGGATTGTCAGTACCTATTAGTAAAAACTCGATGTCAAAGTGATGAACTTCAGAATGGTGTCTCGTTGTACGAGTTGGTAAGTAGTTGAGAGTATTACCTTGGATGAGTTGTTGAGTGTGAGTAGACATGAGTATGAACATCATTACGCGGTGTTAACAGAGTGAGTACGAACCTTAGCGTGCACCTACGAGTTTGATTGATTGATAAGCGGGGTTTTTTGTTCGAAAGCCACCATATGATTATGAGAGACGCCGCAGTGGATGGCTACGGAAATTTCCACCACCTGGGGTTCTTTAACGTGCACCCAAATCCGAGCACATGAGCCTACAACATTTCCGCCTCCATCGGAAA